TTTTTTCTTTTAGATATAGCTAGGGAGGTAGGTCGGTTGTCTTGAGTGAATGTCTAGATGTAAGCCGGCAGGGCCAGGGCGGGATCTCTTCCTGGGGGTTTGGGAGGAGATCCTGAACCTGGGGTAATTTTCCATCGTCCGCGCTTCCGAAAGCGCCGAGGATGTCCACCCTGTGATATATCCGCGATTGTAACAATGTTCTTTCAGCACTGAAATTAATTAGACCGCACTTGGGAATCGAGTAAATGTGCGATACGCTCGGACTGCGCATCCTCGGATCGCAGGTCGTCGTTTTGCTAGCTTTTAGATCTGCTCGCGGAGTCTTTTTTTTTTTTTTTTTATTAATCCGACGAATCAGGAGATTGCCAAGCGTTCGAGACGTAGGGGGCTCTGCCCGAAGAGACTTCAAGAGTCGAAGAGGCTATATGCCGAAGCGGCCCCTTAAGAAGAGGGCAACTACGATGGTCTTCCGTTCGAAAGAACGGACAATCATTTATTTGGCCACGTTGTCCCTCCTATATTTTTATACGTATTTTATCAGGATTGACGGGGAGAGATGGTAAACTATCGTTTTCACGAAATTTTCTCGAGTCTGCATTTAAGTAAGATAAATATATTACATTTTTGTCACGACAAGTAATGTATAATTGAATAGATTTTTACTGGGTCAATTATACGAGATCTATGCACTGCGAAATATTCTCGACTTTAATGGTAACTTTATTAAGTTATTAGCTCTTGTATCACCGTCTCTTTCTCGCTTTCCCAATGGTTTCGTTTGTGCCTTTGTGTTCCCTTTCAGCTTTAGGTGGGCCACTTCGGAGAATCTGGCGACTTCCTGGTCTTTCTTCAATGTTCTGTTTTACCTGTATTTTTGTGCCCCTTTGCAGGTTTAGGTGGATCACCTGGAAGCAGCCATTTTTCGTAAAATCATCATGGGCAGTTAATCGAAATCGAGCTTTCTGCACTTGTTGGTAGAAGATGTTAAAATATGTTAAAGGATGTTTGTGAATTTTTTTCGCGATGCGAACTGCGTCCACGGTAGCTTGATGGTGAAGATTGTTCCGTTTAAATTGATCTCTCGAGCAAGTGGCTACGATTTCTTTCGGAGAAGAGACAGTGTTTTCGAGTTTTTGTGAGGAGTTCATCGCTTTTTCAGCCGGTTCTCGGGCTGCCCAGAGTTGTAACAGGTGGCAAGTGCATTAGCCGTCTGCATCCTTGACCGGAGGTCACTCTGCCCGTGAACAATCTCCCAACTCATCTCTCGTTTCGCCGCGGAATTCGGTCGCCAATCCATCGAGCCGGTTGCGAACGCCCCCCTACCTGAACCAAACCTGTCCGTTCAGGTACCAGAAGTTGGGACCCGAGGCGATCGACAGAGGAGGTCATTTGGAATCTAAAGTTCCTTTACCATTTTCTTCTGCGGTGCGTAGTTCTCGTGTTATGGATTGCATGATTTTACTATGCAGAAATATGACATTCTGTCAAACTATTGTCCTACCGATATGGTTTGTCCTATCACTTCCCTGCATTCCCCTGAACTTTCCTTTAGGACTATACAAATGGTACGCACACATCAAACAATGCAGGTATATTTTCTCTCAAGGTGATAGAATGTTGGAAAGCCACACATTGCGTATCTTTATAGCACCAATGCTTTCTGAACTCTCTGTCACAAGGATACAGAGGCTGCCAAATCTATCACTATCTGGAACTAAGCTCGTCGTGTGTTCTAAAGCGTGGTGAGCGTTCCAGTTTACTATATCTCTTCAAAAAACACCTTCGGTGTAAAAAAAACTTTGCCAAATACATTTTTATTTTCGGCTTCAATTACACAAATTGCTCGACAATGGAAATCAATTATCTTTGCCAAATACAATAGTACTTTCATACTATTAAAACTCTAATCAGTTATTTTTCCCAAATGTCATGGTATATTTTGCCCCCATGTAATACAAGTACATCCATTCCGAAAAATTTGTTTTGCTNATTATTATAATACAGATAGAATGAAAGTGTCGAGTTACTAATACACTAAACGGAAAGTGTTAATGTTAAAACTGGTATCGGAAGAAAATTGAATTATTATATATAATGTAAAGGTAAATGAGGAGTCGAGATATAATCTGATATCATTTGGTATCAGTTTGGAAGGATCGATACCAGAAATCACTCGTAATCGATACCAGTAATCCAACTCGTTGGAAAGAGGAGGGCAGGATGCCCATAATGTTGTGTTCATTTTTCAGCCTCCTGACTGGTAGGTCACCTGATTCATATTTCCTGTTTGCTCTAACTTATTTCTTTTTGCCCCTCCTGTACGTAAACCAAATTTTCACCTTCTTTATGGTATTAGTGGCATATTGTACTTCATTCTCTGTTTATCCGTTCTCACCCCACACTGTTCTTTACTCGCTACTCTTAACGTGACAACTAAATATGTGGTTCTAAGATTTTGGCACAACAATATGGCTGCCTTCCCGTAGTCCCTCCGTACTCTTACCTTACTTACTCCGACACGCACCCCTCTGCCTTGAGTTCTGACCCTATATTCTTACGTATGTACATGGCTCTGACCGCTGCCATCTTGGCGGCCTGTTTAACAGTTTGTGTCCATTAGTCCCAGTATTGGGACGTTCAGTGTCCAATTGGGGTCCTTCCTATTAACGCCACCGAAAATATGTACTAGCTATGTCAGATTTCGCTAGGTGGCAGTACATAACTTAGTATTATGGCGCGTTCGGCCACATGCGCGTTAGCATTATTTTTGCCCGACTCGCTCGTCTATCATTTATTCCGTTAATGATAAATAAAACACTATGGACGTTATCACATTATTTATTATTAAACCCATTTGGCGTATATAAACTTTCTTTTATTACAACTTTGATAGAGCACACATTTTTGGCGGTAATTCCGTCGTTAGACTTTTTTACTTCTTCTACTACTTATATAACTACACGGCGGACTAAGGTGTATTTGCACGTTGTCCTATCGAGGCGCCGCTTGCGGCTTTTGCCTGAACCATGTATGCGGTACCGTTGTCCTAGGTGCTGACGCCACAGTATCTCATATTGGTCCATGAACATTCTAACTTGCATTTAGTTTATGCTTTACATATGCTCAGTATATGCCGCACTTCGTCGGCATTTAACCAATCAGGAAACAGCATCTATATCCTTCAATTTCTGGGTAATTGTGGATAATGGAATGGCCACTACGATTTGCTGTTGTTTTTGAATAAGTGATATTAACTTAACCTTACAAACGGCGCTTGCGCGTTGTAAAACTAGATTCGAGCGCGATATCACGTAAAACGTAGAACATGCAGTGAAAGTTTATTCGAATTTGCTGCGTGTTGTGCGATTCAGACGCGTTGGTGTAATTGCGTCTTCAAAAGCAAGGTGAAAAAGTGATTTAAATCAGTTCTTGTTAGCTGTTGTGAGCTAAACGTTTGCTGAAAAACAGACCGTGGAAAATAGTCTGACGCACCTGTCATCAAAACTTTTTAAAGCGTCTTTCACTTCCTAAGATTGAACCGTATTTTTCGTATTTCAGTGGAGATGCTGATGGTACGATTTATACATTGGGTTAAAGTGAAAAAAAGAGATCAATTGTAATATTTTCATATGTAGGTAAGTCACACGTTGACATCTTTTATCCGGAAAGAGTAGTCGTGTGTAGTTATCATGTTTTTATATAATGGACTATTTTAGTAGAAAGCAGAAATGTGTCGTCAAGTGAGAAGAAAACAATCACCATCAGGATCGTATACGAGGGCAACGCGTACAGTTGATACTGTTACAAAAAAAATACTTAGATCTTCAAAGGTTTCTGCAAGGAAGGAAGATCATGGAGTGATATTGAATTCTACTCCTAAAATTAACAAAAAGAGATATTTGAAGTTGTCGAAAGTTTTATCACCTGAAAATTGTACTTCGATCGTAAGGAGTTCTTGTATAAACAAGGTAGGCACTTCACAAACAAATAGTCATGTCTCTCTTAAAGTTAATAAGGCTTCGATGCAACAGGAAAAAAAATTCTTCAAAAGTAAGATACACGGACCAAGTGCTATAGGTGATATTGAGAAATCTAAAGGCAATTTTAAGAGGATGGCATTGCGAGATATTAAAAATAAGCAAAAGGGTATTAAAATAAACAGAAAAAAGGAATTGAATGAGAGTTCCTTTAATGTAAAAGTGAAAGATTCAAAGGATCCTATGGCAGTTAAATGTGAAAGAAGGTTACGCCCACGTAAAAATGTAAAAAATTATTGTGAAGAATCCATGCTACTAAATAAACATATTACACCAGGTAAACGGAATAGTATTGTAAAGTTAGAAAGATTACCAGATTTGGAAAGAAAGATCCCTATATATAAAACAGTAAAAGATCTCGATACTCCTGAGTCGAACAAAAACGAAATTTATGATTTTATCGTAAATGGCGATGGTATTAATGAAAAATTAACAAACACAAAGAGGAAGAGAAATAGTAAAAAACCAATGACACGAAAAACAAAAAAGATTCCTAAAAATAAGCTTGGTGGGAAAATCATTGGAAAAGGTATTGAAGAAAATCTACAACCTGTACAACAGAATAAGATAAAGAATGAAGTAAAGAATCAGATGATAATCAAGAAATTGGAAAATAACCTTGAACCACATGATCATGTAATCATAAAGAATTTGGTTTCACCAGAAAAAGAAGCTGAAGGAGTCCCAGACCTGAGCAGACCTGAAATTATAAACCCTTCGCAAAATATGAATACGAATGGCAATCCAAAGCCAAAAATTGTGTGTGTTCAGAGTCTGGATCAGAAAACGAAGATCAATATAGTACATGTGTTATCTCCAGTTTCATCCGCTCCAGAAAAAGGAATAGACATAAATACTGAAAGTTCTGTTTTAAAGACTACTGCTTTAGCAAATTTCAAGCCATTCCGACCTACAAATATATTCAATAATTTTACAAACCCTAATGCAGAAATGATGAATCATTCTCTGTTAAACAAACCATTGTCTCCTATTTCTAAAATGTCAAATGATTTTGATACTTCAAGTCCATGGAGACCACCCACCCTAAATGTTTTCTCACAAATGAAGCAAATGGTTCACAGCACTCCTCAAGTAAATCAATCTGCAACACTGAAGAAAAAGACAATTAATACAGCTGAAACAAAACAACCTATAGGACCACGAATGCATTTTACCAATTTATTAAAGGAGAATGAGAATAGCAAAGATATTCAGAAAAAAAGTCCTAAGAAAAGCTCACTTGATGTAGGCTCACCCAGACAATTTGGAACTGAACTATCAAATGTTAATTCTACAGTGCAATCTAATGTTAATACATTTGACGTTCGAAGCGAAACTGCTTTATTGATACCAGGTATGCAACGGTCTGTTGTTATTAATAAAGAGAATACAGTTCCTACCTTTCAAAGCCCAAAAAATTCGCTTAAAAAGTCTGCAAAGCAGGCAAATCCTGCAAGTCCTAAAGCACAAGAAAATTTAGAAATCAAAACTGTTTTCCAAAAGCTTAACAAGCATGATGAAATTATTGCGCCTCAACCAGGACCTTCGGGTCTACAAACAGTGCAAATAACACATACAAAGCATGGATTATTCGACGATGTGAATTCAGCACCAATCAATACTGACTTGAAGAAGAAAAAAAAGGTTGAACCAACAATAGAAAATGCTTTTGGATTTGATGATTCCAACTCTATTGTTGATAATGTGCCACTGGCTAAGCCTACAATTCTTGCTCCGTGTATTTCTCAATGTGTAGATAACAAAGCAACTGATATAAATATATATGCTGAAAAATTCATGTCCAAACCTGCAAGAATTTCAATTGAAGAAATAACGAAATTGTTGACAAGGGAGCCTGTAAAAGACATTGATGTGGATAAAGCACACCTCAAATGTACAAGAGAGTCTCTCAAAGAAACGAAAAGTCTGGAAGGAACGAATGTTAATAGAAAACATGCTAAAAAAATTGAAACTATAAGAGAATCCAGTTTTTTGGATACCTTTGATCAAGTCCCAATGTCGGAAAATGAAAAGGAGAAAGAAAATTCCTCAGAAATATCACTCTTTGAAGATCTAGAACCAGTACACTTTAACAAGGTATGTTGTAGCAGTTAACATGTTAGAAATAAAACCGCCAATAAGATGTATAAGATGAAATATTCAGGTAAAGTTCCGAAAACTTTACACCTCCAATTAATTTCAAATTTCGTATACTTACATATTTTCACCCACAGATTACGAATATCTTAGTAAAAATTGGCGCAAATGTTATATTTAAGGTCAACATTTTTTCACATTTTGATTAGTATAAGTTGAAGAGCAAAACTTTTAGATAAAAGTTATTGCCCTTCAAAATGTACATCTTTTATGTTGTATATATTTTTCTCCAAAATCTTTATTTTACAAGAAAAATTAGATATATTTCTAAAGTACAAAAGTATTATTAACTGCAAGATCTATATGTTGTAAAAGGGGGACGGGAGGGGGGGCATTAGGTTAGGTTATATTTATTGGATGCATAAAACTTATATAAATGGAAGGGACGTAAGTAAGAGTGGGGGTGTCAGGAGGAGGTGAGACAGAGAGATCCCTTTCTCTCTGTAAGCGTCGCCGGATGTTTTTACTGCGCAAATGTAGCATATACTATAGCATGCTGTTGTAACTGCCCTATTTTGCATAAATACGAAGAAACTACGAAAAAAGATCTGAAAAAAAAGTGCACAAAATGAATATTCATTCAATGGAAAGAACTTTCTCAATGACAAACGAGTATCTTCGAATGTTTTTTTTATCATTCATCCTATCGCTTAAATTTTATGTATCCATGCTCCTATGCGTGCGCAGCGTACTTCAGTCATCACTTAGAAAGAGATGGTCTCTTTTTCTGTCTAACCTCCTCCTGACACCTAACCGTATGCCGATACTATAACAATGTCTCCATTTTTATAAGCCCTATGATTGGGAGGTCCTGGGGACCCCCCCTCCAGCCGCGCCTAAAATGATCGAAATAGATTAGGTTAGTTACATAAACTGCTTTTGTATTTCAGGAATGTATCCCATTTTTCTCGAAAAGTCACAGTTTTAAAAAGAAATGTCACACATAAAAGATGTATTTTTTCAAGAGCTACATCTTTTATCTGAAACTTTTTCTCTTAAATCTGTACTAATCGAAATAAAGTGAAAATTTACAAAAATTATTATTAATTATTGTTACCTTGATGGTAACATTTGCACCAATTTTCACTGTTGTATTCAAAATCAATGGGTCAAAATACGTGGGGACACGAAGTTTGAAATTAATGCGCGAAGTTATGCACTTTTCGGAACTACATGCAAATATTCTCTAATTTTAATTTTATTCTTTTATCCGTTTTTAGCCGCCGAGGTATTCTTATAAAAGAACACGTCCTATTAAGTACAGTTTTTCTGAAGATGAAGAGGACCAGCATCGGGATAATAATAGGCCTGGAACAAAAAAGAAAAGAATTAATAAGGCACACCATAAAGATGAAGAAAGATTAAAGCAGTGGGTTAAAAGTATTAACGATACCTTCAGTGAAATAGATCATTACGATTTGGTAGTCGAATAGAATAATAGGACATTTCAAAGCATTTGTGGCGTTCTATTCCAAATTTTTGGTGCAATCTCATTGCCTACTTTTAAAGAATGGAAATGTATATTGTGTGAACAGTTCTAAAGACACATTTACAAAAATGAAAAGGTGAATTTAAAACAATTAGTACTATACTAAAGTACTTACGAAAAGTACAATTTAATGGAAATTATTCTTAGATATATAATACCTTGTAAGTTAGGGTACATAGAGATTAACTTAGTTGTACAAACACATACCTATTTTCTTATTTGTGTGAATGACAAGTTACTATTCCCTCTACAGGAGCAAGCATTAACAACATTGAAATTTGAACTAATATTTAAAAATTAACTCAGATGTACAATTTTAGTGTATGCACATATTACTTCAGTGTCTTTTCAAAGGGTTACAAGATCGACTTCCGTCCTCCCCTTACTCTCTCATTCTTCTGCCTCATTAGTTCACTCTCGCTCTCTCACCCCCATCCGCTTGCCCATCTTTTCCCTCCTACTCTCCATCTCCCATTCGCTAGTTCGTTTTCGCTCATTTGTTCATTTGCTTTTTTGCTCACTCCGCCTTCGCCCCCCCCCCCCCATCTCTTTCTCCTGCTTCCATCTTCTCATCCCCTCTTCCCCCTGTCCCTTCTCCTCAAAGACCTTCCTTAATACGTTGAGTGCGGAACCGATTTTGATGAGCTTTCCGTTCAGGCGGCACAATTTTTTATATATAGGATTCTTGACGCCGTGTCAGTCCCCAGGGACTGACGCCGCTTAAACGGAAAGTTCACTGTCAGTCCCTAGGGACTGACGCAGCACTCAACGTGTTAACTATGTACATACTATTGTAGTGATAAAATATATAAATAATACTATGAACATATTTATATAATAATATTGACAACTGGTTATATACGCTATCATTTATATTAAGATTTTTGTATCTTTGTACCGTTTAGTTAAAATAGATACCAACAAACCAGCACTTTAGGTAAAACTCCAAGGTATAAGGTCTTTATGTAATTTATGATGTATACTATTATATTTAAAAATTTCTTTGCTACACAGAATATAGAAATTAAAATGTTATAATCAATATATTTTCGGTACTTTAAAACAGCATTTTATTATTTTAAACTATTATGTATCGTTACGTCCGAAGATTCTTAACTTGATAAAGAGTTAAAACCTACGATTTTAGCAACTCGAAGTAACGGGTCAGAACAATATGCTTTGATTTGTTTGTTGAGGCTCTAGTAACCGTGAGTAGGTAATTTCGAATTTATGACATCAGGAGCGAGGAGATCGCATGAATTTCTCAGCCGCTACTTTTTTAAATGAATGCCATCTTCCAGCAAAGGCTAGCACTGAAAGAAACTAGATATTCACGAAATGTGTCGAATGATCAGTTTTTTACTGATCACTTCGGCACTAATAATTTGACTAAAAAATAAATAACGTGGAAAAGTAGTGGAGGGGAATTTTCTAATGCTTCAGCTGTCATTTTTCACGCCTTAAGCTTGGGGCATCAACGCTCGAAAACGCTCGAAAACGCTTGAAAAACGCTATATAACGCTTGAAAACGCTCAAAGAACGCTAACAGTGCCAATATTACAACTGGTATCGAAAAGAAAGTGAATTAATTGTATATGATACAAAGGAAACGACATTTCTGACGAGTAATACCTAAAGAAATTACTAATTTATGGAAAGAATGCTTCCTAATGGTGAGAAATTTGAAGCTGTTTGACATGAAGTTGATTTCAGAAACGATGTTTATTTATTGATCGTTCAAAATTTATTTAACTACCAGTAAATTAAATTTCTTCCATTGTCAAGAAATAAAACCAAATGGAATAACGAAAGGGATATCGACTTATTCCTATGTAGGGAAATATAAAAATCATACGCGAAATGACTCGGCTTATATCCGCGGCTAGGTAAGCCTCGGGAGGATTTTTCGCAGCATTCGACTCTCACGCATACTCGTATGAGTGTAGAACAGATGAACAGTGAATGAAGTACAATACGCCACTTTAGCATAAAAAGGTTAAAAATTATGTTTTACGTGCAGGAGTGGCAACAAAAATAAGTTAGAGAAAACAGGAAATATAAAGCAGGTCACCTACCAATCAGGAAGCTGAAAAAAATTGGCACAGCAATATGGCCGTCTTACCCCTTCCTGTCCGACGCATCAGCTCCCCCCCCCCCCCCCCGTGGGCTAAAATGGGACTTTGTGCTCCGTCCATATATTCTTACGTCCATGACTTATGCAGTCAATGTCTGGTACTGGGCTGTCAGTAGAGGCAGAAATCCAAAAAAATACAATACAATCCAGTCAAAAGGGTGCATTCAGAGGAGACAACTGTTGAGTGATCAGTTAGCGCTTATCTGCCGAATGGGTACGTTCACTCAACATGTTTACTGCTCAGACGCCATTTTATGTATCACAAATTTTCTACGCTACCTACGCTCAACGTGTTGGGTAGATCAAATTCAAATTCAAACCGTGTAGATTCAAGTTAAAGAAGCAAGGATAGCAAATGAAATCAATTATTACAGTGAAATGTATGAAGTAAACGGTCTTCAGTACGATGTAGTAGAGAGTGCAGAAGTGCATAAAATATTACAAAATGGTACGTTATTTCGAAATGTATACTTAACCTTAATCTAATGTATTCTATCTTCCTAATATAGACCAAAAAACTAATAATAAATAAATAATGAAGTTAGTATGAACATGTGAGTGTTTTTTTTTTTCAGACGTTACATTCTGTTGCGAATATTTTTCTAAAAAGATATCATCTATAGAAGTTGTTGGTGTATGTAACGAAAAAGTGCAAAATCCTTTAGCTAATGAAGTAGCTGAAATAATACACGACGTACATGTACTGTAAGCACTGACTGCTAATATAATGAATATAATTATTAATATAATTAATATAATTATATTAGTAGTCAGTGCTATAAGGAGGTTAGGTTACACAACACTGGATGCCGCCATGTTATGATCACTGAACAGTCCATTCAGCAGAAAATCGGAACATGTTCCCCACTCATCGATAACCGCTTTTCTCCTCCGAATGCACCCAAAGTCTGGACTAGCTCATCACTTAGCCATAAATATCTAGACCTCGCATAGCAGTGGAAGGGGTAAACTCGAATACCATATAGACCACGTGTGCCGACGGCACTGGGACCCAATCAGATTTTAGATCATATATTTATGTAGACCGCCTTGCAGTGAAAGGGGTAAATGAATGTCCACGTGTCCCGACGACTCACCTACACAGTTAAAGCCGTTCTGCTTACTAAAAATCTGGGAGTGGGAGGTCCAATGCGGGGTCTAATATATATGGTCTATGCTTCACACAAGCTTACCGTGTACATGCATACATACATCATACGTCATACATCATACATACATGCGTACATACATACATCATATATACATCATACATATGTACATCATACATCATGCACACATCCATGCATGTATATATCATACATACATACATACGTACGGATATTTAATCGAGGTGGTTATTCCGGGTTTACTGTATGTTTAGTGGGAGAGAATAGAAAGACATGAAATTCATAGAAACTGTCATTCATGTAGATGATTGGAAGGGTTCACAAAGCCAGGTTCAGTTGCGTTTAGAGCGCGATGTCAGCAAGGTCGTGTAGTGATAGTTTGTAAATTAGTGCACGGTCTTATTAAGTCACAGACGTGGTGCGCTTACATTTTGAGCGGAATGAGTGCTGCTAAAGCAATTTCCCTCGTTTTCGTAGGTTGCTGTATAAACGTGGTATTTCTCGAATTACTAGTCAAGTGAGCATTTGAAAATATTAATTACATTACTAGTCATTAATGTTTCTTACTAAAAAACAGAATTTTCATGGTCCATGGATTCAAGGTCTTGCTTTCAATTGGTATCAGCTTTTCTTTCAAAGTTTTTTACTTTACCGCATTTTATCATTCACTGAAGCACAAACAGATAACATGACGTTGACATTAATTGTCATTCGTTTCTTTCAGAGAAGATCCTGGTAGTGGGAATTTAATCACATTCTCACAATTTCTGTTTATATCCATTGAAGGATTTTTCTTAACGTCAAAATGTGGCACTGTCAAACCTGCTATTGGCATAAAGGATTATACATTGCTGGTATTGATGTTCTTCGTTTCGAATGTGTGCAATAATTACGCGTTTGACTTTAATATACCCATGCCTCTTCATATGATTTTTAGATCGGTAAGAATTGCAGGGTATATAGCTGTTATACTTTATTTCTTCTTAAGATTACAAAAATTGTAAAGATGAATTTGATTTCAGGGTTCCTTAATAGCAAATATGATTATGGGAATTATAGTTTTGAACAAAAGGTATCCAATTAGCAAATATTTATCCGTTTCGATGATAACTTTAGGAATAGCAATTTGTACATTGGTTAGTAGCAATGATATAAAATCTACAAGACCTGCTCATCTTGAACTCATGCCAACCACTCCAATGGAAGATTTATTTTGGTGGACCATAGGGATAAGTTTGTTAGTTGTAGCATTATTTATTTCTGCAAGAATGGGTATTTACCAGGAAACGTTACATCAACGATATGGCAAGCATCCTAGGGAAGCTCTGTATTATACGGTAAGGCAAACTGACAATGGCTTCTATTTCTTTTTTTTATGCCATAGTTTTCAGTATATTTATATATGTATTTATTTTATACATAGATATTTAAGTAATCAAAATGTTTGTCTTTTCAGCATTTATTACCGATGCCATTTTTTCTTCTCTTGATTCCCAATATATTAGAGCACATAAAGATGGCATTGAAATCATCTGTATTGGAACTTCCACTGATTGGCCTGCAGATGCCAAAGACCATTGTTTATCTTGTTGGGAATGTATTATCTCAGTATCCTTTTTCTGCCAGTCATAAGTTAATTGAGAAATATTGAATAGTATAGTCATCCTTCCTATTTTATGACTCATGCCTGGGGTCCGGCATCGAGTGTAACAGTAACGTATCTGTTCTCTATAAGATTAATTTTGACTACTAAGGCCCGTTTCCACAATTCGAGTTAACCGAAGTGTAAGTCGTGCGTTTCACAACTCCTTAAACCTCGTTCAAAATGAGCAATCGTTGGTCAATTCCGAACCGCCGAATTCGGACGTATAAAAGAATAAACTCCGCTAATGTGTCCCCGTGACGTCATCAACTGCGCACGGCTTTCATTCCCCGTTTGAGATTATGTTCTTATTGTTCCAAGTATTGAAGGAAATTATGTGTATGCACTTGCATGAAGTGATACACTGGAAAAATGGCAAATAGACAACGGTCTATTTAAACCGTCACATCTTCATGATATGCATTCTGACATATGAGAACTTCAGCTGTCAAGGGATATAAGTAATATAAGTAATTTTTTTACAAAGATAAACATCTCTGTGCTTCGCGCTCATATATATAATATATATATATATATATATATATATATATATATCTATATATATTGTAAAAAATCCCATCACTTACATATTCTTCCATTGTAAATTTTGTCTCCATAATTAATTATGACTGATGCATTTTTTTTTATTTCAAGAGAAAAGTTTACAACATAAGAAATATATAGATTATCCAACACAGAAGTTTTTGTCGTTATAACAAGTCACTTATAGTTTTTGGCTTTGTATTTTATCAAAGAATTATTGTATCGTTACATACCTTTATCCTCTTCCTTTTCGAATATCAAGAAAGATCTGGTTAGAAAAAATATTTATTAATTCGCAAGAATGCAATAAATGCTTATTCACTTGAGCATAAAGTTACAATGTTTATGAAAATGATGGCACTTTCAAAATGGAAAAACTTATTTCCTACAAAATGGAGTGTGGCAATTTCCTTTTAATTTTTCTTTGTGAATTAATATTTTTATTTGTACTAGTTCAAGTTCAGCACTTCTCCAATTGAATGTTCAAAATTTCTCTCTTTACCGACGCTTTTAAGCGTGCCTCGATTTTAAAGTAGCAAAGCAGTTACCCCCCCCCTCCCCCCCCAGATATTTGCAAAATGTCTCCAAGTTTTCTCCTTTAGATTATTCCAGCATATTTGCAATGTTTCTACCGAACGGTTGTTACCGATATTAACCTCTTTTCTTCTATCACCACGAGTGCGACTCGTGGTATACCGATTACGGGCCAAATGTGAAAACCACGAGTCAGCCTCGTGACGACAGTTTTTGGTGAAAGAATTTTTTTTCCCGTTATGCGAACGTCCTTTCCAGCCATTTCGACTAATTTTCCGAAAATCTCCGCGGATCACTTTGGCCCGTTTGGCGAATTTAGACGATCTAATTGGTACGGCAAGGGGTTTAATTCGCCTTCAACTAAGGGCTTAAACTTTTCAAACGAGTGTCTAACTTCTTTTGCTACAACAGTATTGGTTCTTTTATTTTCAATAATATGTTTATGGGTCACCACTGAATTAATTAAATTCTCTTTTATCATACTGGAGTAGTTGGAATTCCGCTTTTTCATTTGGGATATACTTTTAAATTGATCATCTTTCATCCTACGTACTTAATCCTTTTATCCTCGTTAAAGTGGAGAGCCAATTGTTGAAGACGTTCTAAAAAAATGAACAGTTGCTGTAGAGTTCAGTGGACTATAGGTTTTCGTAAACCTGGGTTAAGAATAGGTTGTGGAATTCGAGTCCCATTGAACTTCGGTTAATTCGGCATTCAAACTTAATTCCGGCTCGGTTAATTTTGAGTTTAAACTCGAGTTGTGGAACCGGCTCTAAGATAGGTCTAGAGAGAAGTAGTACAGCTTTAAGCGCTGCATTTATGTATTTGGCGCGAAACTCTACCGAGTTTCTTAATTCATGTATAATTACCAAGTCGGCTTTGACACGTAATGGAGTAACGAATTTGAATGTACAATTTCTTAACTTCTTTAACAGATATATATGCATAAGATCAGTGTATGTGTGTACGTCAGAGTGCACGTCACTGACTGTGACTCTGGTGCTGACACTGCGCAAATTTATTTCTCTAATTTTTTCCATTCTTTACTTTAAAAACCCATTCACGATATATCATTGGATAGGTACAATTCTAGTTTTTACGGGTACGGTAGTATTTACTGAAATCATTCCAAAGATTCAACAATCATTGAAATTTAAAACCGAGGCTAAAAAGATGGAATAAGACCATCTATTGAAGATATATTCATGAGAAATTACAAACTAAACTAATTATAATATTATTTTTCAAAATCTGGCGTGATCCAGTTTGACATTCATCATCTTACATTAATAAACCGCATAAACGGTATCCTACTTGAGTTGAGCCTGAAAGTTCCTGTCAATTATATCTGGAAATGAAAGCATTGTAATTGGTGTGTACTTTGTAACTTGTGCTGCGAGTCATTCAACAGCAAATATACAAGTTTATAAAAATTCCTCCTAAATTCATAATCATGCCAATCCAATATCCATGTTGAAAGTAACAGTACTAAAAAGCGGTACATGCACGCGAAAGGTGCCTTGTTTTCTGTAGAATATACTTTATTCAATAAATACATTGTTTTCTATCGTAGTGGTAATAATTTCATTAGAATGTAACGGCTGGTTAGGTTATAAACGTCTAATGAAGAACACGTCGATTGTAGGCTCGGCAATCGGGAAGTTACTGAAACGAGTTCAAGGAGGGAATAAAATTAAAATATAGAAGTATGTATTTGTTCTTCTCTTACCAGTTATAAAATAGCTTGAATTGAAATTTAAATAGTACGATTTGGGACAATCGAGTTAATCACTTCCAGTTGTGACATTAGTTTCAAATGGTCAATTAAAAGATAAGAGATAACTATCCGATTGCAAGCCGACTGATTTTAAACTCCCAATGGAACAACCAAATGTCGTATTTGATCACGGTATAAACGTATAAAAATATAACAAAATAAAGATAAAAGCCATGAAAATCTACCGCCGTCTAACGAGTTAGAGATACGACACGAGAAAAATTCACCTATTTGGAACCCGCGTCATCGCATTCATCGCATTAAGAACTCAAGTGTAGCTTCGTTGAATTTCGGCATTAAGTTCATCGCACAGAACTAACTTCCTAAAAGCTACTCCTGAAATTGGTCAATCTTGTAGCGGGGGTGTCATTCGACCTTTGAGTTTACTTCAATAAGAAATATCTGTCGGTAGGTGGTTTAGAACAGGGAATCGATATAAAAATCCATTATGTGGGAGATAATTGAAAAAATGCATCTCGCGTTGTCCTTCGGATAATAAGGACGAGTTAAAACGACCCCTTTACTCACTTAAAAGACGAGCTTTGAAAATGACGGAATAATCGCAGTGAAATAAGGGAGGATATGGTGAATCGCACAACGCCTACGATGACAGATTTCGCAGTTTCGCCAAAATTCCATAAGATCATCTTTAGGCGATCAGAAGTAATGAATTTATAACGAAGAACTGCTCGCATGAGCTGCTCGAAGCAAAGAAAGTCAAGGGTAAAACTGGAAAGGCTCAGGTTTTTCGACGACCTTGAAAATATTAGACAGTTCATCGAGCAAAGTCTCGTAACGATAGGCCACTCGAATGTCCGGAACATTGGTCCTCGTTATGTCGTTCCCGGCTACCCCTTCTTTTGTGTAGTTCGGCCCTAACCAATACTGCTTACTCTGGAAAAGCAATGACAAGTTAATCATACTTAATAACATGACATTTTAACGATATACACGCATACACATTTAGATTATCTTCCGTTCAAAGGATAATACTTGTTTCTCTATCAAAGTTATTCAGAGATTTCCTGTTCATTCGAAGCAATATGATGGCGAGGTCGGAGACCGAATAGTGATATTATTTAATCCGACTATATATGAATATGAGAATAATTTATGTAAACCTTATGCGGAAATCCACTCATGAGTACGGAATTGCGTGCGAGCTCGCACATATCGCACGAACTCAGTTTCCAAACTTGCGCGGCGATACTATATTCCTCCATTAAAGGTTCCTACGACAGAGAAAGAGGATATTTAATAGATTCGCAAAAGGGCATATTTTGGCCTCATGAATGAAACTTTATACTCACCTTGGTGAAGTGAAATTGAAGAGGGTCATCCGTTGACAAGCTGACGCACAATCCTCTTGCAAGATACTCGGGTAAAGGATTGCGGTGGTAGTTCAAGAACAAGGAGTTGTTGCTCAAAGGCGACATGGCTATTCCTATTTGCGCCAAGTAGTACAGGTATTGTAGCACAGGGACTTTCCTTAACAGTAAACCGTGGGAGATATTTTCTGCCATCATGAATCCGCAAACTAAATGCTGAATAGGACCGGCTTCACCGCAGTGAGGACGCAAAACGAATGTGTTCAAACCCTGATCTCTAAAACAACGAAGATCCAAAATGTCTATAAAAGTCAGTTAAATGTCTATCGTTTATCCCTTTACATAACGTTGGGAATACATACGATCTAAAATGATTTAGAACCGTCATGTTTGCGTAGGTATAGTATTGGTAGTAGCCATAGGGTGGATTTTCAACGTCGTTCCAATCGGCCGGTGGGCATACATCTTTATCGAACAATGGATTTTCTGGTTTACTCTCGTCATCTACCGAGTCGAAACCTATGACCTATTTTATAAAAATAATGAATTTAATTAAATGAGATCTCAAAATTAGGGACTTTTGAGAGAGGGCTCCAAGGAAGCTTATATTTACTTACGTATTGAAGGAACTTGTGCAGCTCCGGATGGGAATTGGGATCATTGGTCACTTCGAAGAGAGGTAAGAAAATGTTATTCAAAATCTCTTGGAAATGCGTCATCAGCTTGTTCAATTTGAAGATGTCGCTGTGAAATCGGAAAAAGTCCGTAGATAAGTTCCTTCGTTCATTGGTGCCTTCGACCGTCACCGCGGATGAGATGGATTTAATTTAACCAATACTTACTACAGTCTGGGAATCTGTATCAACCATCTGACGTTATCCGAATAAACGTCACTTTGAATTGCCCATTTAGCTAATTTATCCCACTCTTCGGGGCTTTTTCCATAAATGGAAAGACGCAGTTCTGCATTCTGGTATTTCGACTCTTCCAGGTCACTGGCCACCTCCTTAATAATTCTGGCAAAGTACTTCCCGTTCAAATAATTGTCAGTCTTTAGGAACACCTCGCGAAGTCGGCTTTCACCTATGGGATTGTACTTGGCGTTAAACTTGTCAAACCTGTGGAAAGTGTTCCTGTCCTGTAAAGGTAAAATGTGGAGACTTCGGTTCACTTGACATAATGTTCGTTGACATAAAATAATGAATTAAAGCAATTGACTCCTTGAAATGCACAAGCGAGTCAATGGGTCTACGGTAAATGATCTCTTACAGCGTGCACATCGAGCATGTCCACGCTAAGGTCGTAGGTGGTCAGGTTCATCGACTGAAACACCTCACGGAGCGTCATGGTTTCCCCGGCTTTGGAGCACGTAACAACCTCGTCAGCGTGGTTCTTCAAGGTCTTCTTGATAAATCTGAGCAGGTGCTTCTGATTCATGCAAGAAGCCGCGTGAATGTGGGTGTCGACCTAAAAATCAACGAGAATCTTAATCGCCGTCATCGACGCAAGGAACAAAACATTATCCTTTAGACACTAACTAACGGACCTTCCTAATGTTATAAAAGTCTCTATGAGGAACTGCCTTCTGACTGGCCAGCTCTCTGAGCTCGTTGAGAAGTACGTGGAGTTGGTACTTGGAGGAGAGGTAGCTGAGTCTTCTGTAGCAGAACGACTTGAGAGGGCCATCGGCTATCATCGCGCAGAGAAGATTCATGTCCCGGACGAAAGTAGCCAAATCCGGATAGGAGTAAGGTACCGGCTTCCCGTTGGCCAGATCCTTCTCGTCCGCGTAGAGATTGAAGACTCCGTTAACCGGGACGATCTTGTAACCCTTCGAGACTGGAAACTCACACTCCCAGGGGTCTCCCCTTGAAGCCGGCGCGTGGACCGGATGGTCTGGATTCGTAAAACAAGCTCGAATCAAGTTGGGGTACGCCTCGCAACGTACGAGAACTTGCGTGAACACAGAAATGACTACCGAGGAAGAGGGGAATCGAGGAAGGGCAAGGGCCTGTTCAGTTGACGTCTTTGATCGGATCGAACTTCGAAGAGCTCATTGTCGCGAAGCGAGGAGGCCTTTCTTCCTTGAGAAGCAGTGGAACGGTATTAACGAAGCTCGCTACGTTCATAATAATTCAATTTACACGATTCGGTGAAATTCTACTGGCGATACAACCGATTTTCTTTGAATATCAACGAAACCTCGTTACTTTTTATGCTGCGAAGTACCTGCGATAGCCTTGCGCTCGTCGTGTTGAACTTCGTCCATGCTCAAAGGCCTTTTGTCTACGCTTCGTAAGAAACGAGACGTAATCGACGGGAAGCTCTGCCGGGAATTGTTCATATACTTTTCCCGGATCGCCAGGGCCTGCACCAGCATCTGCGAGGCTTGTTGGAGATCTTCCAGTGGTACCTGAACATACATTCGAAGAAGTGAGAAAAGAAAGTAATCCTGAGGAGAGAGAGAGAGATCGATTCGATGCTCCTAATTATTTATGCTGGTAATATGTATGTGCATGCATGTACATGATGAAATTTAGAATACGCCTTCTCACTAACATGTTGTAAAATATATCCGATTTTCTAGCATAGTTATTTTCATCTCGATGTACAAGGGGAGTCTTATGAAAGGTCCAACGTCAGCGGAGGCTGAGGTGCTGCAAAGGCACACCCATTCCGCCGTACAGGCGAGCAATCGTACAAGTATCACGGGTACTCGATCGCAAATTCGATAGTCTGTCACGTCACTGGATAGTTTTAAAGAACGGGCGTGCCTTCGCGCTAGTTTCGGACCTTTCATCATACTCACCCTGTATATCAACCAAGAGGAAGGTTTGGGATTAAAAATGAAGGTCATCGATATCCCTTAATAGCTATTAATTCTGCAACCGTTGGCGACCTTCAGGGTCTTCTCACACTTCGAGGCACATCGTGTCGGACGTGTCGTCGGTTTATCGAACCACCTAGTATCGAAGGGTTGGGTCAAGCTTTAAAGGGGATGTTACGAACCCGTTATCGGCGACGTACGTTGAATCAATGACACGGACATGTACAATCATTTCTTAATGATCTCCATCTCTGAAATCCTTTTAAACCTGATCGGCTCTCAAAGTGTTAGGTTAAGGAATAAGTTTCCGCCGTTTTTAACGTAAAGTAACGCAACGTAACGTAATTAAATCGGCGGGAATTTATTCCTCAACCTAACATTTCTATAACATGCATTTGACCTACCTGACCCAGCGGACGGAATGTCAAACTTCCTTTCTAGTGCTTTCTAGATTATTTTCATTTACATGCATAAACGTTCCTTGAATTATGTAAATATATTAGAACGTCACGTATGGAAATTAGCCAACAAAATTCGACGAACCGTTGGCAATTACTTGGAAAAATCACGATAAGGGCACATCCCAGTTAGGCGCACAATTAAACCGATGTTTTCCAAGTATTAATGAGAATCGTTAAGATTGGTTAATTTTAGGTCAGTTGATTAGCGTTTCCTCGGCACTGAACATCTTTCATCATTTGTTTGGACACATCGCCGTTTAATCATCGACTCCGGTTGACCGACCGATTACAACCCCTCTCTCGACCAATGGATTTTCTCCTTAACGCGCTTTAACGAGGTTACGCGAATGAAATCGAAGCGGGCAAGGTCAACGGATATCAACGTTGCGACGACTTCTCATTGTCGGATCCTGTAATCACTTGGCAGTGAATGTTATCCAGAGCCGTGGGGTGACGATCGGATCGCCGAAAAGGGTTTCTTTTCGCATAAGAGTCGGCACATCAGGGGCTTCCCCTACTAAAGTCCACGATGAGTGACGTTTCAGGGCGCTTTCTTCTTCAAGCGTTTCGACTCTTCTAACGTACTACCAATTAGCTAGAACAATTCGCACATTTTACTAGCGTAGTTACTATTTAGAAGGTCAGAATGATATTGTCTGTAAAATTTGGGTCGTTTCTTTCTTAACGGAGATACTCTTCGAGCCTAGTTTGGAAGGTCCCATGAAACCGAAATGATAGGACAAAATCATCATTTTGTCAGTGCATTTTGATCCGGTAACGGGTTCAAGTGTCCTTCCGACTTGAACATGCTTACCCCGGAAGTATCCTCGCCGGATATGGAAACCCGTTGGAAATGCGGTACAAAATCATTTTCTTCTAGATTGAAGGGATGATCTATATCATCGGGGACTCCTGGACCCAAGGACGGCTCGTAGTGGCTTCGGCGTTCCTCGAGGTCCTTTGCGGCTCTGAAAAGAATATTCAATTTGTACTCGATTGTCGGTAATTCAAGTCTTAGGACTTTACAGTCAACTAGGACGTTCAATAATAACTGAGCACCCTAAGACAAAGGAAAATAATTAAAATTGAAATTATCTTCCTACGTCGTGTGTGCAACTTTAACATATATTATAAAAGACCAAATGTACGAACAATATCTGCTTCCAATAAATGCGAAGAATATTTTCTCTCTCATTGTAACCGTGCTTAGAACTTACTATAAGTGACAAATGTAAAAATTTATATTAAAAGAGATTACTGTTTCCTTTTTTTTTCCCCTTTAGAATTGCACCAATATCACCACGAACTTGCATGCGTAGTTTTGTGCACGCAGTTCACTCGGCGGGTTATCATGGATGGTTGCCCCTCAGCTTTGTAAAAACGTTGCCTTAAGCGGTGATAACACCATGATAAAAATCATGTTTTAACTCTAAATTAAGCTCCAGTAGCGAGGAAACCGGCGAGACTAGGCGACAGCTTGATCTCGCTCTCGTAATCGACGAAAGGCTGCTAATTTTGACCTTGCCGATCGATCGACGTTCCCTCCTGCTTTGTCTTGAAATGAAATTTTCAGTTGCCTCGAGATGGTGCACAAAAGAGCCGATATCTATCGGCGCGATACCGCCTATGCTAGTATCGGCAAATACCGAGAGACCGTTAAAGTCCAGTTAACGTAAAACCACCCGTGGAATTGACGACATACAAGGGAAGAAGGAAAAGAAATCGAAGCAATGCCAGTAAACTATCAATGGGATACCCGTGCAGCCCGAATCGCCTGGAATTAGCTTATTATCATTACGCGACTCCTACCTAGCTCCACGTCATGAACCATTTATCGTCAAAAGGATACCTCCTGACAAACTGGGTAGAAAACGCGGAGAGATATTTTTCTTCCGTTCCACGATTAATCCGAAAATCTTTCCAACCAATTTCTAACGCTCGGCATTAAGAATGCAAACAATTACGAAGACAAGATAAGGGCATCTCCGAGAGATACCGCGCAGACATGTTTTGCGGCATACTTTGCGCAATATTTTCTACATCTCGGTATCAATGGTCGTTCCGGGCTTTCAACGAGAACGAGAGAAAAACAATTGAATCCAACTCTATCGAAACACAATAGATGTACTTCTTAAACGCTTTCCCCTTTAACGCGCAAATATTGAAATTATTTGTAATTCCGTAATAAGTCCATGAGAAGGTAATTCATCCACATCGCTCGCTCGACTTTGTACTAGAAAAATCGTTGACCTTCTTCTTCGGAGCCTAAGGAGTAAACAATCATAAAGACCTTTAATTAATTTCACTCCAGATTTTGACCCGTTTCCGACCCGAAAATTAGTTTTACCTGACTAACACCATATTATCCCTGAACCACCGTTTCGAGTCGATGGCACCGGCGAACATTTTGCTTCCCTCTTAGGCACTCTCGGAAATCGGTATCACATATATCGCGCCAAGTGCACAGGTCGACAGGTCCTCGGATGAATATTCTCCTAATAGAAATTCGTCCCGAGTTGCAAGGCACATGCTCCGAGGGAGAAGGATCGTCCGATCGCGAATTCTCGCGATCCGCGTGTCCAGGCCCTACATCCGTCGACGCTTCGACTTTGGCCCGGATGAGCGCGCGATTATCAGGGCAAGAAATCGAGAGGTCGATTAATGGAAAGGTCGGCCATTTCCCAAGGTAAAATCCGAGGGAATTCCACGTCCAGCCGGGCCGACGGTCGCTCGCTCACTGAGCGACCCGCCGCCGACTGGTCGCAATCCCTCCAGACTCGCTGCCTCGCAGCGTACCCGAACGATACGTATCTGCCGTATAAACCGTACTAACTTCCCTCCGTGTGTACCGCCCCTCCAATGGGCGGCTGGAACGGCGCGTGGAAACCTCGTCCGGCTCTGCCGGCTCTGCCGGAGCTGCCGGAGCTGCCGGAGCTGCCGCAGTTCCGAACAGTTCCGAAGGAACTCCCAAGGGTTAGTGTCGGCCTCTGCCCGTAAAAGCCATGTCTTCGGATACGACGAGATCTTTCCGAAAATGGTATCCCTCCGAAGTACGGATATACAAACCGCGCTTACTTTCCTTCGTGTACTGGAACGTCACGGGGAAAACCCTGGATGCCAACTCCAAGAGTAAAGTAGCAGTTGCCTTCCCACTTCCCTGTTAGTGCCATTGAAAACATGCTACTCAAAATATCTATTCGAAGTACCATATACATGTAGTCAACGTTTTTTCATAACACAATGTTTCGAAATTTCGTGTACAATCGTGTTCAGGATTTTAGTATACAAGTGGATATACGAATTCCAGACGACTTGCATATTAAGTTTCCAAATTTTTCGTATTCTGATTTTCGGTCACATCTCCGTGGGAATAGGTAAAATATGGGTAATCGTGTACAAAGGTGTGGATAAGGATGTGTATGTTGTCATAAGACACGTATACGAAAACTTGGATATTTTTCTATACCGTTTTTCGTCCACGTATGCATACGCAATCGTATTGTATCTGTATTTTGGAAAAGGCGCATAGCGGTGCACGTATTAACATTTGTACTGACTCCCTTTTTCATTTTACCGTTTCGCTCAAAATTCGGAATACCTACGTACAAATTCTCACACAGAAATGCTACTCTTCGAAACGTAGTATACATTTGTCCGGTTTATTCTTTAAGCGCCGCCGTTTCCGGTTTTAATACACGTTTATATTCGAAAGCATTCGAAATATTGCAACATCTTTAACGGTGTACCTTTCGCCCTGAAAAATGACATTCCCATTTAAAGATCGTTTCGAAATGAAACCCCCTTACCTGTATCGACTGCATTGTCTTGAGCATGCAGAAAAAATAGGATTCATTGAATCACAAAATCGTTTGATTGACCGCATTCAGTTAATTTTCGAAAACGTTTCAGTTTAGTGAACCGAATTTTAGTCCACTTGATCGGATTGCTTCAATCGACTAAAGCATTTGAATTAAAGTAGTTGGATCGCTTTGATAATTTTACAGCATATTTTAGTCGATGAACAAAGTATTTTGATTAAATGTACACAATTACTATAATATTTGGTGATCTATCACAATATTTGAAGTACTCAACCAAAAATTATTGACCAAAAAATTTTGTCCTGTCAATCAAATATTTGATTGTCTATATAATGACCATTTTCTATGACTGGCAATTTTATCAATATGAACGACACTTTTGTTCATTTAATCACATAGTTTTTTGTTTTGCGTGAATAGTCTGCAGGAACCTCTCGTGACTTTTTAACTTTGAAGCTTCAAAGGGGCTTCGAATGTAAACGTTACTACTGCTCATTTCCTCGAGATTAACGGTATTAGTATTCGACGTCTATCATAAATCTACAATTTTGTCACACCGTGTTGAAATTTTGTGCAATTGCATAGAAAAATTATAAATTTGATATTCGAAAACCATTCAGTACGCATTGTAGCGACATTTTTGAGTCCGAGAAATATTTAAATAATATTTTGAAAAATTCTTGCAATCAATGGAAAACTGCAATAGCATCGTGGACACTGTAACTGCTACTTTTCCGTGAGTGCCGGGTTCGTTACCGCGATAATTGCAAAAAGATTTTTTTCGACGTTTAAGATAGGGCTGTCTCTAAAATCGTCCTCGAACGTGCCCAGAATATATGTCAAATTTGTTTCTTCCCAGTAAAAACATTTATTATCAAGTATTGATCAACACAAATTTATAACATATATTGTAAATGTATTACACATATATACTACATTTATAATATATGTTATATATTTCATTTGAAAATATGTTATAAAATTATAATATTTTTTTTTAACAGTGTACAAGAAAGGAACGAAAAAGAAACCGAACAACCAGGAAATAAAGATACGTGGGGTAACACCGTTTCAAGAAATGTTTCCGACCTTACACAGCAGCTTATAGGGTAAACGCGACCTCAGGGAGGCGATTCTCTCCCGCAAGAAATTAGGACTCGAAATGTAGAGTATTAAACCGATATGAAAGGATCAGCCTATATATATAACCGAGAAGTCAAATCGTTCGTGAAAGTATTCTACGAATTAGGTGTATCGATTCGTTTCAAATTTTACCTCGTAAATATGGAGCTCTTATGGTAGGCCCTGAAACTCATGAAATTTCATTTTTTAGATAAAATGTCTTTATTTATCATGGACTAAAACCAACATGGCGTCATTCGTGCACGTTTTTCATATTTTATGCCTTTTGAAGGCTTAGATTCGGAAATGAAGAGTTTTAGGGCCTAACTCGAACAATTTAGAATACTATAGAAATGGGACATATTACAGAGTTAGATAGGAAAATGTGGAAAATACGTTCACGAACGATAGCAAGAGAATCTGGCGTTTCCCGTGGGTAACACGTATTAAAAAAAAAAAAAAATGTATTTGCAGTTAAACGTCCGTAAAACAGATGGCTTCGTCAGTCCATTAGAACATAAAAAACCATGAATCCAAGGAACTTCTGTGGTTTTACGCCAATCTCTTTATAATTATTCTACTGAAATGACACATGGTGCGCTTCGTCTCGTATAATTTTCAACGTAGAGTGTAACCGACTTTAATATAAATACAAATGTCGGTAACGTGACGCGCCAGCTTATGTTACCACCTGAGCATCCAATATGGCGTTACCACTAAAAAGGGTATAGATGAATATTATTTTATCGACGTCGATTAAATTTCTGACCGCTTTTCATATCACCTTAAAGGATGTCGATCACACATATGTCAGTTGACGCAGAGTGGAGGCTCAGCTTTTACGAATGCATGTCAATTGCGATCACACTCCCGGAAATGAAGACACGTGGCATTCTATTTCTCGATTAAAATCGTTGCGTGCGACGCCGACGTTAATGTTAATTCGCTGATTCACCGGCTGCACAGAGGAGGAAGAAAATCACTGCTTTTTTCCTCTAGGTTTCTTGTAGCCATTTCCTGTTTCGCTATCAATCATTGGGCAATGTTGTCAATAGCAATTAATAATCCGCTTCGATAGAAAAAGAGCACCGCGCCGTGGTTTCAGCTGATGGTTTCCATCTCAGCTCCTCGAATCGCGTAATGAAAATTGATTAACGTTTCATTTGAGAAACCTATTCCATTGTACCCGCGCGGCTCAAAAGTGCCCGAAACATTTTACCCAGCTCCGGTTACGGTGAATTCGTCCCGAAAGAATTGAAAATAATTGTTTCTAAATTTAATCCGACTTTTTCACGCGGTCTTGAAGCTTCTCGTCGCATAAGACTGCAAGACCGCAAGGCGAGGGTCTCACGCGATCGGAGCTCGTGCCATTCATCCACATTTCATTTATTTACACTTTTCAATAGTTCGGAAATCTTACATCTCTGTCAAGTAAAATTTTTCCCTTTTCGGGGAATGCTCCACCTGGTTCGAATAACAATAGCTAAAGTTTTCGACAATTCCCCTACGTCGATCTCCAAAGATAATAAAACACTATGACTCTGTCGAGCGCGTCCGATAAAAAGTCAATTTCGAACCTCTTTGCGATTAAAGAGATTAAGGAGAAGAAAACGAAAGCTTCTTTCTCGAAGCCTTTCCAGCTTCAATCGCGTGAAAGGGTTACCGGTTAACAACTCTTCCGGAATGAACATCAGCTACGAGTAGCGCCGTTACCTTAAGCAAAGGTCGGATAATTCACTAATCATCGATCGAATAAAGTAAGGCAAGGCGGGTCGGAGGAGACGCAGAAAATGTTGGGTGACGCGATGCCTCATACGGTGGCAATATTAAATTAATATTTATTAAATTAGACGCAACGACACGTGTGATTATTCGCGAGAGGGGTAGTCGCGAACGGGTCATAAGCAGAGTCGGTCTTGAGCGTACAGAGACCTATTTATAGACGATTTATCGCCCATGAATCTCCCCCGTGAGTATCCTTTCTAATCTTAAGAAGAATCTCCTTCATCTTCTTCAGCGCGCCAGCGACAAGTAAATATTAATTCTTTTCCATCCGGTGCTTCGGTACGATAAAAAATGGTAAACCAGGGCGACATTAGTCAACAATTTTTTTTTTCTCTCCGAGCAATTTAATGCAATAAAACATGAACCTGCCGTCCATTGTTGCGAGCGTTCTACTTTGCCCCGCAGAAATTTGACCGAATCTGGGTCGGTAAGAAGATTGACTTACTTACATCGAGAGATTCCCCCATGGTCCCAAATGAAATACCCGCCCTGAGCGACCACGAACTCGTTTCGCGACGCAAACGCGTCCCGGTGATGCAATGCGCGTTTTATTTGCGAAAACGTGACTAATAATCACTTATGAAAGGTGATCCGGGTGAAGGTGGAGGTGTTGACGAGGTTCCGGAGTGGATAAAGTGTCACTGGAATGGTAGAAGCATTCCTGATAAGGCTATCCTTGACCGCGACCCATTAAACGATAAACGGGAAAGCAGTTTTATCGTCTTCTGGTTACCACCTTTCCTCTCGACACCGGGACGTAATCTTTCCAGGGGACGATACCAGGCGATGTTGAATTTTCATGAATTTTAGAGTAACCGTAGCTGACCTGCGTAGCACCTGAATCGCTCCCCCACGCGAAATAAAAGTGAGAGCCTTTCGACGGTTCTACTGCTCGAGCAATTCCTGATACACTGTGCGTCATGAATACACACTAGTTTATGCATACAAATGGTCCCGAAAACGGTCATTGGGCGCTTTACGTGTCCTTGGGCGAATTCGGCGTAAGGAAAATTCAAAATAGCTGCCTGAGATAGGGAAAATGAATTTCCTCTTACTTATCCGTATACCCGTAGATTGAGTCAATTTGTACGTGAATTTCGCAATGTACGCGTTGATATAGAATCACTCCGCCTTTTCAGAAAACAGCAAGCTAAAAGGAGTCGAATAGTATATAGAATCTCTGGGAATAGCCGAGCGGGTTGCTTGCCAAGTTTGTAAAAATTCTGAACACGAGATCCGATCGTAGCATGGCCGTGGACCAACAAGCGTTCGTTGAACTCCAAGAAATGGAGAGAGCTTTTGCGTGCCGAGTTGCTACGTATTATTCTTTAGAAAATGCCTCTCTGCACGCGATAGGATTTCTATGCTCTCTAGACGGAGAAAAGGAAATTTGCCCTTCTGGTAAAGGGTAACGTACAATTTGTTGTTGCTAGAATAGAATTTCTGTTGTCTCAGGAATGCATGAGTTTTCTTTTCTCCTCAATATAACAAAAATGTTTCGGAAGAAAAACATTGCAGGTCCATTTTGAAGTGTTCACATTTATTGAAGCAAGTAAAATTTCTTGTTATGACTATGAATTTCTTTTTTCGTGTAACGACTCACTTGACGGTGAGTTGCCTCTGTATGAGCAACTTTTTTTCGATCTGCTCGATCGGAAACTGCGGCACTTCGTACGGGGCGGAGATTTCATTTGGCAGCTCGTGAGGTGCCAACCTCAAAGGTGGACCACCACCTCCAGCGCCACCACCGTCTAAACCAAAGACTGGGCTCTCGCTTCCTGGAAAAAGAAAAATATTCAAAATCTTATTAATCGTTTCACGCGTCCACTCGATGTATTTCGTTGAAATCCTTTCCTCAATTATCTATTTCGCATACATGAAATTTATTTAAGGGGGGATTCGTGTGTAACATTATAAAAAATCGATTTTCCTTTTTTTCCACATAAATCAAAGGTACATCTTTGAAGTATGCACGCAAAATTATAAGATCGGAACAACAACGTTACGGCCAATTTAGTGAGACGCGTCAGAAAAGACTGACATGAAAAAATGGAAAAATTTGATATTTGCTAGTCTTTTAGCCCGTTACATGAAAATCCCCTCTTAATTAAAGAGATTTCGCAAAAGGGAAGCAGACCGAGCTCAGCAGCGAGGGGAAAAAAATATATGTCCAGACTAAATTTACCATCGCCCTCCACCTGGTTCAGTCTTCTTCAACCATTCTATGATAGAATCCGCAGATTGCGAGCAATCACGGAAGAGTACAGCTTTATTTCCTCCTACCATCATGATATATTAGCAACTAATCTATCTCTCTTGAGAAATGCTCTAAAAAGATCAACCAGAACTCCTTCAAATTCCGGAGAAACTATTAGGATCTTTGAAAACTCCAGAATTTCGTTCCGAAAACGTCGAATGGAATGAACGAGGGAACAGTAGTGAAATTGAATACAATATTTACGAAATACGTTAAGGACGAAGGTGCGAAGAACGTAAGTACATTAAAAAAGCTCATCGGCATACCCTGCGTAGTGTGGGCACATTTTAGCCACGTCCGTTCCTCTTGATCGTGTCAATTCGATGCACAAATATTCATTTTATCTCATAAGCAAACGTTTCGTAAACATTCGACATGAAGAAATTCCGTGTCTTTATTGAACCAAGTGCATCAATAAAGAACAAGCTTCTTCAGGTTAAGACAAGTGTGCATTAAGAAGACAACGCCAGATGTTCATATGTAAAATATGTACGCAAGGACTTACGTTCAGACACGATTCTGATCCGACTTGAGGTTGTGATTGTATATATGGAGTCCAGTTTGTTAGAAGTCCTCGTTCGGACAGTGGAAAAAATACTTTTTAACAGCAAAGCAATTTGCGTGACAGTCTGATCACTCTGTATAATATTTAAACTTAGAAATTTTGAGAACCTAACTTCCTAAATAACTAGAGTACTAAAGTCCGACTGCAATGAAAAAATGTCTTTTTAACAGCAAAGCAATTTCCGTCTGGTCTTCAGTTTAGATATTCGCTCTTATACCATAAACAGGTGGTCCGTTTGTCATATTTCGGCAACGTAAGATGGTTATGTACTAGAGATTGTAATTTTATTACATTCCGTGTTCATAGAGGGATGCCGTAATCAGCTATGTAATCAGCTAATATAACAATATCGGTGAATCTTTTTACCAAGTTTGTCAAATTCTACGAACAACGAAATCTGTGAACATATTGAGAGGTTGAATCATCCCTATTGTTTCTTATTTTATTTTTTAGGTAATGTAAGTATTTCAACAATCCTCCCAGCCTGGCATAGTTTCCTTTAACGAAAATGAGCAATGAACTATCCACGAATCTAATAGTAACACATTACAAGTTCCGGTGTTGGGTAGGTACAGGGTTGTGTAAGCATGTAGTTTCGTTTATTCAACGTATATAACACGTGATTCGTCGACGTCTTTATTCGGGCACAAATGTCACGTTTAAAACACGTCATTTTCCGCTCTTCCATAGACCGCGTCATTCGAACACCAAAAATTCACGTCATTGGCACGTAATGGAATGTTCCTCTGCCACCTAGATAGGATACATGAAAATCTGTAACAACAGAAATTATATTAGAAAAACTATTCCCAAGACGATTTTAAAACGTCCAAAGCACAAACATAATCACTTCAACGCTGTTCGGCCAGCCATGATCAGGAAGGAACCAATTTGGGCGCGTCAAGGAATTTCTCCTGACATCGACAACTTCGTGCAATACGCGAGAACTTTTCAAGCCGACAATTCCCCTACTATATTTCAACTTCTCGAGAGTTGATCTTACAGGGTGACAAAAGATAAAGGACAATGGAAAACGGGCTCAAAAAGATCATTGAACTGAGAGGCCACTGGCTACGTTAACCGGTCGCCAGAGCCGAATGGACACGAATAAATTTACAATCAATTTTATTCAACTATGCTAACGTGGCAATGTCAGCTTTATGTGCATCGAATAAACTGAGTAGCAGGAACTTGACACTCGATGGACGACGACGTGCGGTAGGATGTCGAGGCAGCTTTTACAAGAAGAAAAAAGAAAACCCTCACGTGGGACCTTCTTATACGATGTTACACGTAAGCGACGTACATCTTGCACGCTCGGAATCTATGTAAATAGGCAGATGCGCTTTGAATGTGCTCTTGTACGAGTGGGAAAACTGCATGAGGGGCTTTGAAGTACACCAGACATGTCAACGATCTACAACGAATGGCAAAAAATATAACAATTGAACAGGGACATTCTCTATAAAGTCCAGACAACTATTTCTCCGATATCTCTCTACTAGACAAAAAAAAAATGGTAAAATAATTGCTCATCACCAAATTATGTCTACTTAGAAGACATGCAGATGGAACAGCGACGTACAGATACGACTTTTTTCTGTCTTAATGGTTGTTAAGGAGAGAGAACCTACGCTACTTTTTCTCGCATTTCAATGAAATATTACGATTTTTCACTCGATAGAATTATTAAGGTGAAGTGAAACACGTCGAGGAACTTGATCGACGTCGATAAAGAAGATTTTTCTAAAACCTACGTTGCCGACGTTTGTTTTTATATTGACATCTGTGCCGAATGATATTGGGTATTGTACCAAATGGCATACTCCACCTGTCGTTTTCGTACAATAATTATAAAAGAATCGAAGTAAAACTGAAGAAATCCTCTGGATTCATGCTTTCTGGAGGCCTAATTAACTGTAGAGGGACCCCCTGCGCCATCTGTGATTTCCAGGTCAATTAAATTTTCACTCCGAGACCTCGTATTCCCATCGTTTTAGCATAGAAGCACATACAACACTTTTTTTGCCTTTATCCCGTTTAAATGCGAGTTTATCGATTACCAGAGTGTTCTAAATTCTCGTCAAATTGTCCTGACCCTTTCGTTTCTCATATCAGAGCCTTCGATAATTGTATATTGATCGAAATATGAGAGTTCGACGCCATTTTGGTTCTTGTCTGGGCTGAGTTAAAAAATTTGGTTGAAAAATCGAAATTTTCAATGTGTCAGGACAATTCTTAGATGATCAGGAGTGATGTGTCAAAGTTTCGGACAGTTTGGTCCAATACCCTTAAAGAAAAGTGTTGTATTCGAATTGACTGATTTGAAAGGGGTTTCACTTCACCTTAAGGAATCTGACTGTGATTCGTCGCCAACCCTCCAATCTTCCCCATGGCATAATACGTTAAATTCTGACCTTATGATTTTACTTCTCTACCGATAAGCCACACGGAGTCGAGTGAGCCCTTGCGTGAACGCTCGATTCATGACAATTTTCATTAATAAACATAATTTAGGAGCACGCGAGAGAAGCGTATCGTAGTATAATGACAAAACCCATAAATCAGTCATCTTATATATCAATGAACGGAGGTTTAGTACTCGAAAAAGCATCCCGAGTAGATTTTGAGATGGACTACAGGATCTAGGACATTTAAGGTGATATGAAATTGTAATATGTACGTATATACGTAACAAAAAGTCAAAATATCTATAAAGCTTTTCTTCAAAGTGGGTGCACCGAATTATTTGAAACTATAACACGTCATTATGGAGGCTCTAAGTAAGAACGCGTTGCCCGTAAAATTTCATTTTTCTAAAAAAGAAATTTCATGAGCAACGCGTTATTCCTTAGGGCCTCCATAATCACGTGTTAAAGTTTTAGATAATTTGGTGCACCCAGTTTGGAGAAAAGTTTCATAAATATTTTGACTTTTTCTTACGTATATATCACCCTTTCATATCCCCTTAAGCAACATTTCCTCGTTGATTCAGGAGGGACGTGTCATTCCGAAAGCTAATCGATTTCTGTTCACAATAATCCTCTCCTGTAGATTTGTGGCTACATTTGTCCAGCCTCCTCCAGGATATAACCTGAAAGAACGAGAAGACTTGGAAGAATCCTGTTTCCACTCTACGAGGGCGTAGCCACTGGCATTCACCAATACTCATGCCGGTTTCAACCACTAGAACGAGAACTGCGTATACGGAGTATCGTTAACAAGGCGCCAGTTACAAGTACCTACTATCGTATTCAGAAATGTAAGTCGAAGACCTTACACTGAGAAAAAAATGCATCGAATCAGAGGAATATTTTGTTACTTCAAAAAATAATTATTTCACTCGAATTCAAATAAGTTGTCATAATTCCGAAAAAATGTTGCATCGCGTGTATTCGAGTTTATTTGAACGAAATAATTATTCTTCGAATTAACAGAATATTTCTCTGGTCACACTGTACAAAGAAATATTTCTCTGGTTTAATGACATTTTTTTCTCAGGGTAAAAGTGAGGCTGCCGGTATTTCTTGAAAACTATTACGCTTTGGAAACCACTCGTTTAGAGAAATGTCATTCATCATGAAGAAATTCAATTATTATCTACGCAGATTCATAGGTAAGTTTAGAATATTTTGTACTTTACAGTCCTAACGATACATTCGATGGCCAGACAAAACATGAATACCTAAACAATTGATTTAAACCGAAACGTGCGGGCGTTGCAAGATAATCGAAAATTCCTGAAACGAGCGAGGGATTTTCACAGGATGCGACGCGAACGAACCGTGTCTCTTAGAAGAGATCCGCCGAAGTATCGGCGACGTGTACGCGGAATTGGCGAGCACCTCCAACCGAGGGAATGCGTTCTACGTCCCGCGATATTGTTCGCAGCCTGTAAAGTGATGTTTAGGACCTGGAACGCCCTCCCTCCGATCGGCGAGCGTGACTCAAATCCTGGCAATGGTCCAGCAACGTCTACCTCGGCCAAGAAGCTCCAAGAAGCTCCAAGAAGCTCCAAGAAGCTCCAAGAAAAGAGAGCTCCTCGGCGGTCCGGACGTCGTTCGGAGTCGATACGCGCTTTTCGGAATAACAAACCCTTGCTTATATTCCTACTATACGGAATTCCTGGGCATTAGAGGACGCGAAGAGCTCTGAAGAAAACTTAAGCTAACAGGAAATATCCCAAAAACTGGAAGAAAATTCTTGCCTTGAGAATGCTCATTTTATATGTCATTTCGGTAAGAATTTAATAACAATTGTCGGATCGTTTGCGGTTACTGGAATTATTGTAAAAGTATTTCATCATTCGTTGAAAATTTCTCTACGTCATTTTTGGATATTCACCTGGAATTCCTCGTTTTGTTCCGGTGTTGTATTTTTCTTGTGTAACCTTTTCGGCCTTCGAGTTTTGGTCTCACGAAATAACGGTCCTATGAATCGACAATCTATAATATCGTGGATGTACTACTTTTGGACCCGTTGTTTTTACGTCGGTGCTGCCCAAACCGAATCGACCAAATATGTCCGAGACGGATTCGGCCTCACCGACCGTAAGACCAGAAAATTCAAGTGAAAAATATATCAGGGCGGTAACGCGTCGAGAGAGAAACTGCCAGACGTTCCATTTAAAGCCACTTACGCAATACCGGAGTCAATGCCGTTTTCATTACGCGCTTGCACCTGCGATGTTAAGCTACCGCTAACTCCATACATATATTTCGTATTAATATTTTCGAACGGGGCAGGACGTGCATTACGACAGACACCGTATTATAACAAACGTCGCTTTTGTCGTTCGGTTCAATAAGTCATAACATACTTTTGCGACGGACGTTGTAACGACGCTCCTGTGGCCCCGGCCTACATCGATAATCCTTTTTGCATTTGCTTCTTTAGTCCTGATACATATTTTAAAATTCTTTACATAATTGCAATAAAATGTCCAGCATGAATGCCACTAGACGGAAAATACTCATGGAAACAAATTGGATCCGTTACTCATAAATTTGAATTAACAAGAACGTAACGATTGCAAAGGAAAAAATTCTCTCGCAAAATGTGAAAACTTTTAACACGGAGCTTCGATCATTTATATTATTATACAACGATCGCGAAGGGAGCAAAGAGATAAAATGATTCGTTAAAAAAAGAAGCCCTTTTCAATTGGCTCAATTACACTCGGCCCGATTACCTTCGTCGGGGTCGATGAGAAAATTCGGGGGAACCAGAATGCCGAGGAAGGCTTCTCTGTCCGCACAAGTCAATCCTCTGCTGGACATTTTCCTCCCTTTTTCGCCGACCCGATGGACACGCTGTTTTCGTTGCCGGGAATTCCAGCTCGGGGCGATCCCGACCTCTTCGCTTCGGAGACCCGACACTTTCACCGGGAAACTTTCAATCCGGCACCATTCGTTAGGGGCAGGGTGGAGGGGGCGACCATTAAATCGGGAACGACGACTGACGAGTGGACGAATAATAAACGCCGTTCGCCTTGACGCTATTAACGGGCTCAAACGGTAACTGTATTCCGCGACTTTGTTAGGTGTACCGATCGCGACGCGCGAATGATAATAACGGATAAGGGTTCGATGACCTTGAGCTTGACGAGCCGCGAGGGATACCGCAAAGGCTCCTTGACCGATTCAAATTTCCGGAAATAATGTGCAACCCCGCGTCTCTTTTCAATTTGGCCTCGATTTTGTACGACCGGATTTACGAAGGTGTCCTCGACACCCTCGAGATAAACACTGGAGGTCAAGCCAAATTACCGCTAGACCCTACACGTTAGGTCGCTTGGGCAGATCTTGAATTATTTTCCGATGCATTTAAGAATCTTTCTTAAATCAATCTCATAATTAAGTAAGAAATGGAGTAACCCGGTATAAACACACGGCACAGGTACTTTCCGACCAACGGTAAGAGGTACGAGTTTCGATTGCGAATCGCCTGGGAACCAGAAATAAGGCAGACGATGGTATGCCGATGTTAGATAACTTTTCATGTAATCTCCCCCGACGGATTTAAAAGGAGAACAAAGAGAAAGGAATTCGGGCAATTGCATCGAAAACCGCGTCGACTCGTCGGTGAGCGATTAAAGTTTCCGATAAAAGACGACGACGACGAAAAGGCGATCAAGACTGACAACCGATCGTCAGCGCGATAGTCGGCTGCGCGTTCCTCGGCAACGAACCGACGTACTGAGACGAAGCCACGCGAGTTGTCTTGTTTCTATTCGTGCACTAAAACTCGCAGGAGCGTCACGAGCGAGTCGCCACCCGCGGGGCCAGGACGGGGGCAGTTTGGCGATAACGAAAATAACGCGGCGTGGCTGCTAATGCTGACAGACGCGGTTGGCCCTGCCAACTACCAAGAGGCTAGTCCTCGGCCAATTCGTCCCGTCGTGGATTTTTCCTTGACGACGAAAACATATCGAGAGTGTTTACCGGGAAGGGTCGTGAATCAGCGACCCCGATAAACTTAAAGACCGGCGAAACGGCAAAGAAAATGAGAAATCTTCCCAGGCAAAAGTCATCGCGCGGTCCCTCCAGAGGATAATTACGACCCATATCCTGGCCAAGTTTCGCCAGAACCGCGACTACGAAATGTTTTTACGGCACGGGTGGACTCGCGTCGCCTTGAAAGTCTCGAGTTAATTCCGTTACCTTTCGAACTAATTCGAGTGGTGTTTAAGGAGATGCGATAACAACGGACGGTCACGGCGTTGCATTTAGAAGCTACATGCATATAAGAATTTAAATCATTGCAGGCCCATTTGTACAATTTTCTAATTAAACCAATTAAGTGAGGGGACAATCGACAGCGTTTACCGTTGCCTCGTGATTACGTATCATGTAATCGGCAAGGATGAAATACCTAGACTCAGCAGTCACGGCGATGATTCCAATTTGTCCGTTCCAAAGCTACCCCCGATCGTTCGAGAAGTGTCCCATCTTCGGAAAAGATTCCGTAAAGACTGACAACTCCTTCGCCTCGTTTAACTCCTGTCAACTCCATATTATCCATCGCCATCGGATGCGAACCACCTTACGCTTCTACCTGACTTTCTCGTTAACCCTGGACCGCGATCCTCGGTTGCGGAAATTGTACGCAACGTCCTACGACGATTCTCCCGGGTCTTTCGTCGCTGGTGACGAGTGCCCGGTTCCGGGCGTCCCGACCTAATCCAAAGACTATTGGACTAGGTCGGGAGGGCTCGACCTAGTGTGTCCGTAGTGTAAATCGATCCGACTCGTTGCGAACGTTGCACTCACGGTCGCGATGATGGTCGACGTCGTGGCCCGGTGTCGTGGAACTGTCGGCATCACCCTCGCCGTCTATTTCGTAGTAAACGCCGCCACCTGTTCCGTTTATGTCCTTCACCCCGTTCACGGCAATCGGCTCCTCCATGACCCTGAGAACAGTCAAAACTCGGATTAGGTCTGGAGTCGTATACGATGCTCCCGGTATATTCGATGTATACGCAAAAAAGCAAAAGTACGACAGCTCGGGCGTTCGATTCTGCTTGAAATCGGGCCGGCTCGGATGGCTACTTCGTTCGCGTTGCTAATGGCGGGACGATTTGATAAGACGCACTTCTAAAACTGGCTTCCGTTTAAGAAAAACGGAATTGCAATTGTTTTTAGAGGGGTTTGCAAGGATGCAGTAAATATACGGAATTAGTATTCTTGGCGAATGGGGCAACCGGGATGACCTAAATAATAATTGGTAGCTGCGGATTCTATCTTAAATGCTGTGCCAAAATGCCTCTACGATCTGATAATAATTACTCGCTTTGCCAACTTCTATTTAAACACGGATAATCTCTAAATTGCGATGCATAACTATTGGTCCGGAAGTCTATAATGCAAGAGCTCTATTAGCCAATGAATGTTTGTTTTCTTCCTATTATTTCAGGATTATAATTACTCCTGTGAAGAACATTTTTCTGTAAAAAGCGGTGAATTTCGTCGTTTGATTAGGGAGTTCGGAATGTATGAGCACTCTTAGTGAGCGGAGTTGCACGAGTGCTCAAACAATAAGGTTGACCGAGATAGCCCCGGCGACCATTCCATTTGTAAAGTGACCATGCCGACACAATTCAATAGTAATTACTCGGCTTTTCTTTCCGTCAAATGATGATTACCTTTATCCTTTTCAATTCTTTTTCAACGGAACATGTCATGTATGAAAAAAAACTTGCGTTTTGTATATTTCTCTGTTTCGTTTAACGAAAATTAAAAAAATTAACAATCTATAAGATAATTAGATATAAGTACCAGAACAGTTTTATAGGTATATTATCGGAAACATTTTTTGCAAGTTAAAGTCGTTTTAACGGAATATTTACCACAGACGCTTTTATTGCATGTACCGCAAATACTGATCGACTTCTCATTTATGTAATATTTTACATCTTCACGCTTCGACGAAATATCTGCCTGATCTGTTGCCTCCGAGAGTATTAATTCCGCTCTTGTTGAAGATCGTCCCGTTAGATTTTTATGCTCACTCTCATGTTCATTGGCTCATTGAAATAGGAAGTCTTTCTTAACATATATTCCCTTGTAGTTGCGTTATATAATATTCAGAAATTTATTGGGACACGATGTAAAATAATATAGAGCCCTTGCAAAGGCCACATGTGTTTAAACATTATATTTCTTAGCCATTTAGTTGGCAATGTCTACCCCGAATTTAGTATTAACCCTTATCACTCCAACCGGCAGTAATGCTGCCAACGTCTAATACTCTTCTAATATTCTTGGAGTGAGAAGGATTAATATAAAATATCAAGTGTTCATTCTGAAATTGTACATTTGATTTCCTACAACTTTGTGGACCAGGTGTATGGACATTTTTGGAGGACCTTTTGAAATCTCACTATTTATCGGCAGAGGAAGCAAGAAAACTGATTCGAAATCGTACAATGCTAACTGCGCACCTCGCATAATGCAAAAATAGTCTCTCGCCAGCTGTGGGCAGTGACAACCGAAGAGAATTCGTTTCTGCCACGTGGCGTATATGACTCACTTTTCCGTGGATTTACGCTCTTTGTCAGACGATGACTCTTCAATCTGCAGTGGCAACGAGAAGAATTAAATACACGAATACACTATAAATTCCATCCAGCTTCCAGCCAGCCAAATTACTATTTTAACACCCTAATCGATATGTATTGAACATAAAATTACTTAGTTATCAAGTAAATCGCGTACAATATACGTTTTGTTTTATCAGTTTTCTTAACCACGAGGAACGAATTAAGGAATAATTGTGCCGAGCAAAGTGCTCAAATGACGAAAACCTTTTAAGAAATACGATGCCTATTCTCGAAAGTGGGATTAATGGCGAGACCCGGAGAGTCGTTTTCCCCAAAAATCTGTCAATGGCCTTTTAATTTGGGTCGTTAACGATCTGTAACCACGATCGACCTAGTTGCTTGTTAACGTCTTTGCCAAGAAGGCCGGTCACCAGTACGGCATAAATTACCTAAGAAATATAAGAAAATCATTGGAGATGTCCTCATAGGGAACGCATAGTTCAATACGAAGACAAACTTAAAAAAAGAAATGTTTATTGCAGTTCTTATCGATGGCTACATCGTCGATTCACGATTGCGCATTTCTTTGACAGAAGATAATCTGCCAGGAGTCGATAAGATTTCTCAAATCGCTACAATACTAGAGATGCAGAGTAAACATTGCGTCACAGTACCGAGAAATACTTCGCTCTAATCGTCACGTACGTCGTACGATAGGCAGCAGCAATTAAGAATCAAATTGTTACAGGAAAAACTGAATTCGCGCGTTCTCTTTGAACTCGAAAATTACATTCAAAGCATTAAATGAATCGTGTAATTCAATATATAGTTTGAAAATAGTATTGGCCACTTAATTTGCTACTTAAGCAGCGTAAATCTTATGTTTAAAATATCCAGGTGTATTAATTTAAGGCGACCGAAATATAGGTTCGGTATAACCAAATCTGAAATTATTATGACATTATTTGCAAGAAATCGGTTAATAAAAAGTAACCGAAACGTCCGTACCGGCCTCATTTTCAGAGGATCCGTTACGCACATGCTTATGGAATTGGCGATCATGTACGATTTCCTCAGAACTTGACATATTCCTTCACATCGGTCCCCATTTTTGCCAACTGTCCGACCACAGAATTCTGTTGGAAAATCAAACCGCCAATTTACGCAAATCAAATCCAGAAAAGAAATTTGCGAATAATTCGTGCACACTTTCGATAACGTTCGACGAAACTCCTCATTCATGGAAACGTTATGGAGTAATAAATGTAGTAAGTCGCGCGAAAGAAACGAGGAAACACGGTAGAGTTTCGCGCCAAATATATTAAAAGGCATACGTCAGCGACACCGAACACTTAATGCCAAAATTCGGCATAAAACTAAGGAAGCTAATCGAAAACGTGGCCCGGGCATCGGGGCGCAACGAGCACCGCCATTGCGGCTTCCAGCCCGAGGTTGAGAGTCACCGGTCGCGACGCTCGCCGAACTCGTAGCAGGCCGATCGGCGCGTCGTTCGAGACTCACCCGTCAGACTTTCCCAATTGGACGAATTCGTGTCGAGACGGTGCTCCCGTCAACTGTCAGCGCGCGATCGATTCGTTTTCCTTCGGAATCTCGGTCAGTGGTCGACTCGTGCAAATACCGTGAAAACGGCGTCCCTATGAGGCACCGCGCGGGAGAAGACACCGAACAACACTGAGGCTCACTGAGGCTCGTTGCGCTCCGTGAGCCGCTGGAAGTCGGGCGACGGTCCCGCTCTCGCCCGCTCTCGCCCGCTCTCGCTCGCTCTCGCCGGCGCGGACCGCGCGGACCGCGCGGACGCGACTCCGTCGATACGTGCGGCAGGAACGACGACGAACGAGGCCATTCGATCCCCTGCACCTTGGCTCCACCTGTCGAATTCGGCTATCCTGCGTCGACCGTCCGTGGAACGAAATGGGCTCTTGTAAATCCAGGTTCACGGCCGATCCTTAAGTCGAGCAAGGTGCGGCAGAAACGACCACGAAAGAAGACACTCGACGGGTGCAACGAATACCGATGGGCGCTACAGGGGATGTGTAACCGTTGAGGAGGAAGTTTGGAATTTGCATGGCAATTACCGGGATAAAAAAAAATCGAAGATTCTGCTTCGAGAGCCACTTGGGGTGCTATCTTACATATGGGGAATAAAATGGGGAGCGGCCGATCGTTGTTCGATATCGCTCCATACGATACTTCAAATGTATGGACCGACTCGATCGAACGGCCAAGTTTTGCGTGGTTATTCGCGCGATACGGACCGAAGTCGATTTCGATTTAGAGTGGATATTTCAGCAAATCGGAATAATGCGCACGGAAAAGAATAATTTGGTTACGATTACTATAGCGACATAACTAAAGTACCATGGTAAGTGAAATCGACCACATCAAATGGCAAATGTAACCTCGCCAATTAGGATCCATGGAGCTGCGCTTAAAAGGTGCAATGGGGATCAACGTTTGGAACGGTAATATTAACTATATGCAGAGGTTACGATAAGCACGGTAAAATTCGGGTTCCCGCCGATACGATTCTTAAAAGAGATGGCTCGGTGCACAAATGAATCGCGATTGGTTGGACCGAATCGAGCCGTCCGATTGGTTCTCACGCTTACCGCGCTGCAGTCAAAAAAGAACTTACCTACCGATCGATCGACCGATTTTTCTTGCTTACTTGCACCGTACGACCAAAAGCGTATTCGAATGCCGAATAATGTACAATTACCTCGCGTTCTTCCGTTCTTCGAAATGCACTGCACGCCACCGAATGGGCGAAGCATTCCGAAAACCGCTGGAAGCTGGACGCTCGTGCCGCCTCGCGAGTTCGTCGATACGCGCAAGCGCCTCGCGATCGGTCGAATCCGATTGGAGCGCAGGCTCGACCCCATGAAAATCCATAAACCCTCTCGACCGTCTCCTGACCGTCCACTGACCGACGCCATTTTCGGCACTCGGCCAAAAAGTTAAGAGAACGAAACCACCCAGTTTCTGTACTACGGAATGAATGCCGCCGGCATCGCTCTCAATGGAGATGCGAGCTACTGTAAAGGACCGATCGATTTCTCGTGGCTGAATACTGCGGATGTTGCGGATTAAGATGTTACGAAGGGGTCATTCTATGTATATCGATACGTTAAAATGTTTATAAAACTTTTCTTTTCTAAAACCGGCTGCACCGAATCATTTGAAACTTCGGCACGCGATTGCGAAGGCTCTAGGACGAACGCAATGCTCATGAAATTTCATTTAAAAAAAGATATACATGTCCTTAGTTCTAGTCTTGGATGAATATAAACTTTTTTTTTTTTTCAAGAAATTTCACGAGCATCGTGTTCTTCCTCAGGACATATCATATGGCCCGTGAGCACCTAAGAATTATCCTGACACATTGAAAATTTGGATTTTCGAAAAAAATGCTTTGACTTAGCCTAGACTAACATCAAAGTGGCGGCGGGCTCTCATGTTTCGATCAGTGTAGAATTATTGAAGGCTCTGATATGTAAAACAAAAGTGTCAAGACAATCGTACAACAATTTAAAACACTCTAGTAATCGAGAAACTGGCATTTGAGGGTGATATAGACAAAAGAGTGTCTTATGCGGTTCTATGCTGAAACGGTGGTAACACAAGGTCATACAACTTTTCTGTTGCCAAATGATGTGTCAGTTAAAATTCTGACGTTTATGTATCTGTGCATTATCTAAACCTATACCTTTTTATTGCCTCCATATAAGTGAAGCTATACCGTAGAAATGATCATATTTGTTTAGGAGAAAATAATTCATCATAGTTTTTGGAAGGACGCAGTAAAGTGTACATATAACTGTTGAAGACCTCGATCCTTCCTGGATATAACTCTGTAGCGTCTCGCTCAAACTCAACGCACAGGGCGCGTGTTTCACATCACTCAAAGCTACGAGTTTCTTGATATACGTTCGAAATTTAGAGCGAGAATTTCGTCAGATTATAAGGGACTGGAAATACCGAGAGAACATCATTTTTAGCAATTCAGATGCCAGCGCCGGTTCCGTGGCATCGCGCTAATTAAGGACCTATATCGATAGATCCTATATCGACTTAAGTATCGACGCCTCTGAGGGATGAGTCGACTGTACAGAGCAAAAATTTAATTGCATTTCTGAAATCATGTGCTGATTGCACTCAAATGTGTTATGAATATTTTAATATATGTTTATGAATTATTGAAACTAAATATATTGTTGAGATTTTTGACAAATAGTTTAGATATCCTTAAATGAAGTCTACAAGACATCTTAAAAATATCTGTTTCTTGAGATATGTAGCAAAGTTGAAAAGAAATATTTTAAAAATATTATATACCACTAGGGGTATTGCGTATTTTATATTTGTAATTTCTGGGTGTACAGGCACTTATAGAGAATTTATGTAGCATAATAACGCATAGTATAACACTACACAAAATCGCGGTATTTACACAAAACATCATGTTTCGAATAAATAAATAAATAAAGAAATGAATTATTGTTGATATTACAAGATAGTTGATGCTTGTGCGTTGGTTTTTAAACAAAAATCTCCTAACTATAGATACGCTTAGGAAATAATCCACTTTAATTGTACGTAACTTAGAATGCATTTGAGTCGAATTTGTCCCACTAACTTTGGTGCAAAAACTATTTTAATATTGTGAATGATTGTACAGAAATTTATGTTATTTTTATGTGTAGGAAATTCTACTATTCTATATTCAACGGAAATATATTCTTTGAAGGAAAAGAATATTACTATAATTTATTGGACGGATTTTCTGATATGCCCTCATACTTTGATTGCTCAACTGAGAAATGTTTAAGTGTACTTGCTAAAGTAACATGTTTTTGTACTAAGAGATATACTTGAAGTAATTACTCATGAAAAATAAAATGTATCTATGTTATACAAATGTTATATTAAAGTTAACTATTTAGCCTGCTTTAACATAACCATGCAGTGTTTCGAACGAACGCATCTTTTACTCCAGCGAATAACATTGGTGATCTTTATAAAGGTAGTATTTTGATGGCGATTAAAACGAAATGTTCTTTCTAGTACTGGAACTAATTAAAATCAAAATCGCTCTCAGTATTTGAAACATTTCGCTCGATTGTGCTCTCCGAGTCTGACTCTAAAAGCGACTTTATCACGTCTTTTTTCTTCTTCTTTTCAAACTCCTTTTGACCAATTGTATCTTTTTGCAATAGTTCTGTATAAGATTCAGAATCTAATTGCCGATCACTCGCAACATAATTCGATGGAAACTCTTCAGGGTTTATACTTTCTATTACTTCAACTTTCTCGTCGCCCGTTTCCGAAGTCTGACCATGTGATAAGTGCTGGCTTACATTCTCACCATAATATTCTTGACAGTCTTCTTTATTTTGTTGATCCAATCGATCATCTGGATATTCGTATTGCTGATTAATATCGTAGGATTGATTTGCTTCTTTTTCGTATTCCTGAGTTGCATCGAAATGCACATTATCGCCAGAATGTTCTTGGGGCAAATCGTTATCTCGTTCTTTATTCCCATCGTCCTCGTATTGCTCTGTTTGATCAAGCAAATAGTGCTTATCATTATCAGATGTAGATGGTTCGTCCCGTTGAACTGAATTTGCATTATCTTCATCCTGCTCGTTTTTGACGTAATCACATTGCCGGTTAACCCGTTGGTCATACTCTCGAGCCGTGTCTTCGTGTGGATATTCATCGGGCTGACTGAAATCTTGTTCGGGAGGTTCTCCGTTTCCATCGTGGTGTTCTTGACTACGAGCTTCAAGTGCCACCTTTGAAACATCATTTTCTACATCGAAATTCACATTAGACAGTCCATTCACTTTATAATCCGTATCAATCTTATTTTCTTCGGCAACTTCATCCTCGTGTTTTTCCCTATTCATTTCATCCCGCTCAACGTCTTTATATTCTTGCGACTTGCTCACAGGTTTAATTGAAACATCACGGTCAAAATGATCCGAAAACTCTGACTGAGAATCGTTCGTATCTTCGAGTCTCCTTACAAGTGTATCTTGGTGCTCTTCAACCCTATTAAGTCCTCCTATGTGTACAGCGTGCTCAAATTCTTGTTTTTGCTGAATAATCTCATTTATTCCCTGCCCTTGCTCCTCTTGGGCAGTTAGTGAATTCCTTACTTTCGAAGGCAACTCGTTGGTCTCCGCTTGTTCTTGGAGGATTTTTATTTCATCGTTTACCCGATCTTCCGTTCCCAAATACTCGGGAGATTCCTCCTTTGAGAGCTTCTCATCCACTCTCACAGTTTCATCGAAAGTTGGAGCATCCTTTCGAATCACTTGGTCCTTTCCTACAATTTCGTTTCCCTTTTCCTTCTTCTTCGCCTCTTCGTCATCCAAATTCCGCGGCAACAAGGTTTCCACATCCAAAACCTTCTGGTCATTCGTTCTTCCTTCACTCAGCATTTTGTCGCCTTGATCAACATTGGTTCTATTTCCAGCAGATTTCGCAAGTCCCTCAGCATGTCGATGCGGCTGCTCTATTTGCTCCCTCGGTTGCGACATTTCGCCGCTAATCTCATCCTCGCGAATCAAAAGCACGTCGTCCCGTGTTTCCGAAATTGGCACATTGCTCGAAGTCACTCTAGCGCCCGAGACATCCTGGGGTTCGTCTTGCGACACTTCGGCGAGACTTCCCATCGTCGGATGCGCGACGCCGACGGCACCGTCAAGAAACACAGAATGATCCCTCTTGGCAGTTCTCATCGCCAGCTCGTCAGCTAATGCCAGCACCTCCTCGACTTCCTGGGGAATGCACCCGATCTCCAACTTCTCTTCGGCAGAGAACTCGACGCCATCGTCTGACAATGTCACGTTTAGAAGATCACCACTCGTGTTCTGCTCGTGATCGAGATCGTCGGGGCTTTGGACGGCAAGATCGCGATGTAGCCTCTTAATGTTATCGATATACCTGTCCAGTTCGCCATCTAACGCGTACGAGGGTCGCCCCATATTTCTCGACAAATTAGCCTCTTGTTCGTTTCTGGTATTCGATCGTGATCCCTGCATCAAATGATCCTTCGGAAGTAAATGTTCGTTTCTTTTTATTAGTTCGTCCAGATCGGACTTCGCGAGGACGCTACGAGGAGGTCCCCGATGGTCGTCATTCGCGAAGTCTCTGGAGTACCTTACCGAGTAATTTAAGTACCCCGGGAGAGGTGTACTTTGTCCGAACGTACCGAAGTCATTATTTTCTGTCACGGATACTCGAGGACCTAGAGAAGCACCGACTCTATCATTCGGTTTGGAAAGTGCATCCAAACAAGGAGGCTGAGAAGAACTACGATATGCCGGAGGAATTGTTAAATTTTGTTGTGACAATGTTTTCGATAATGCGCGGAGTGAGTTGTCTTTATTATTCATTGGTGAATCCGGCGAAGGCAGGGGGTATCGCTGGGACATCCCGTTAAAGTCAGCGTGATGAATTCCCAGAGGTTGGGCGAATCGAGCGATGTCATTTTGGACACGAGCTCGAGATTCCAGGGTGTTGGGTTCCGATGATTGACCCCCTTTATCGGTATGACAAATCTGCAAATTCTGAGGTGTCGATACGCTGATTGCATTACCAACATTCGCGTGACCTTGTGCGGTTCCAGGGGAGCCAGTTGGTCCAATTGTCATTAGAGAACCGTAGATGCTAGGAATTTGCTGACGAGAATGAAAATCACCGCGTCCATTTATCACATTCTCTTCGACTGTTATCTGTGGGGTCTCCGCCCGGTGTTGAACGGATTGATTGTAATATTTTGGTAAATTATGGTAAGACGAGGACACATCATTTTGCTTGGGATGAGAATAATTTTCTCTGGGCGAGTACCATTGAGGTTCGCTTCTTCTACGTAACGGTGCCGAATTAGGGGACGGTGTCGTTATCAGTCTCGAAGATTTCTCATCGTTCTGGCTGACTATTCCGCTGTCTCCTGTGCCACCTCCAGGGGGACATTGGTTACCATACACTCTCAACAAGTAGGCCTCGTACTGTTTCTGAAAGAGATACAATAATTTATCACAAAAATATGCACAAATCTTACAGGTACCGTTAAACAGTCTTATCAAGCTCCTATACTAAGAAAAAAGATTAGTTGACTGGAACAAATACATATTGCTAACATATATGTATATTGTTGCCTGAATCATACATGATTAGATTCGAATGTGCAGTTCAACGGATCGATTGACATGATTGCCTCAAATAAGAAAAAGTTGATTCAATAACCTACATTTTTGGTAGGAATGGCACGCTGGTGTTATTAGTTATACAAAATGAAGGAGTGAATGAAATTTCGTAGGGCTGAACGAAAAGATACGCTATTTGGTCTGACAAAAAAAAAAACGCTCCAACTGAACAAGCATATTTTGTGGGCGTAAATATATTTGCCTCATTCGTATGTAATTAAAATGTTTTAGCTGGATAGCACTCATGGCTTCGAATTTTCTCGCAAGTGGCCTCTACCGGTAGAGGTTGAAGTTCGTTTATATATAAAATCCGTTGACGTTTTTAACGTTACAGTCATACCTCCGTTCTAGTTTATTGTTGCAAATTTCCGATAATTCCAGGTTTACGTTTAAAGGAAGAACGGCACTGCCTCGGCGCGGAGATGAGGAAAACCAATGGAATCACCGAAGAACCACTTTGAGCAGGGAATAATGATACTTCATAAATTCAAGTGAAAAATATTTAAGATAGAAGAATACTATTAGTAACACGGGAACATGATACACCTAACAACGTCCATAATCACAAAGGCCGATCTCTTATGTACAAATAATCCTGACAAGCATTGGTTCAACATTATGCTTATTTTATTTCAACCCTCAGAAAATGTTGACCCAATTGAAGCGGGTTGTCCGTCGAACAAAATATCTATTATCGGGTATCATTTCACCTTCGCTTGGTTCAATAAAGCAATTTTGTTGACTCAATTTGATATTTCTTTGAACGTATATGATCGCAGGATTTTGTTGTCGCAATGCATATTTCTTTGAGTCAATCAATTTTTTTTCTCAATGTACAGAGATTTCTATATAAATTTTAAATATTTATAAATCGTCTACTTCCAGCTAGTAAGTCAAAAGACGCAGGGGCGTCTCAAACAAGTTTACTTCTTTTTTCTATACCAAAGGTGTTTTTTTGTAGGGATAAAAGCTGTCGTAAAATAATTGAAAGCTTGTTTTGAAATCAATTTCTAGAATGTTCATATACCGAGCAAATAATGTTTAAAAATAAAAGTGTTTCTATTATGATGTAGATATTAAAAAAGTTGTTCAGTGTTCATAGAAATATGATCAATAAACTGGGATCTATATACTAAATCGCAGGTGCAATAATTAGTACGTATAATTATAACTTCTCGTGGAATTCACTTCTGACAATTGCAATTGCTTTGTCAGGGTTCTCATTTTATTCTCATAATGTGCAATTCTGTAAGGGTGTTTGTAAGATTTCGAAATGCAGGGCGATTCTTTATCTAAAATTGGTACGCGAATTCTCGCCAAAACGACACAAGACACAGAGTGGGACGTGTCCTTTTCGCTCACGCAAACGACTCCTCGGGTGGTTTCGTGCTATCCGGCTAGTTGGTAGTGGCACGCAAGAATGATTAATCGGACTCACTCTAAGCACGCCAAGCCTATCCGTTTTAGCAGTCATCAGAGCCAAATTGCCGTCCACCCTGTCCAGCGCTCCAAGGAGCTTGTGGTTCCTCTCATCTCTGGCCCTTTGCTCCTCCAAGAATTCGATATACTTTACTCGGAGTCTGTTTACACATGCTTCGTGTCTGAAAGAAAATGTACAAGAATAAGTCGTTCAAATATAATCTTACGTATTATTACATAACAGTCTTTAAATAAAGGAAGGTAAAGGAGGAAATTATGACAGAAACCGATCCAAAAAGGTCTTGTAAGTAAAATGAGGAAATAATATATTCCCCCAAGGCGATCAAAATCTACACGTGGTCTTGCCAATATGATATGAAATGCTCTTCTATTTTTGCGTGTGAGTCATGAAATCCCTCCGTGAGGCGTGGTTTGTAACATATTTGCAAGTCGCCTCGAATCGATATTAGGACATGGAGCAAAACGAGATGGAAAAATCGCTATTCCTCGCGAAATCATGTTCTCTGCACTTTTCCTGCAAATTATTTCATTGCTCTACTTTACGCTATGACCGATAGCACATGTTTCTGAGCGCAAGCTTATAATAGACAACCGCGCATCATGTGTTTATCAATGTCATTTCTGGCTATCGTTTTGCAAATCAATTTTCTACGATTCCGTATGGTTTTCCGATCGGTCGGAAACTCGAATAATACGTTAATTTAAAAGTTGAATGATCGGCTTAGGGAAATTGGCTCGTATAAGTATGTCACCAAAGTAATGTCGGTTCTATCGATCATCGCGCTGCCCGAAACTGGGTCGCATTCGGATCGATGAGAATTACTGGATTGACGGAATGTAAAGGTAAATCGTTTGGTCGTGCCGATATCGTAAACGTTTACCACAAGGAAGTGTACATCGGGCATGCAAATCGCCAAGCCATTACACTGTCTAGATCGTTTCAACTATTGGTAATAACGTGCTATCGAAAATGTTCCGGATTCTGTTAACACCGTGCAGTGACGTGCAAAGGAAAAAAAAAGACAGTAATTGGGGCACAAAATGCTGCTCCATGTATATTGCCAATGAAACCTATCGGGAGAACTTTTTTATCAGCAAATAAAGATTTCAGACTTCCGGGACTTAATTCAAGGCTGCAGGGATTATGCCGTTGGGATCGGAGGTACCGTTCGTACTTGCTAACAACTAAGCATTCCGTAAATAATGGAATCGTATTCCAGGACAGAGCATAAATAATCCTTGTTTCTTTTTTTAAATCTCATAAATTGTAATAATGATAATATAAAAAGGATTTAATTAAGAAAGGGAAATTATTTTACTGGAACGATGAGGATTATTTTCAGCGTGGAAATGGAAATGGAAATGGAAATGGAAATGAAAATGGAAAGAACCACGAATTGAGAAGAAATAAATATTGCCACGCAATATCGTTTATGTACAATACCTGTTTCGCGAATCTTGAACCAACAGATTGAATCGCTGCTCCAACCTTATTTTTTCTTCTTCGCTAAGTACAATGAAGAATATTATTTTCATAATTCAAGTGCAATTTTAAGTGCAAAAGGTAAATGATAAATTTGACGATTACCTCTTCCGAAGTCTCTCTTGCAGCTCGAGCATTTTTTTGTAATAATCTTGACCGTCGCGAAAGGGCGTCATACCGTAGAGTACCGTGGTTCCTCGAGCAACGCGTATTTGGTTCTGTTACCACGATATTGCTTGCGGTGTACGGGAACCATCGAGCTCCGCTGCGGGAGAAGTAACTTTTGGCATATATCGAACAGTTGACGTATCGCCCCTGAGCTGACTGCTTTATAAAATGGCTTAATCTTATAATAGAACCACGGTTCAAGGTCTCGAGCAAACTTTTACCCGAGGCCCTGGGAAACACACGAACTGCATGCGTACCTTTAACGATCGCGGATAATACTGGATATATAATAATACTTTATCTTACATTAAATATTTCTTATGTTACCCCCGAATACACGAAGGAAATAGCAATACAGAGTATTGTTATTCGATTTCCCGTGAAATACTGATATTCTCTAAATGATTTATTCTTAGTTTAATTTACTGTGAGTAACCGGACTGCACTGTCGGGACTCGATCCCAATCTCCCAGGCCTCTCGGAATTTCAAACCATTGAATATTTTGCATTTGTATCGTGTATGCGAGAGAACGTGTTCATTTATAACGGCCTACGAGGAGCTTTCCGAATTGGTATATTTTTAATATCTAATGCGGTACCGTACACCTTTATGCTTTTTAAGAAATTCAAAGAAAACGACGCGTACGTTGGAAATACCTATACTTTTGCCTAGCGATCCTTCGGCGTCTCAACGCTGCGCGCGACTGCCGCATCTGGCGTCCCGACGCGACGGCAGCAATAGGGTGCATCGTCGAGTAGTCGTACAGGTGGGACCCTCCCTTTGACTACTTACCCCCTATTGCTTCCTGTGCCCATCATTTCACATGTATGTACGCCTTAATTTAGATGGGCCTTTGTCAGGTATTATTTCACTTCAATGACGTTGCATATGAAGCTCTGTTTTTCATATCGTGTAAAGACTCTGGAACATCTATTCAGTTTGGATGTCATTTTTTTTCTATACCTTACTATATAATTGTACATCATCGATGTACCGTTGCTTTTTTACATTATAACGAGCGAAATCAATTCATTATACGGACACTAATTAACAAATTAAAACATAAAATGATACCGGAAACGACTCGATTGACATTAGACGTTTTTTCATTAAGTTAATCCTATAGAAAACTAAGGGCTGGTTAGAGCTAACAGCGGATTGAGAAGCTGTTGTTAATTAATCGGTCGAGTTCTTTCGACTAACGCTCTTATCGAGATTAGTGTCGAAACCGATGCGCGATTGCGTTGCAAACATTGTCCGTTATACATGGGGGAAAACAAATGAGGGAGGCCATTGATTCCAACACGGTGTCAAAAATGTGAAAGTATTGTAAATAAACTGCATTAAACAAGCTAACATTTGTTTAAACAAAGTATCTAACATAGCAAAACTGTGGCTTAAGGGAACTGTACCCAAGGCAAAAGATGAAACAACAACAACAACAATAACACCATGGGAGAAATTACATGGTAAGATATGAATTCGGTTACCGAAGAAACTGTAAAAATTCGGTCATTTTAAGTCAATTATAAATAAATAACGAATTACCCTTCAAGTATGACACCCAAATGTACATTGTAATATTTAGGGTGTACGTATATTATAAATATACTATTTATAAAACGTGGGAATAAATCGAAGCACGTTAAAAACGTCTATATTGAAAAGAATCACAAGCTCTAATGCATCTAGCAAAAATGTTTTTTGCACCTCTCACGTTTGTCCCTCATTTCGATACCGCTTTATTTTCTAATTTCTTTACTCGCTTCCATTCTATTTGGTACGTATATAATATATTAATGAAGTTGGATCGAAGCAGTATGTCATTTATTCTAACTTTATAATCCACACAACATCCAATTCTCTAGGGAGCACTTTTTGCGATGGGATTCCCCAATTAGAGTTTTACCCCGAGCTTTAGAGCTTTATCAACGTGTAAGTGTCGGCACGTTGCGTGTACTGAGCTAATTTACTTTCCTTTGTTTTCTCGTTCCGTTAATATGCCCGACCGAAGGAAAATAAGCAAGGGCTTTTCTGGCCCTTTTCGTGGACGAGAACATAGAAACGAAAAAGTCAATGTAAAAGACACGTCTTTCTTTCTTGCAATCGTGGGAAGACGTCGAAATCGAATTAACGGTCTTTGTTTAAAAGTGAATTCTACACATAATTAAATATATAACTCAAGCTCGACGTGATCAGCTCACTACGATAAATGTGGTTTAAAAATAAAATGAAAAAAGGCGTAGCATTCTTTCTCAAGAATTTCTAATATAAAACGTCCTAAATTCCTTTACCTCTAAAGATTCTTGTGAACAAAACACGCACAAAGCTCACTAAAATATACCACGTCCACTTTCAAGTGACGCACCTCCGCAGCGGCAATTCAAAATTCAAACGCGTTCGAAAATCGCCAATTAAAAGACCCGCTTACTTCGAACGAAACTTGACAATAAATTCAACCATTCCTTGTCTAATCCCGATTCATCCCGATATCTCACCCTTATCCGTCCTCGCGATGCAGGGTACATACTGCGCCCATGTACGATATAATATACGAGTATTCAGAGCCAGCGAAGGTCCTCGGCGCTGCGTCCCCCTACGACACGCGATTATTAACTTTTAGAGTCGCGGGTCGTCGGGAAAGATAGAGAAACGACCGGGGCTCCTCGCCTACCAGCTTGCACGACGGTAAATATTTGGCTGAAGCGATAAATCCTACCTTTCAGAAGTGCGTGGAACGAGAGGTTGACGGAACGTCAGCGCCTCCTCTGGGTCGCGCGGCGGCGCGGCGGCGCGGCGACGCGGCGACGTCCAGGGACGTCCCTGCGAGTGATGGTCCGTCATGGCGACGTTACCTCCGCGGAAAAATCCAACGCCTACGAGGATCTCGAAGGAGCACTTGACGCCCTTGCAAATTCTCCTGCAGCTGGGCTTCCCGAAGCACAGAGCGTGAGTCTTTGACCCTTGTCCCGAGGATTAGGCTAATTATAGGATTAGGAATATGACTACCCGACACGGGCTTCTCCGCGCGTCGCCATTGTAAACAAACAGCTGTCAAACTCGGCCTTGGGATCTCTATCGCGTCCCTCGTTTTTTGCAATGAGGTTAGATCCGTTCCCGCCTGCCAGAGGTTTCTCGACTTACCCGACGTACCGTCTGAAGTGTTTCACCAATCAGGTGGAATCGTGACAAGTCCTGTTTTAGGGAGAGTTACGTGGATTTACGAATGATCGTGGGAATGCTTTCAACAGGCTTTTGTCTTTTTCTGAAGATTGAAAGAGACAGGGAGAGAGAGAGAGAGAGAGAAAGAGTGGCAGAAAAGTGCAGTTTTAGGGGATAAATTAATTTTAGATGATAGAGAGAGACGATAGTAAATGTAAACAATTTTATAGATTAATTAGGACCAAGTTCTTCCGTAATTGGTTATGTTGTTAACAGAGAGAAGGCTTTGGCTGCTACAGGTCATCGGAGTGTACAACTCGCATCGGATTGGCTCCTCGCACACGTTAGAGATCCATCTTTGAACAGCAACGACCCCAGAGAATATATTCTTTATGCTTGTCCCACTGGAGCTTTTGCGGAGAAACTTCTTAATTTATGGACGGAGAGCAAGGAGTTGGGATGGAACGGAGCTCATAACTTTATGCCCCACGTTACTCTGGTTTCGTTCTTTAAAGTATGATTTTTATTTCTTTCGGTGCCCGTAGCTCGAAGAGACGTTAAGATTAGTTAAGCATACCGAACGCTTTAGTTTTGTAGATTTATCGGAAACTTTTAAAAGATTTGTTTCTAGGCACCCGACGAGTGTGCAGAGAGGGTAGCAGCGGCACTGGAAAGCGTCGTCGACAAGAACGACTGTTTAGATCGTATCGGTCTAGAAGCTTACATCTCGCCTAATTTTATGGGCTTATTCGTCGAAGACAAACCTGCCGAATGGCTCAAATCGGTTGCTGTTCGTTACGTTGCTCAGCTAGCAAATTTAGGAATCACTGCCGAACCTCAAACGAAATCGCTGCACCTCACGTTAGCATATCAGTTCTCTAGCAGTCTCTTTCAGCCACTAGCATCTATGGTTCAAAGGCTAGGACCCCTGGGCACTCCGGCCAATTGGGAGCTGAGATTGTACTCCAGAGATCCTCGGTTACATAACGCTCATGTACATAAAGTTACGCACGCTCATGTTCCTCGAGAACACGACGAATTAGAGCTAAGACCGGGAGATTATATTTATTTACCGGAAGGAGCGTGTAAATCGTCAATTGATGGATGGGTAGAGGGTATTTCATGGCTCACCGGCATTACAGGGTATCTCCCTTTAAATCATACCAAACGTACTGCAGAATCCGACTCGTGGACACTCCATGCTACCGTTCGAATAACCAGTAGTAAAATAGAAACCGTGGATGAAGAATTATCCGAGGGTAGAAAGTTACCAATTTTATCGTCTACCGAATCTCTGGATACTCCAGACGGCATAGCACCAGATACTGAACCGGTATTCTTTCAAACTACCAAAGTTGAAGCGATAAAAAGAATGATCCCGTAATAATTTTTATTTTTAAACAGATGGAAGCATCACAGCCGCCTTCGATATTAGCAAGACAAATTTTTATTTGTCGACACGGAGAGCGAGTGGATTTCACATTCGGTACTTGGATTCCATACTGTTTCGAGCCCGATGGTTGTTACGTTCGTCGCGATCTAAATATGCCTAAAGAATTGCCGCCGAGAAATATTCAAGACTTTCAGAATGACAGTCCTTTGACGACCTTGGGCGAATTGCAGGCAAGCTTGGTCGGAAAGGCAATGAAGTCGTCGGACGTTAAAGTGGACGTGGCCTTTGCTTCACCGTCCCTAAGATGCGTCCAGACTCTGTCAAAGATCTTGAAGGGCCTTAATTCCGATATTCCTATTAAGATAGAACCTGGGTTCATCGAGTGGCTTGCATGGTATCCTAATGGTTTACCGACTTGGATGACTCCTACGGAGTTATTAGAAGCTGGCTTCAATATCGATCAAAACTACCGTCCTATTATACAAACCAACGAGCTTCCGTCAAGAGAGAATGCTGCACAGTATTATGAACGAAGTTTCGAATTGATTAAGAAGATCATTGAAAATACAGCAGGTAATGTTTTAATAGTGGCCCACGCAGCATCCTTGGCAGCATGCACCAGACAACTTACCGGTGGAAGAGTGCCACCAGCGGCAGAAGTGACACGTCTGGTACAAAGAGTTCCATACTTGGCATGTTTAACAGCTCATAAGGGTCTCAAAGGATGGCAACTTCATCCTCCACCGTTTCCACCGATCACGCATACTAGTAATAGTAGATTTGATTGGAAAATCTTAACGTAGACTAGGTCAATGTTTGGACAACTTAAAGACATTTCCAATTTCCAACTTGCACGAAGTATGCGCAATCGTAAGACTGGCGATACAATGAATTTTGTGCATTAGTACCTCAAACTGTCCGAAAAGTAGGAAACCTCTCAAGTATTACAAATCAAATCAGCTATATAGCACGAGAGTACGTAGGTGTGAATACATAGTGAGTATATTTCATCGACATCAATTGTGCCTCAGAAATCGGTGAATTCCTTCAGCTCAATTGATTTCAACGCAAACGAAATCAAGGCGATGGCCTTTTTAACTATCCCTATAAGAGAATGAAAATTAACGCGAATTCTTTAATTAGTACGAACACTGGAATTCTATTTTGTCTTCTTAATATCCAATGTTGAAGTAGAAAGTAAATGTTTCAAATTTATATTACTTATAATGTACAATGTACTTAAATTCAATGCCTAGTACGACGTAAGTAGGAAATGAATATCGCTGTATAGTATTATGCGAACGAAAATTGTTCTATAGAATCGAACAAGTTACGAAAAACATGGGCTATCGTTAGGGAACTTGTTGTCAATTATTTATAACTCGCATTTTTAAATCTTTACATGTTTCACGGATGGTGTTAAAAACATGTATTTACAGCAGTTAATGCAATTTCACCTTTTACAGATTATAATAAGTACATATTATATATGAATATCAGTAACATTGGCACGATCCTTACCGTTATGTTTACCAAAGAGAATATACTATACGTGTATATGAAAATATTTTATTAAAAAATAAAAGATAAACCAAAGTTACAATGATTGCTTTCCCTGTGTAATGTAGCTGTATTAAAATATATCTTCTATAAATGCTTCTGAAATCCAAATATCAATGAATATCTCATTTGCAGTTTGATGTAAAATATGAATCATTATTTACTTACAATTATTCCACTTGTTTGACTAATTATTGATTTTTCTTTTCAAATGTGACCACCCTGTTTTAATTTGGCTATTAATGTATCAACATCCGGCAGAATGCTCCCAGCCTGCCGAACTGGTGGTTCTTCTACCGAAATGACTTTAATTCTAGGAGTAGTGTCTACTCCCAAGTCTTTTGGAATTACTTTCTTAATTGGTTTTTTTTTTGCTTTCATAATATTTGGAAGAGTAGCATAACGAGGTTCGTTGAGTCGCAGATCAGCACTCAAAACTGCTGGCATCTTAAGTTTCAATGTTTCTAATCCTCCATCGACCTCGCGTATAACCGTTATTTCCCCGGTACCATGCTCAATCTGAAAAGTAAGGTCAACTTGAAATTTTTAAATGTATTGGTAATATAAAATCCACACCGATTAAAGAGACTTTTGTACATTGTACCTTGCTACAAAATGTTCCAGCCGGCCAATCTAAAAATCCTGCAGTCATTTGTGCAGTTTGGTTGCAGTCATCATCGATTGCTTGTTTTCCAAGTACGATCAAATCTACTTTTTCTTCTTGTGCTAATTTTGCCAGTATCTTGGACACATGTATAGGCTGCAAGGTTTCATATTCTGGACCAGTCACTTCTACATGAATCCCACGATCAGCCCCCATGGCTAAAGCTGTTCTTAAAGTTTCCTGTGCTTGACTTGGTCCACAGCTTACGGCGATAACTTCTTGGGCTATTTTCTTTTCTTTCATTCGAACTGCCTCCTCAATTGCAATTTCATCAAATGGATTCATGGAGTGCTTTACCCCGTCGGTAACGACTCCTGTTTTGTCAGGCTTCACGCGTACCTTGAACAAAATGAAACATTATACATATATTATATATGCATACCTATACTCTATTCTTAAGCAAGATGTATCTATGTCGTTCGTTCCATTTTTATATCTACATACTAATATTATTAAATATCCGTGTACAATTTTTTTTAAAATTAGATCTATGCAAATATGTATAACTTTGTTCGTTTAACTATTTAAACTTTATAATCTCGCCTAGCATTAAAAATAATGACCTAGCATTAATATCTTGTTCCGAGACAGTGGAAACTACAGCATAGAAAAATTTAAAGAATCGTGGCACTGTACATTCGTTCAATTTTGTAATTAAATAAATTACCTTAACTGCATAGTCGATGACTCTCTTTACACCCACGAGTACACGAGACATTTTCTTCTAATGAGAGGGTAATGTAGAAATTAATTAAAATTAAATGAAACAGTAATAAATGCTCCGTTGATTCTTGAGAGCAAAAGTCCAGTGGTAAGCTCAGTAGAGGGGATAGTTACATCACAAACATATCTCACTGATAACCTACTCCACTCGTTGCCTTCAATCGATCGTAATGAATATTTTTATAATACCATGATTTCTATACAGAATTCCATTTGACTCCGAATAATTCTGACAGTATTACGTTAATTCTCTAAATTAAATGAAAAACACAGAGAACGCAATTCGTAAATTTGAATTGCAGTCTTCACATAAACCTAAGAACATATCGACGGGACCAAAGAATTCAGGAGACTCCATCAGAGATGAGTTGGGAAATTGCTCACAGGCAGGGTCGCGCAATTGCATCGTGTGCTGCCCTCTGGTTTCGTACGTTAGCTTTCACCGTTTTTTGCCCCCGAGGGCGGCGCAACGAATTTCTGGTAGGGGCTCGCGCACTCGCGATGGCTGTGCCATCTATCAGTTGCCGTTGGCGGCTCACGTATTCGTGATGGTAATACCATGCGGCAGTTGACGGTGGTGGCTTACCATTATGGCAATCTCCCAACTCGTCTCTGCCACAACAGAGATGAGTTGAGAGATTCACGGGAAGGATCGAACGGCCGCGTCCTGTGCGACCTCCGGTGGAGGATGCAGGCGGCTAATGCACTTGCCAACTGTTACAAATCTGGGCAGCCGGAGAACCGGCTGAAAAAGTGAAGAACTCCTCACAAAAACTCCAAAACCCTGTATCTCTTCCGACAAAAATCGCAGCCACTAGCTCGAGAGATCAATTTAAACCGAACAACCTTCCCCGTCAAGCTAACGTGGACGCAATTCGCACCGCGAAAAAAATTCACAAACGTCCTTTAACATATTTTAACATCTTCTACCACCAAGTGCAGCAAGCTCGATTTTGATTAACATGATGATTTTACGAAAAATGGCTGCTTTCAGGTGATCCACCTAAACCTGCAAAGGGGCACAAAAGTACAGGTAAAACGGAACATTGAAGAAACACCAGGAAGTCGCCAGATTCTCCGAAGTGGCCCACCTAAAGCTGAAAGGGAACACAAAGGCACAAACGAAACCATTGGAAAGCGAGAATGAGACGGTGATACAAGAACTTACTAAAGTTATCATCAAAGTTAAGAATATTTCGCAGTGCATCGATCTCGTATAATTGACCCAGTAAAAATGTATTAAATTATACATTACTTGGCGTGAGAAAAATCTAATATATTTATCTTACTTAAATGCACACTCGAGAAAATTTCATGAAAACGATAGTTGACCGTCTCTCCCCGTCAATCCAGACAGAAGGATATATCAAAAATGAGAGGGATAACGTGGCGAAAAAAAATGGATGACTGCCCATTCGAAAGAATGGAAGGTCATCGTAGTTGCCCTCTTCTTAAGGGGCCGCTTCGGCATATAGCCTCTTCGACACTTGTAGTCTCTTCGGGCAGAGCTCCCTACGTCTCGAACGCTTGGCAATCCCCTGATTTTTCGAATTTGAAAAAAAAAAAGAAAAGAATTACTCCGCGAGCAGATTCAAAAGCTAGCAAAACGACGACCTACGATCTGAGGATGCGCAGTCCGAGCGTATTGCACATTTATTCGATTCCCAAGCGCGTCTAATTAATTTTATTGCTGAAAGAAAATTGATACAATCGCGGATATATCACAGGGTGGACATCCTCCGCGCTTCCGGAAGCGCGGACGATGGAAAATTACCCCAGGTTCAGGATCTTCTGGAAAACAGGGACTTGACTATGGTCCTTACTCATATCGCACTTTTTGCAGCACTTATAACCGACTTTTAGTTAAAGATGATCGGTCCGTTGCTAAAAGACGCAATACTCATACCTTCTTTTACTATCGCTTTTAGTTAAAAGGCCGCTTTTACGAAATGACAACGTCAGAAACATGTGACGACTGCGTTACGCGCATGCGTTCGGTGTGCCCAGTGCGTGCGTTTCTTGTATGCCAAAAGTTCAGAGTCTGCTGAACTTTGCAGCAAAAATGGAAGCGAGTTTGACAAAATAAAGCCAGAACCAAAGCCAAGAACGACACAAATTCCACTTCAAAAGTCCCTGGCATTTATTTGATGCTCTGTATGAATACAGTTTTCTGTACGAATACACTTTTATCCTAAAAGTGCTCAAAAAGAAGCTTAAAAAGGGGTATGAGGAAGTATTGCTACTAAAATGCGTAATTTATGGTTTCATTTAAGGATTATCAATAAAAGTGATTTAAAAGCGAAATACGAGTAGGGTCGCTTTTAACAGTGCCCTAAAATACATCTTTTAACGCTAAAAGCGAGATATGGGCAAGGACCTATATGTCGATTAAAGGGATCAAGCAATTTTCTATAGCGTACGATCCTTGACCGAAGCCTTCGAAGGAATGAATATTTTTTGAATTTATGAAGATCAATACAATATTCCTCGATCAGCTAAAGATAATTATTGTATCTTGTTGTACAATTATTCGTAAAGGAACATGTAAATGATTATAAAACTGAAAAGTTATTTAAAACGTTATAACAGGATGTTACAAAATCATCAATTAATTTAGATACGTATCATAAATATAACCTGATGCATTTTTCAGACATTAAGGTTATCTTATATTAATGTTTTACTGAATATTAATCCTTTGCGGGTGGAAGTTTTTCTTTGTAAGGACTTTTGGGCGACTCACTGCAGACACGCGGCTTCAAAGGGTTAAATAACAATTAATCATACGCAATTATAAATCGACACATGAATGAATAGTAACATTTTCAAACTCGCACATGGATACCTTAAAATTATGTCAATCCCGACTGCTAAAATAAGTAGATATGTAATCACGATTTATGTAGATACTTGTCTTTTGGTATGAAAACTTTATATATAATACACATTTGTTGTATAAGAGGCTCACATAATGTCTGTACTTGGCAAAATATTTTACACGGAAGTGTATTTGTTGGGATAAAATTTTTTATAAACATCCATCCATTTATATTTTTTAATAAAGTACTTTGATAATTCTTTCATCGAATCATTTGTAATGAGAGCAAATAATGATACGTTATTCTGTAACGTTGTTGATATTTGAATAAAAAGTAGTTACAATGATGTTAGCCAAAAACAATGAAACGTCATGAAATTATTGAGAATTATTTGACAACCTTTCTTTCTGATGAGACACTACTGCATACGATAACTGTGTACGATACGTTACCGATGAAAAATGCGGTTACTGAAAGTTTACGAAGAATTCATCGAACGCGACGCGAGGGAAATCTCTATTTTATGGAAGATCGTTCATGTTGCACTTTACTTTTCAAGTGCGATGTCGGGTTATGTTGGAGCGATAATATTTTACATATTCTGGGTATGTCTTTTATCATTTAAATTCAGTTTAGAAAGGATTACTTGAGTTTTAAAGATCTTTAGCATTTATAATTGAATGTAAGTACAACGATCGACAACGTCGATGGCTCGTACAATTAATCGGTAAAAAACAAACACACGATCTATAATTTTTGGAATAGTTTATTATCCCTGGTAAATAGTGATTTAAAAACTAAACCGTCCAAGTGGGGGGGAAAAGGTATCAATATTTAGTCCAATGTTTACTATTCTATCATCGTTCATCTCCGTCTCGATGGGACTAGAAATTTTTAGACCTGTTGTACCTGACCTAAACATAGCCATAGTCATGTTCTTCACGATGTCGATATGTTACGGGCAATCATTAGTGATGATAAATTGGGACAATGTGCACCCTGCCTCCGCGTTATGCCGAATGCCCGATTTATGGCGAATGCCTTTGAAGAATTGAATGCCCGATTTATCACATTATCCGTAAGAGGTTTCGATCGATCGATTTCAAGCAGACTAATGAGTATATTTCATAAAAGTAGCAAAATATATTTCATGGGAATTGTCCACTTTGGGCCACACTGGAAACCATTCCCGAGTCATTGCGAAAGCCCCGAGAGGATTTTGACAATGATCAAGAATTTGATGAAGGATCTAAGAATGAACGTGCGATTCGCAGCGATTGGAGAAAAGATGTTATCGTCAGTTTCAATCACCCAAATCACTGTGACTTTTATCATCAAATAACTCTTTGCTCGTGCATCTTCGGTACGACTGGATTTACCTTATTCGCAATGTGCGGAAGAGGTGGTCACGATACGAGAATGTGAGTGCATCCTTTTCTACCTCTAGATCTTTCTTCAATGATCGTAAAAAGCCTTGTAAAGTAACCATTAAACGGACACAGCGTCAGGTTCCCTCTTATCATACTAATTTAGTTTTATAGCTCCATGGAGAATAGTCATCCCAGCGTGTGTATTCAATTTTGCCTTTATGATATTAACATTGGTTGTCACGCATGACGTAGAATATGGGTTTGCCAAATTCAGACGTGACCTTTACAAACTCGCCATCGAAAGCATGGACTACCATAAGATTTATACAGGCAGAAGGTGATATGTGAGATAAATGACCCAATGTTTATTATATTATACGTGTTATCCGTAAAAGAAAAAAAATTCTCTTCCAGCGAGTGTGAAATTATGCAGTATTACCTGCAACCCTACAATTTTAAGAACTATAACATCTGTCGTTTCTACATACCCCTTCAGGTAAAAGATATTAGTATTTTATACTTACTGCCTCGGGTAGAACGTGGTGCACATATTTCCATTGATACCTAAAATATCGTTTCAGATAAATTCATGGTTAATGGCATTTAGTTGGACTGCAGGGTTTATAACGATATTAATCCGTATCATAAATATCAGTGATTTTAGTTTATTAAGGGTTATGGTATATGAAGCGCCTGCGACCTCTCCCCTACAACTGCCATCGAAGAGGGGCCATGAAAATGAAGAATCCTTAAACATGTCCGAACCATCGAGGAAGAGAATTCGTCGATTGTTGTCGCCGAAGGGTAAAGACGATTAAAATATACCGGGATATGTACCATTTTTAAAACAAATATATTTAAATAACGCGTATGCATATAATACAGCTCTTTACGAAATACGCTAATAAATAATAATATTCATAAAATGTATTATTAAGTTTTTAATTTCTTTACAAAGTTAGGTAATATCGTTTTAATTTAAAACCGTACTAAGTGAAGTTACTTTTCCTTTAACGTTAAACTCTTACAACCGGGGCCGCGACGTTTTCTTCTCTAAACGAGCTTTCATGAATTCTATACAAGCCCTATTTTTAAGAATTACAGCTTGCACTTCACGTGTACGCATTTTAAGGGATTCAAGATCCAGTAAATCCAACTTTATTTGTCGCAACAACATTGGCATTGCCAGAAGACCAGTTGACTCTTGTAATTTTCTGTATTGAAAACGCAAAGTGTCCTTGTGTAATTCCATGTTCATAATGTTTTGCCTCATTTCTATTTGGTCTTTTGACAATCCTTTTAGTATCCCCATTGAAACGTGGACGTCATCTTCATAGGCATATGTCGTTTCTTGTATGTGTCTTAATGTCTAAATCACGTTAAAGAAAAAAAATCAATATATTCAAATTTGATTTTTAAGATAAGTAATTATATTACATAAGAGTTAAATTATACGGATGAAAAAAAATGATTGTTTCAACGAAATTTTACATGATTAATAGCAAATAATTATTTTCAGTAAGAATTCAATGAACGAACATACGCTGACAGATATGACACATTTCTCGTTAAGTTTCCGAATTTCCTCGGTACGCTCTTCTAATTTGTCAACTAACGAGGTCTTTTTTGTAATCAAGTATTCATAGGCCATGGTCTCCTTTATTTTGGTATTTTGGGGTCCATATATTTTACTGGAAATTCTAGCGAGTTGGTTCAATCGTGTTATGTAAAGAACTCGTATTCTGGTGAGATTATCGATGCGCGATTGTTGTTTTTCCAAAAACAGTTTAATTTCTTTTAGTGGTAATGATTTGCTGTTTTTAGTACTTATAGTCTGTTTGCCAAATTCCAACTCACGCACGATGAATTGGTTAAATGTTTCATCGTATTCGTCTAATTTAAACGCGTATGTTGCTTCCATCTGAGAAATGTTATTCTCTAAATGCGATGACATTATTTCAATGTTCTCTTTCGTCGTGGAGAAGGTGTCCATGATAGCTCTATACCTGAATTCAATTGATTATCAGAATTACCAAGGTTAATGGCATAAGATTATAATCATTTTTTACGGTAAATTATTCATTCATAAATATGGTGATGCAATTAATAATTCTATACTGTAGATAATCGGTCCAGAAATGTTCAATCAATTTACAAATTAATGTGGCTCTCGAAAGTACCTGTCATTTTTATATATTAACGATATATCTGCAATTCTATCCAACAAGTTGAATCGTCTGTGTTTCTTGAAATAATCGGCACACTTTTTATGCAAAAAGTCATTCTTTATTTTAAGTTTTCGGTATTCATCTTTTAATTCTTTTATTTCCGCGATAATGTCCAATCGTGTCTCTAGTGGTGATTTTTTTATTTCTTCTGCCCGTAAAATCTCTTTTTCAGAATAAAACTCATCTTCTCGTAATTCATAATCTGTATTTTCACAATAAACGTCTTCTCTATATTGTTCTTCGCTTTCTCGTTCTTCGATCCATGGTTCATTTTTCTCGCCTTCCGAATTAATGATTTCGTTGATTAAACCAACGTTATCTGGTAATTTATTGTGATTTGATGTATCGTTCTCGGATTCGTTCTCTGCAACGAAGATATCATTTTGTTTCCGTAATTCTTTAATAGTCTTGATTTCGAGCTCATCCGTGTGCTTATATTCCTCAAGATATTTATTACTATTTACAGTGCTATTTTGATATACGTCGATACGTTTGCTTCTGACACTAGGAACTAAATATTTTTTATTTACATTAAAACAATAACAATCTGGTTAACCGAGTGAAGTTATTGCGAAGCCATCAAGCTTCCAAAATCTCTACGGAGAGATATTATAACAGTACCACCTTCATCATTATTTGATTAATTTCTTACAAGTGTTAACATACTGGTTTTGCTGTTGGTATCGTCTATATCACGAAATGTTTCTAGATTTTCCTGCATGTCGTCTTCGGCATGAATCGATACTTGCACATCTCTGTCTGTAGTATTCATAATTAAATATCTCTAAGACTTTATAAATGAAATAAAATGTCTAAAAGCGTATCTCAAATATAACCTTAATAATTATAGAAAACAACGAAATGTCACAAATGATATAATGGAGTTTCTGTTGACGTTAAATGAACAAGGTGTTCATCCCGATAAGGATTATCTATTTCTTTATTGTTATTTATTATATACTATAGAGAGAAAAATGTATGATCGTAATTTCTTAAACTTCTGGCACTCCTGTATCGTTCCTACATCGTTCCTACATCGTATGGTAACTCGAGGACACATGGGGTTTTCTAGCGATACTTCCTTAGAGACGGTTACGGCAATTACTATGCTAGTTTAGTAACTTAACGTAGATTGGTATGATTTAGGTATCGATCGGAAATCTAAATATTTCTCTCTCTTTGCCACTGACTTCGGGTGAATGGACTCCTAACTCTACCCGGACGAGCCCCCAAGTATAGGATTTAAAAGGGACTTGGGGACTTCGGGTGACCGAGCCAGGCCTGTGCTTTGCGCCACTGATTCTAATTCTAATTCCAAGGTACCCAAGCCCTCTCGTGGCATTTTTTTTCAATTTTATTTATTCTTACTCGCGACGGAGGACTCCCGATCCTATCGCCCAAAAATCTGAACATGCTCCAGCAAATTTTCTTTCCTTATCAAATATGTATACCCAACTACTCGGATACGGAATTAATATATTTAGGTCACGATTCCTCTATGGTTTGGCATCCAACTTCAAAATTCTGCCCGTTGGAATAATTCCGCTTCCATATAGTAATTAGCACGCATTCCAATATATTTTGCGTTTCGATTCAGTTTTTCGAATATTGCCTCATCTGTAGGTGATGTAGGATACGGAGAAAAGTAAAAATGAGGACAAACGTGCACAGAAATAATGAATCAATGTGCAAATCTAGTGGCCATGGTCGCTTCCCGATAAATATTTGTTCCGCGAAGAACTAAATTTTGGCACGGAGATTTATGCACATCTTCGAGTGGCTCATCGTCGGCAGCTCTTATTTGCGCCAGGAACATACGGCGGCTTCTTGCTGACAAATTTAAGTAGGATCCATGGAGCAGTAAATACGAAAATACGAGAATTTCTCCTCTCTTTGCGCTGACTGGAGTCGCTCCGGAAAGAGGATATTTCTTCGGGTCTGCATAGTGGTATCGTTCACCTTTTTCATCCGACAATCCGTGATCCTGCAGAGGGCCCAATTTGTGACTTCCAGGATATACAGCCAGGCCACCGTTTTCGGGAGTTGTGTCGTCCAGGTGCAGGAACACGGCCAGCATCGAATGCTTTTTGAACGGGAAATAATGGTAATCTTGGTGCATCAAATAAGGAGCGCCCTTTTCGGGCGGCTTGATATGAGCTTTGGTATGATGTAATAAAATGTCCTTCGTGTCCATAATGTCCTCAAGAGCGTCCAGTAATTTTGGGTGTGTTATAAGCCGGGTAAAAACTGCACTATGCATCTGCAGCCCGTGAATAGACTTCACCTGTGTGAGGAAAATTAATAATTTATCCAAATAATCATTATTACGACCGAAACAGCGGTGTAAAGGACACGGGAAAAGTAAACATATGTAAGAAAAGGAATATTCACTTTTTATGAAGCTTAAATATCAAGCGAATTCACGGTTCATTAAATATCACCCAAGATTAGTAAATCGAAAATGTCACTGTACATTATTCGTATGTTATGCAATTGACAATAGAAGAAAAGAATTTGACTCGTGTTGAAATGTGACGTAATCGAAAGAAAGCTCAATGTTTCTTTGAATTTATTATATTATAGGTTAATGATACCTTACCGTGTAAGGAGTATAGTTTGCTTCTTTTTTCATATCGTCGCCCTTCCATGCAGATTCCAGACCTTCCAAGTTTTCTTTATGCTTACGTTCGAACAGTTCATTGTAGGCATCTGATATTTCGTCCACTTCGTTCTTAGAGAATATATTGGACAGCTTAATAAATCCATTTTCATTGTAACATTGCTTTTGCTCTCGAGTCAAAACCTTAAGTTCACTCATTCTGCCTGTTACACCCAAACTGACATTCGCAAGGATTATCACCCCAATAAATGTGATAATTATCGAGAAATTCGTAAGCAAGCAAAATCGGAGGGGATCGTATCACTTTGTGACATAACTACCATCTAGATTGACGTAATACTGGTGTTACGTTTTTTTATAACACTTATCTCGTTCTTAATTGCATGTCGCATATGACTTCTTTAACTTGGTCAGCGTTAGTGAGGAATGTCACATTAAATAATATTTTTCTACAAATTGCTTCGTTAACTCTCTTAATCGTAAATATCTAACAAATTTTAGTAGGTAGTTTCAATTAGTGACTTCAATTTATTTTCGCATTTGTATATCTATGTATAATTATACTTTTCGAGGAAAAACCTTCTATCGCAATGTATGCTGCAAGAACGAAATACTTAAAACAATAAGCAATAAAACTGCTTATATCCTCGAGTGTTTTCTTTTATTTATTCCTTTCACGACGGACTGTCCATTAATCGTTTCGTGGATGTCGGATACATTCGACGCTAGGAGCAAAAGAATTAAAGTAGAACATTATAATTCATTTTATGTATAAAGTAAATACAGTGGACTGATCGATCGAGTAAACAGTATTCTACGAATATTAGTCATATACGCTTAAAAATATGATGACGTATGTTCGTTGCGGTTTGAACGTAATTTAGGGGACAGATGGAAAAGTTTTACGTGACCTTTTGACATTGCAACTTGTGGTGACTGGTAGAAGATAACTTGTATGTTTATCTGAATTTTTTTACTTTTCACTTGTACCTTGGCATTAAACGTAATTGCGTGATCTAGTGCAATTAAAAAACCAATCTTTTATATCTGTAAATAGTTTATTTTTGCAATTAATATTTTCAAATCGCACAAGATATATGACAAGTTGAAAATACCGTAACCTAATAAATTCGAAAATCTTAAAATCTACCTTCTTATATCTTTGTTTCATTGTTAAAAGCGGAAAAGTTAATTCTATCATTTGATGTAAAATTTCGGTTTGTGATTAAATGGAAATTCCTCCACTATTTGTCATTTATACCTATTGCTTATAAATCTTATATCTAGTATTTAATAAAATTGTTTTAAGTACATTGCCAGTATGTAAACTATCAATGTTTAATACAAAATATGCCTGTCAAGTTGCAATTGCCTTTCTGAAATCCTGATTGCTTACTACACGAAAGCTTCGTCATAAAAAAGTAAGAGTGTAAAAAAACTGCAATTAATTAACATACTACATCGTAATTATGTCTAGTCATTTTTCATTGAAGGTTATCGTATAAATTTGAAACCTTTAATTATTTCTCTAGATTGATACCATTGATATGGAGCCATTGTACTATGGTATGCATCGGATTCTAGTGATTCTTTTGATTGCAGTGTTAAACGTTCTATAACATGTTCACGAGATGATTCATGGTAAATCTTAACTAAAGCCATACAATTACAACTTGTTTTAAAACTTTCGGAGAGTTGAAATTTTATGCGGAAACTCATGGGAACTCGAACCGGTGGTGCATACTGGGGTTTAGGAAGGAAAAATTCAGAAATTACATTGGAATCACTTTTATGAAGTAGGATAAATGTATTTGTTGGACCCAAGGGCGATGCAACTGCTTCTTGAAATTCTGAACATGCAATCATAGATCTAGAACAAAAAAAAAATAATATTATAGTCAAATATTTCTACATTAATTAACTTAAAATGGTAATAACAAGTAGAATTATTATGCATCTTAAACAGATTAACTTACTTCATAAGGTTCACCAAAGGTTTACGCGATGAATGCTGACAATCCATGTGATTCCGATTGCTCAGAATCTTTGGTGATATTTCAACTCGTACACAAAATTTAGGCGATACTATAGTTGCTCCGATAACGACGACGATCTCTTTTATATTACAGTCTTCACGTTGTAATTGCAAAGTTAGGTGCTCCGATACATTTTCCAAAGTATTCAAAACTGCTTTTATCGATGAAAAGTTTTTGTCCGTGGGTTTGGCCTTTGCTTGCAGCTGCGTTAAACATTCATATGAAAAAGGCACCTGTTGTTTTTGATACAATAAATATTTTATAAGTTCTATTGCCAATTTTGAGCACGAGCCACTTGTCAATGGCTCTTCCAGTTTAACTGCGATTTCGATTTCAGATTTCGCATTTTTTGGCGACATTTTCGTTTGTGAAGTATACTTGTTATCTTATAACCTCTGAGCCAATGTAATTTTAATATATTTCAAGCTACAGATTTCCCACCGATTTAAAGGTTATACATTAAATATTTCATAAACACGCAAAGTGTTTGTTTACTTCGTATATTTGCAAAGTCGTAGCGCAGGAATGAACCGTGTAGATGGCTAATTATTTATAAAATAAACACCGTACTTTGGTTCAAAAATATTCCACATGCTTGCATGTATATACATACGCCACAAGTCCGCGAGTCCCCACCAGAAATGAATTGCGTCGCCACTGAGGGATAACAGGTGGCCAGTGTACTAACCAACCGCATCCTCCACCAGAGGCAGCCCAGTACGCGATTTCTTGACCAAGTCCGTGAGCAACCTCTCAATTCATCTCTGCTTTAGGCTCCGTCCATGTATCTTTACGTCCATGGATACAACCGAAGCGCCGAAGGTTGATTACATTTAATCCAGTTGTCTCGAGTACAGAGGTTATGAAAAACCAAGGTATTCATTTTATGACTCTAATGGCATGAAAGTGTACAACAGCTTTCTGACAATTACATGACACGATTTTAATGAAATTCTTGAATGGCATTTTCTAAAACTGAGAAAAAATAAGGTTAGAAACTGCTAAAATTCCCTTTGTCATTACTTTTCTTTATTTTCTCTTTATATTTTGTTAAAAATATGTTGCATCGAGTGTAAAACATAATACCACATGTAAGATATTAAATTATAAATTACTAGTGCTAAGAAGGGTCATTTTAACTGTCTAGATAAAATGAATTACACTTTGTATCGTGTAACTCTTCAAGTAATGAAGAAAGGGTTTACCCTTGCAACAAGTACAAGCAATTTGAATACTATAGGGATTGGGGGGAAGTACACGAGTACAAGTAGTTCTCAACGGGACAAACTCAAAGCATTGGAACTTCTTAAGGAGAGAAGTCTACTTCATCTCGAGGGACCGGAATCATCTGACTTTTTACAAGGATTAATAACAAATGATATGCAACATTTCAAAGCTGGAGCAGCGAGTATGTACTCTTTATTTTTAAATGTTAAAGGTAGAGTCTTATATGATACGATCGTATATAAAGCTCCAGAAAAAGAAACTTATTATATAGAATGCGATAAAAAAGTAACCGAAGCATTATTGAAGCACCTTAAGTTGTATAAACTTCGTAGAAAAGTAAATCTAGATTCCATTGAAGATAAAATGCAAGTTTGGACAATGTTTGATGCAAATATCATACCTAACTTAAGGAATAATGTGAGTGAATTTGGTACACCTGCTTTAGAAGGTCAAATATTTCCCTGTGGAACTTTAAATAATAAGTCGAGCAAATACCTGGACAATGTAATCGTGTACGAAGATCCAAGATTATCCCAATTAGGTTTTAGAATTTTAACTCGAGCAAACGTAAGACATGAAGAATTGGCAAAATATCTAAATTCCAGCAAATCTGCGGAAGACAATCCCACCAGTTATAAAGCTTTTCGTTACAAACTGGGCATTGGTGAAGGTATAGAAGATCTCCCACCAGGGAAGCCACTTCCCTTAGAAATTAATTGCGATTATTTACGTGGAATAAGTTTCCACAAAGGTTGCTACATTGGTCAGGAATTGACTGCAAGAACGCATCACACTGGTGTAGTTAGAAAACGTTTAATGCCTATAATTTTCCATAGAGCCACAGATAAAACATTTCAATACGATGAAAACATTCTAGATGAGTCTGGAAAAGTAGTTGGGAAATTTAGAGGAAGAAAAGGAGATTTTGGCTTAGGATTAATAAGAATTACAGAAGCACTTGGCGCACAAGCTCTGACAATGTCAGATGTTTCCATAAAGGTTATTAAACCATGGTGGTGGCCTCAAGAACAGAGTAAAGAAAAAGTATCTGCTGGCAATAAATAATTGTAATTGAGACATTCTTCGTTTGAGTTCGGTTTAATGCAAGAAAATTTGTACATACATAAATAAAAAGTTCTAGAATAAAAGATGTCACCGAAACATTTGTTATATTTTATTCGAAATACTTGTTTGTAACACAGAATGGAACCTGCTGCTGGTGTATCGACAAATGTGCCCAATGCTGTTTCAAGTACCACTTGTGGGATAATGACTCCAAAGGTGGATCCAGGAGGAATGTTTCGATGTTCGTTTTGTTCGTTACAAGAACGTTTCGATTACAAGGGAACAAAACCTCCTTTTGCCAAACACTTATCTTATTTAGAGGAATGTTACATCATGAAAGATCCCTTCAGTCTACCGAACAGAGGAGAGGTCTTGGTATTAGGTGCAGATTGCAGTATTTGTAGGAAAATCATATGCCTCCAATGTAGTATTTTTTTCTCTAAGCGATTTTGTCAGAAATGTGCAATTAATAATATGGCACAGTTACCAACTCAATTGCAAGGAAAAGTAAAGAAAATTAAACCTAACGATTGATAAACTATAAATGAGCGAACAAGTCAAATCATCCACATACGATATTTTTATCAGGCAAAATCATCATTCACAAATACTTCTTACGTAATAGATACAAATATATATACATGCTAGAAAATGATTTTCTTAAAACTTCACATATATTCAATGAGAATGAACAATTGTCACTTAACAATGGTTGTAATGTTTGGCTGCCATTACGGAAGCGAAGGAATAGTTGTATGTAAAATAATATATAATAATATTAAATATAAACTGCAAAATTTAATGAAATGACTAATTGGCTGCAGGTTTTTTTGAAGCTCTTTTTGTTAAAATTTCAGCTATTAACTTTTTCTTCTTTTCTCCCTTATTACCCCTGATTTTCTTCTTCCGTTCAGCCTTCTGTCCTTGAAATGTATTTATATTTTTTTTTTTAAGTTTTGGGCTCCTTTGCTGGTGTTTCAATGAGTCATTTTCTTTCTGAACCATGTGTTTTTGTACATTTGTGGCCTGTTTCTGAAAAGTGTAAATTAAAAATCAATAACCAATAAACTAAAAGAATTGAAGGGAAATAAAAAATACCTGTAATGTTACATCATTGTTCTGTTGTTTCTTTACTTTTTTCATTGGTTTTTTATTCGCAGAATATTGTGATTGCTTCCTCTTCGTACCCGATTTTGGTGGTTGAACAAGACATGGCTGTACCCTTATTTCTCGATGTAACACTTTGGAACCATCCAAGTTAAGTGCCAAAGCTACAGAATCGACACTCTGAAAGTTGACATATCCATAGCCTCGACCAATTCCAGTCTTGGAATCTCTAATTATTCTTACTGACTCTATTTTTCCGCAATCACCAAACAGTTCCCAAATCATATTTTCTTCAACCTCTGAAAGTAGAAAGTAAAAGCAGAATATATAAATTAATACATTAATATAAGACTTCAATGAGAAATGAAGGCATTTCTATATAGTAATATTAAGCATATAGAGATTCGAAAAACTAACCAAATGGCAAATTTCCCAAAAATACTGCCTTTTTATGGTCAGGCTTTTCGTTTGCTTTAGCAACGATATCCACTCGTAGAAAATTGCCATTAAATTTTCTACCATTCAGTTTAATGGCTTTCTTTGCTGATTCTTCAGACTTAAAATGTATATATGCTATGATTGTATTTATCTTCGGATGAATTTTTCTTTTTATTGCTGCTTCTTTTATTGGTATGCCTGGATTAGAAGGAATAATGCCCCTCAAGCGAATACTATGAATGAGACCAAATACACTGAACTCTTTTTTCAAGTGTGCTTTTGTCGTTTCTTTTGGGAGATTTCCTATGTAAATCGTTCTCTTGTCAATTTCTTTTTGTTCTTCAGGTGTTACATTTTTATGCCCTTCGTTACCTTGGGCCTCATCTTTCTTCAACTTATTCTCTTTTTTAGGAACAGATTGGTTTTTTTTTGAAATACAATGGTCATCTAAATCAACATCTTCATCAGTAATGTCTACCTCGTCACTATCATCATCCTCCTCCTCGCTAATGTCTGTGTCATTATCCTCTTCCTCGGCAGCATCAAAATCCTCGTCATCGTCATCATCTGCTAAACTGTTTCCTAATAGATCTTTTAATCCTAGGCCAGAATCTTTTGTAGATTTATTTTCATTTTTATGGATTAATTGCTTCCTTGATGCAGAGCTTTCTATCTCATCTTCATCACTAATATCTGTATCCTCATCATCTTCTTCGTCACTATTAAAATCTTCATCGTCCTCATCATCTGCCAAACTGTTTCCTAATAGATCTTTTAATCCTGGCCCAGATTCTTCGTTATCATCACTATCGTCATCATCGTCGTCATTATCAACGCTATTGTCACTGTTAGGATCCAGGGCATCTTCTTGGCAACCTTTTGCCAGTGTCATATTACATCGATCTCCTTCATCCTCGCTATCATCTTCTTCAGAAGTGTGATACTTTTGTTTAGCAGTATTAATAGATATTCCTTTAAACATCTTCACACCTTTATTTTTAGGTAAATTCCCATCTTCATCGCCATTATAATCATCATCATCGGAATCAGAATCGTCAGGCAAACTTGATTCAAATATGTTTGGTACATCGGTATTATCAGCAAATTCATTATCATTGCTTCCATTACCTTCAAATATTTTACTCCTCTTTCGATCCAAGGTAGTCTGCTTAGTTTTCTTAAGTGGTTCCGCTTTTTGATTGCATTGTACCTTCTTTGAATTTTTTAAAACAATCCCATTGGGAACTTTTTTTTGAAAGATGAAATGGTCTTCCAGGTTTTGTGTTATTAATTTATTTTTTCCTTGATTTTTAAGTCTTGAATCGTTAATCAAAGAATTTTTAGTTTTAAAGTTACTCTTAAAATCAGAGCTTCTATTCTTACCAATAAACACATTTTTAACTCCTTTCAAGCTATTCTTATGAATTGGTGTTGAATTATTCTGATGTTTTGTTTTAGCCATTATCTAACTGTTTTAGCCGTCAATGAAGATTTTTTATTAAATACCCTAAAATATAATTGCAATATTAGAATCGGTCACTAATTTCTAAACAAGCTTAGCCAGTATTACCTTTTAGTACTAAGGGAATATTCCTGTTCGTGATGAAAAACCGCAATTCTTCAAAATTAATAAGGAGTGTACTCAATGCTTCACAACGCGATCGAACGCGATCAAACGCGACTGAATCCTTCCCACAAAATTCACCAAGGTTAAAAATCCACGTGCTGGTGTTTCAACCAGACCTACGAGAAAGCTTGTAAACGGAAACTGTGAAGTTAAAAGTTAGCAATTAAAATAACCATTATATTTATCAGACAACTTATAAATACGTGCTTCGTCGATATAGACAAACTTATAATCGTTTACCTCTGGAGATTCTTTATCAACGTCAATAAATGTCCGTTAAAAATGCAACCAGCGTTAGCACAGAATATGTATGTACATGTGTACACACACCCGGTAACCACAGAGCATCAAAGATAGAGCGGAAGCTTCGCGTATGTATAAGGTGAATATTGAAAACGGAACCATTCGCAGAGATGAGTTGGGAGATTGCTCACGGGCAGGGTCGAGCGATCGCGTCCTATGCTGCCCCCTGGTAGAGGATATGGACGACTAACGCACTTGCCACCTAATATACCCCAATGGCGGCCCAATACAGGGATCTTCCTTATCTCTGTGATAACAATTTAACATCTCTTACCATTAAGTCCAGCAAATCTGCAGCGATGAACTATCCATGATGATTTGAAAAAAAGAAATGGATCCTGTAGTGATCCACTTGAACCTGGAAAGGGCACAAAAGAACAGGCAAAACAGAATGTTGAAGTGCGTGGGGCCAGCAAAGAACGCGGCCACAGAAAGAGGCACCTACCATTGATGACGCTGGAAACATCGTAAGCTGATTAATTTCGACATTGCTAAAACGAGCTACTGACTCTACTTGACATCGATATTCCACAATTTCAACAATAGGGAAAACCCACGACCGGACCCGGCCTCGCCCAATTCGGGAGCTGGATCTCGGTCAGGGCTCGCGATATATAGGGATAACTCACTTCTGGCAGAGATGAGTTTGCGCCGCCACTGAGGGGTAACAGGTGGCAAGTACGTAGCCGCTCGCACCAACCACCAGGGGGCAGCACACGATGCAATCGTGCGACCCTGCCCGTGAGCAATCTCCCAACTCATCTCTTCAACGGAACCAACAGCACGAACGCTGTTGGTTCCGTTGCGACTGGTCGCGACCAACCCAACGAAAGGAATGATCGGACTACTGGACCATGGTAGTTGGATTCAGTTGGATTGGGAAACGGAGGAACGCGTGGACCGCGAACCGCCACAGTGTTGTCGACGAGAAGGGTACACGAAAGCGAGGATTTCTTGTTTTTTTACCCTCGGGAGGTGAAAAATCACGAGGAAAAGGATGGTGGGCGCACATTTCGAAGGGCTTTTCATGGTCTAGAGTGGAACCGCGGGCGTGCACGAACCCGTTCACGGAGGGACGTAAACACATGTGTACGGCCGAGCTGTATTTTCGATTGCGAAGTGTTGTCCCGTGTTTAATTCGTGAAAAACTCGGGCACAGGAAGTCGTGCCCCAGGTGCGCTCGCATGCCAAAAGCCGCGGTGTTCCTCTTCGGGGACGTACACGCGAGGATGGGCCGGCCCTTAAGGCCGCTGTGAGCCTCCTCGATGAAGGCGACAGTGCGTGGGTAGGTGGATGTCCGACCACTGCTTTGCTCCTGAGCACCGAATTACTCCTACGAATTTCATGCCAAACGGAGCTGAGAAACCCTTGCCACTTACTCTGATAACCGATTCGACTTTCGGTAAAACATTGTGCCCCGATCGGTTCATTTCCTGGGTCGATACCTCTTCGAGTCGTCGAATAACGAAGATGTTACGACCAGCTGCGAAACCGGAGAAGTAGCTCAACGAATCTACACGTTCTGGACACTGTGTCAGAAATTAAAAAATACGATCGAACGACGGTTTCGATCCTAACTAGTCAATTGAAGTATTGGTTTGCAATTGGAATCTCCAAGTACCAAACCGTGTACCAACGAGCAACACGATGTAAAAGTGTTTCGACGATGGAATCCCTTTGGAAAAGGTTGGAACGATCCTAGGACACTTGAATTCATTAGTTTAATATAAGAACGTAGTTCCTGCCGATAGATCCATGTCAAAGCATGAATAAAGCGTATTATTTAGCGAGAGCTTCTTAGAGCTCTTGCCGTTTCGGGATCAAATTATATTATTTATATGGTTCCTGGTGGTCTTATAATTTCTCGAAAGAATTCGAGAGATCTAAACATGAAAGGCTGAGCAACGAAGAATGGATTGCAGTAGGGTATCGGTATGCGTGAGAAGTCAGCGGAATGTCATGCTCGCACGGGTTACGTGAGGGGCACGACAGACATGTGCTCGCGCGACCCACCTGCCTTGCATCCAGCCCTTGCCAAGGCCAATGGTAAAAATTCAAGCCCTCAGCCGAATCATCACGTCGAAGCTCGTATCGACAACAACGTCCTCCCTACTCCGGGAGGACGACTAAAATTTTTCAAAGATGGAAAATTCATCTTGGAATTGTCGCATCGAAGAGATGGAGAAAGAACGACATGGTTCCCGGTCCCAAAGAAAACATTTTGGCCACCTGCTAGCACTACACCGAATAGGCAAGAAAGTTCGACGTCTCTTAGTGGTATGTCGTTTCTTTTCATTTGCACTAGTTTACTTCGTGTGTTATGATATCGCCTTAAGATGAGTAAATGTTAGTAAAGAATAAAGCGATTCGTATTGTCATGGTTCTTTACACATTGTGGTAACTGCTTGATAAAAAAGTCTAGTGATATATGAATAATTGAAAATTTATTTTTATATCGGTCACTGCTTTATTGCATTACAACCAGATACATTTCTTAGCGTAATTAAATATTTATTGTTAAATGATTATAAGCAATTGGTAAAACACACTATTTTCCAATTACATATTATTTTATCCAATTTCTGTTAGAATTTCAAGTTATTTCAATAATGGCGTTTTCTATGAATATAACACAATATAGGAAGTCATAAATGAACCGTTGTCAATGAATTTTATGTACTTCCTTTTAGTCTCGGACGACAATTCCTCTGTCCAATCGAGTCCATGGCAAAGGGATCATTGTTGGAAACAAGCTAACCCTAGACGCAACACATCGACAGAATTTAATTTTTACTACCGCAGAAACCCAAGGAACCGTCTTTGTGCCCATCCACGTTTAGTAGCACGCAAACGTAGACGACCATTGGACTCGACGGTTCCGCTGTTTCCTCTGGATTCAGCGGCTTGTTTCGCCAGGCCATCACGAAAAGCTAATGGGGTACCTTCGGGTAGAACCCTGAGTCTAATCATTGACAAATTGTCTCGTTCCGATCCCAATGTGGTATCACCTCGGAAACGTATTTTACGAGAACTGGAAAGAGTGACACTCGAAGACCAAGCATCTAAAAGACGCGCCACTCCGCAACCCACTATTACAACCAGTGCTCCGACACCTTCTCCAAAGCAGCTCTCGTCGTATAGTATAACTAGTATTTTGGGGGAAGATAAACCCAGTCCAGAACCTGGTTTCTTGAGGAACTTGTTAAAGCCGGAAGACAGGCAACCCATGAAATACTCGTCGAACCATCCATATCCTAGAGCGCGTATTGACCCTTATATTGCTTCGGCGAATACGTCCGTTCATCATCCTCTGTACGGTGTCCCGATGCTTCCTCCTGGTCCTTACAGAGCTCCGCTTTGGATGCATTACCCACCACCCGTCCACTATCCCCCTATGCCTCTGTATGCACCTCCACCTCCTCCCCCTCCCTCTCCTCCCGTTCATCACTACAAGGACTACAGAGAACAAACTCTTACACCTCCTTCAGGTAAATTTTTTAATCAATTGTACAAGCGACGAAATACAGAACATTTTATTTCTTATTCTACATATGAGGTTTAATAAGAAAAATTATTTTCTTAAATACTATTTAATCGCAAACCAATATTGCCGGTAACGTTGTCATCAATTTCTAGTGACACGAGACAAAAACTAATTTGATTTAACATTTCAGATATGCCTCTGAATCTGTCGAAGCATGCGGGTTGAATCTCAGGATCACGGAATTTGGTGCCTTATCGATGGACAAACTATGCGAACACTGCCCGTGCAACGACAATGCTATATATTAGTATTTTTTTATCCTTAAACAATAGTACCGTAGTAGGTAGAAATGTGCAGCCAGAATGACGACACGGACTGGTATGCTTGTACATATGAATGCATAAACTGTCGCAGTCGATATAGGTATTTTATATTATCGATTAACTAATTCATTTTTGAATAGTATTACGTCGCGGCACTGGCTGGAGGTTGAGTGCTGCGCGCAATATGTCGCCTGGCGTGAAAATTATCTGTCACGGTTGCCACTCGTAGATGCTCTCCGGCACTTAGATCGCCGCGATCGGGAGACATTCGTCCGCAACAAAGACTAAGCAGAGGAAGATTCTTATCAAATGAATAACCAGAAATACTCGCTAGATCTTCCATTGTACGTTTGTATCGGTAATATTTTGCAACGGCGTACTATGATATTCGGTCACTTACTATTCCATAGCTGCCTGAGCAGCCTTGAACTGCAACGAGGGAAAAGAGATACGCGTTCGTTTCATCTCCGTGTATCTCATTTATGCATTATCTTGTTAATTATTAATGTTACTGTCCTTATTATCATTATTAAATCGTACCGCTACCCACGTTACAGGAATCGTAAGAAAGACATAGGATTATGTACAGAGCAGATATTATCTATACTTAGGACATTATTATTATTATTATGAATCGTAACAGGTCGGTTATTTTAAGATAAAAGGTGTCCGATAACGGATAGATATGATTATTTATGCGGTATTAGTGGAAGCTACAAAATTAATAGGCAGAGCATGGAGTGTGCCTTAAATATTTGTACGGAAATTCATTCATTTAAATTGTATGCATTATTATTATGTACATACACCCCAACGTAATTTCGTGTTATATATTCCCGACAACGTACGCGTACCCACGCATTTGTCGTTCTATTTATTTTTACCGTGATGCGTTAAAATATTTCTTTTTAGAGAAAGGCAGATTCACTCGAGCTCTAACGATCGGCGAATAATTTTAATTATCCATTTACATGCACTTTTGTGGATCGAAACAAATCTTGGAGTGCGTGGATGCGCACGAGCAATTGTATAGAAAGACTAATTTCATAAATATAAATATTTCGTATACTAGGTGCAACTTGTCAGTTTGTTTTATAATTCTTAGTACGTGGTCAGATGTTTCTTTACATCCTTCGTGTTATTGAAATATCGTTACCGTTTTTCATTGTATAGTTCAAACGTTCTCGAGCCCAAAACTTTCCAACATAAACCGTGTATCTCGTGTTCTGCTTTTATTAGACCTTTCCGATAACGTTGTGAAAAAGACTGAACGAACTGGTAAATACATTTGAAAATTTAAAAACAACCGCCATCTTGAAATATTGTTCAAAGCGGACCAATCAACGTTTTTAAGAAACTCGAAAACTGCGGTTAGTTCGCTTTTAACAAGCATTAAGTATGTTTCCGTTATCTGCACCTTGCCACACTTTGACAAAAAATCGAGATATTGGTTCGCTAACGATCCAATAAACAATTCTGAATACATATGTTCCGGTAAGTGGCTAAGTTCTCATGATTAACATAACTGCACTCGTTCGTTTATATCGATAGGAACTACGGGTTACGGATAACCATTTCATTAAATACGCAAGCTTTCGAGTGGCAGTAGAAACCGTAAAGCCTAGTTTAGACGGGCTTTCTGCTAACGTCAACAGAGAACAGCAACTAACGAATGAAGCGAAATTTCTGTGCCACTTCCGGAGCTTCGGTAAAATTCAGCAGTGATGGGTTTCGGACCATGGACGTAAGAATACGTGGACGAAGCCAAGCCGGAGAGGTAAGTGCGGAGTAAGGAACACGTAGGGTTAGCCAAAATCTTAGCTTTCCGATTGATTGAAATTCAGTCGTCACTTTGAGAATAGCGAGAAAAGAACGGGGCTGGCTGTGAACGGATAAACAGGGAATGAAGTACAATATGCCAACATGAAGCAGGTGAGCTCCCAATCAGAAGGCTGAAAAATGAACGCAACGATATGGCCGTCCTCCCCCTCCTATTACGACACGTCGGGCCCCGGTCTAAGATGGGGCCGTAGGCTTTATCTATACATTCTTACGTCCATGGTCCGAAACCCAACAATGTTGGATTTTCCCGAAGTGTCGGAAATGGCACAAAAATTTCAAAATATATCTTTCATTCTCCATTCTCGCACTGTCATCTCACGTGGGTTTATTCGCCGAATTACGTATTCGCAATATGAAAGAACGAGATCACTAGCACTTCCGGTCTAGTAATATTGCAAATAAAGGTACATACCTTGTAAATCGAAAATTGTCGAGAGGTAGTGGGTTGCAGTGGGTTATAGGCAGGAAAGGCGGGAAGATGGAAAGCCGTTGAAAGTAAAGAAAAGCACTCGAGTCTATCTATATTTTTTAACCCTTTGCACTACAATGGTTTTCCTAGTTTGTTCCCGCCAGAGGTGACCTCATAGTGTAAAGGGTTAAATATGTATTACATTCATATTTACATGTACTATAATTAGAAGTTCAACAATATAATTTTCTTATCGTGTCATGTAAGCATAAATTATTTAACAGTTTTCAATGTTTAATAAATGTAGTATAACCTTGCTATAACAAAAACTAACCTGTACATCTTAGTAAATTCTCTTTCTTCTAACGAAAATGGGTCCGAGGCATCACGTAATTCGCTTCTTCTAATCAGATTATTATTACGTCCCCGAATACGATCGTTGCCAAGAATCAAAACACCCAGAAGATTTTCCATTTTGAATTTCGGTGTCACAATCCGTGGAAGATGGCGTTCACGGCGCTTATTTTTTTATCTTTTCTTGTACGCTTCGCCATTTCGCTTAAAAATTTGTGCCGAGCCAGTTCATACGAATGGTCTCGCATTTTCACCACCAAAAACGTTCCGTAATACCGTGAGCTACTCGTTTTTCACATTTTCGCTTAATTCTATTTAGGTAATAGACCCCTGCTCTGGGCCAAATCATGTGGAATTCCCGGGAAATTACGCGAAAATATTATTAGCTGAAAATAAATAAAACTCTATAATTAATTTCTAAATTATATTTATCATTCTTTAATTCGAACTTCAAAGCGCATCGAAAAGAAACGTCATTTAAAGAAAGAAATCTCAAGTATATAAACGAAAAAATGAACGTTCTCATAAATTCTCGATATTTTAGGGAACCTACGGCCGGTTTCTTAGGTATCTGCTTCGATTTTACGTTACCGAGAACTTTGGAACTCCACGGAGGATGCGCCGGGGTCCACGTCGGTTATAAAAAGGCCGCACCAATCGCGGCGGTCGATCAGCCGACGCGCACTCCGATTGGTCGGCACCGAGGGAGGCGTCGCTCGCCGCTTTTGGAACGCATCGAGAGGCAGTCGAGTTCGGTCGCCGGTCTCGGCAACGCGTTCATTCCGTGGTCTGGCCGGTGGCGGCAGTCGGCGGTCTATCCGTGCGAGTTTTCAGTGAGAGTCGTCGAGTCGGACGAGCGCGTTTCCGCCGACGCGGCTCGGGGAGAGAGAGAGAGAGAGAGAGAGAGCATCCGGTGGGTCCTCGCGCGTGCACGTCCCTCGGCGTCTTTCGGTCGGGCAAGCGACGGCGGCGGCGGCGGCGGCGGTGGCGGCGGCGGCGCTCTCGGATGACCGCTCGAGCCGAGCTCGCGATCGCGTCGCGGCGGTGGGGGGGAGGCCCAGCAGCCTGGCCGCTCGTGGCACCGCTCGCCAAAATGAAAATGGCGGTGGTGTTCCCTTGAGCGGAGGTACGGTGACGGACGATGCCCGCCACCCTGACGGACACGTGAGTAAGGACGGTGTGCGCGCATCGCGGCCCCGCTACCCAGCGAGCGGAGCGTCGGCGCGGAGCGGCCCGAGAGGGAGAGCCGACCGACGGCCGAGCGAGCGAGCGGCGGGCGGTCGCCCGAGTCGCGGTGGCGCGATGGAGTGACCCGCCGCCGAGTCCGTTGACTCACGGGGGAGCGCGAGGGTCCGACCCGTCGCGCCTGCCGAGGGGACGTTGGAACGAGCCTTCATGCCGATGCCGGCCGAGTATCTCGAGGCCCACGGGAACCACGAGAACGCGAATTTCGGGCTCGGGGCTACGCAAGACGCCACCAACATGACGGCCAACATGTACCGGGTGGGAGGTAAGCCGCTTTCTCTCTCTCTCTCTCCCTCTCTCTTTCTCTCTCTCTCTCCCTCCCCGCGCGTCCCCGCGCTTCCCTGCGCGTCCCTGCGCGTCCCTCGCATCCTCCCTCGTCCCTCTCCCGCTCGCGGCACCTCGCGGTCCCGCGACTCTCGCGACTCTCGCGACTCTCGCGGCCGGGCCGTCACCGAGGGTCGCGGGCGCAGCTTTAATTAGCCCGAGAAATTAATGTTTGCAAATGGCATCGCGACGGCGTCCCCTGCACCCCCCGCCCCCTTGCTGCCCCGTGCGTCCGGGACCCCTTGTCCAGGTCATGCTAATTCCTCGGCCGATGGATTCACCGATTAACGCTCCTCGCTCGGGTCCTTTCCCTTTGTCGATTTCGGGCCCGTTACGCGCCGGCTCGCCCTATACCTGCCGCCTGGAAATTTCCCAAGGCCCAATTATTGTTCGGGGGATTGACGAAGCCTTACCTGGGCCCGATCGGGACCCGTAAACCTCGCGGAGCGTTATCGGACCGAATCTTTTTTCCTGCTTTTGCAAAACTCGGAGGTGGGCCGCAATCGAAAGGACGCGGCGTCGCTCGGCTTTCGGGGGATCTTCCCGCGAGCTTGGACGGGAAACGCTCGTCCCGATCGAAGGCCTCGATTTCCCGCCCGTTTCGCCCCCCTTCGCCCCCCTTCGCCCCCCTTCGCCCCTCTCCGGGAGTTTATTTCTCGTCCGCCGTCGAGCGAACTCCCGTTTGTGCCCGTTGAGAACTTTTCGGAAAGCCTTGGAAGTAGTCGGTTGAATTTGGCATTTTAGGAAATCGTATTCGGACGAATTAACGGACGGCAGGGTTAACGATGCGCCGTTTTAAATACCGGTTTAGCCAGCTCTCCGAACTCGCTCTCGATTTTGCCCGCGAATCGAGGGAGCGAAACGGCGCAACTCCTGCCCCCCCGGTACCTCCTCCCCAGGGGGAGGAGGAGGAGGAGGTTCTCTTGCACCTCGAAGGAATGTCTCGTATTTTCTTTTTTTTTGGGCCCTACCTCCTATAATATCCGCTTTTATGTACGCGTAAAAGCAACCGGTACAGTTTTGCCGGTGCCCTCTGTGCGTCGTTCGAGCGATTCGCTCGACAACTGGCATTCGTTGTATCCGTTGTTGCGAACGTTGGGTCCTAAATGGAGTCGTTCGCTCTTTGAACGGAGTCTCCGATCGCTCTCCGAGAGCTCGATTCGGGTGTCGCTATATCGCGTTTGTGGCTGTGCATTGATCAATTGTTTACGAAGCGTGAAAGACGTGAAATTTTATTCATTGTTCGCGGGTGTTTTTAAGATTTTCAACGTTTTTACATTATAGGCGCGACCGCAAACTTGGCGCGCTCTCGTCGACGGAAAAAGGCGTAAATTTCGTATTTCACGTTATTTAACCGGAGGATATTGGAATAGAGTTAGAGAAGGGTTAAAGATCGTTGGGAAGATTCGTTTGGTTGGTTTTACTCGTAAATCGGACGAAACTCGGACGTGCCAAATCCTTCCATAGCGGTGTCGCGGTTCACCGGCGATTTGCCCATTTGTAGGAATAGGAATCGTTTTTCTACAAGTTTTAACGGAACGACCGTAACGTTGCGTCATACGGTGGGTGGATATACATATCACGGGGTACCGCTGAAATTTGCAGTTGAATCGATTTGTGGATTAAAACCTATAGATTAATCAAGGCGAATGCCCGGAATACGGTCGTCCCGTTTCTACCTGGTAAATTTGTCTCGTATCCGGTCGGGGCTACCGTTTAACCGATCTAAATGTTTTTTTGCAAAAACGATCGACGCGATCGTTGAGACGAGGATTACCGAGGATTACCTTCGATATTTAAGAAGATACCCTAAGAAGTAGCCATCCGACTGGAGAATGATCGACTTAAACTCGCGACATTTGTTTATGCTTAACTATTTGGTGGGAGCATCGATGAATGTTCAACTCGGAGACGTGTACGTCAGTTTGCTAACGTGTTACCAATTTCGTTTCTAACCTATATCCGCCGTGTGAGGTACGTTCAGAAGTTGTTACCAATAATTGTTAAGAAATTTATTTAATTTTTATGTAAACGCGTGTATAATCTTTTGCGTGATCTCAATGTTTGGCGTTTTAGAAATTGTAAAACTGGAAATAATTCCATGTCAGCGATATCGTCCCACCGCGTAATCGAGTAATTCGTCCCGGCACGATTGATCCACCTGTGTCCATTAAGTCAAAACTTTGGTTATCCAAGTACTTGGTCTTCGATAAAAATGACTCTATTTAGAAATGGCGTCAAAAATAAAGATGAAGCATGGTTATTCAAAGATACGAGAAAAGTCATTAAATTGTAAAAGAAAATGGTTTCACGAAAAATCCGCTAACCTGAAATCTATCGAATGCTACGTGGGCGTTTTTTCGCAGTAAAATATGATATATGTAATGATTTTTCATTTCCGAATTTTACTTATACGTTCAATGTTTTGCTTTGATTTCATTTCTCATGGGTGGGACAAACGATTCGATCGTATTGTAACGACAGAGGACGATTTAGCCACCCGGTGGGAACGAGGAGCCAGATGCGTCGTTTATATTGTACCGTTATAAGCAATATTTTACTCGATTGAACGTCTACCGTGTTAAATAGTATTTATGTACTTTTATGCGTGTGCCCTGCATGCAGAATTTCATAGATAAATGAAATATGAATTCGTTGACTAGAATACCCTGCCAGAAACGTGTCTCTATTGGTATTTTTGTAAACCCGAGACAATTTACCCAACTTTACTCTACTTGCGTCAACGGAAAGAATGCCCATTAAAATGTTTGATCTCGATGGCAGAGCTTTTTTCTCACCCATATTGACAAATTGGCATATTGAATTTACCGACGATAATGACTGCACTTTGAATCGTTATCTTCAATTGATATCCGCTTTACTCCGTTTAACGTTACCCTTGGAGAGTTACTTTTATCGCGCTAAATTGCGAGGAGCGTGGTAAATATCTAGGGTTCCAATGCCGATCGGGTGTTACGGAACTCCGAGGGACATATTTGCGCTAAACTCGTTCCCCGCTTAAATGCTGTCAAATATCGATTGACTTTTATTTGAAGATTTATCGAGTAAACTGCCCCCGGGTCGTTGAGTTAGACGGACATTACTCGCACCGGTTTGCCAGATTGTAATTCAAGGAAGGATTTTCCTCTTTCGGGTGGTCGCGCTTAGACGGCGGAAGGGATGCGAGCTATCGGCCCCTTGCAACGACAAAGGTAGAAAATAACCGAACTTCTCAACTTTTATACGGGGTAGAAATTGTATAGGATCGAAATTCCCTGCTCCCTCTGTCGCCCTCCCCGGCCCATAAGGTGTACCGTACATTTCCGTCCTTGGGCACCTTGGAACTATCCGAAACGTCGTCCCAGTTGTTTCCCATTTCCTCGCAAAAGGCCTTCCAAGTAGAGGTGTCCCGCCTTAGGAACCGTGTCCGACGAATGTTCCCTTTGAAAACGATACGATTGCTTGGTCGATCGACGAACTGTATTTCACTCTTGTGTTTCTTTTTCCAGATTACGTGTACTTCGAAACATCGTCGACGTCCCCCTACCAAATACGCAGGATAGAGGAATTAAATAAGGTCTCCGATTCCTGAGTACTTTACGTCATGGGCTAAGATGGAGTATAATTAGAAATTACTTGCGGTACCGTTACCGAAACAGCTTACACAGGGAGAGGTGCTAGAATTACGCGGACGTTCCTTCGGTGGATTTGATCGGACCATTGATTAAAAAAATGTAGCATTAAAGTTGTAAGATTATTTGAAATCGATGCGAGAAACTCTGGGACCAAAGGAAAACGCCCTTCGTATCGGTTCGAGTAAAATATTTGTTGGTTGGGAAAAAAAATGTGGGGTCGTAATATATTTGATAGCATCCAATAGTTACGGTTACGGTAAAAGGTGTGGTTTTACCCTAAGAGGCTCTCGGTGATATAACGTGGACTACAAATCGTGAATTAACTTTCTTGCGCGATCGTTCGCTCGTTATTCATTGTAGGGCTATGTTACTTAACTACTGACCGTAGAAAATGACGATAAGCGATTAATTTAAAGGTTTGATCGCGATTCGACTAAACGCATCGTATAATCATTTCAGACGGCTAGTGGGAACGTAGAAGCAAAGGTGATGTGTTTCTTCAGGCGGAGGGATTTACCTTCTACCTTGATAATGCTTGCGGACAAACACCAATGTGAGTAGAAAATCAGCTGCGACGATGTTCGACGCGCTGTTGAACATAATTGCTTCGCTAGACCTTGGAGACGGACGAATGCGTCGCGTTTAAACGCTAAGCCGAGCAGCCTGGAAACATTTTCGAAGACCCGATATCGCGAATGACATTCAATTCGAGTAAACCCTTGGGCCGAGCTCTTTTGTGCTTAGACTCGAGAGTACGTAAAGATGAACGATAGTCGTTTAATATTCTAAGATGGATGACATCGGTCTATAGTCGATTTCGGGATTCTCTTTTAACTTGCACAAATTGGGGCGGTAACGAAGCCGTGGCATTGCCGTGAACCGATCGGGATCATCCGAGTGGGGGGTAAACCTGTAAATAATGTAAAACGATAGAAGGAGAAACGTCAATTTTGGTACCACGGTAAATAACGGACTAATTTAATTCGTAACCATATTGGTTTCATCCGTCGAAGGTATTGAATTCAAGCACAAGGGTACTTACGCGATTCATCAAACGTATACACGTTCCGGTTACTTCTCGTTCGAAGCGGGTACCTTTCCGTCGACTTCGGTAGATGCGTTTCTGGGTTTTCACGGTGACATTGATCGCCTCTCTCCTGTTTCCAGGGCTTGATGATTTTAGCTTAGCTCGTAGCTCTCGCCGAACCTGCGCTCTAATACGAAGCTCTAGACGAAGAAACTAACGGTGTTAAATATTTCACGGATGAGGTTCTTTAATAATCGCACCCTAATTGCGCGTCTCTGTATTATTTTATATGGTATGTTATTCGAGTTGGATAATTCGCGAGAGACCAATACACGAACGGTCGAAAAATCCCTGTCGAATCCGTGCACGTTTTACGTTTATAATCTTCGAAATCCGTTTTCCTGGGTTTGATTTATGGAAAGGAATCTAATCCGAAGGAATAAATACCGCCGTCTCGTTGGTTTCCTATTTTTCGGAACGTTAGAAAACCGTTCAATGGCTTTCGGGGAGCAAAGATCGCGATTTCTCGAGCGATAAGTCCGGTATCGATCTTACGACTTATCGCAGGAATGTCTCGAATCGGAGACGTCGATTCGACTAGCTCCAAATATAATCTGGTATTTTTTTTTTCTTGCGATAAGCATTACCTCCTCTTCTTTCCCTTGTCTATTTTCATATACGATGTTGATAAAAATCGCCGTTAACCTCTCGTCAGCGTCACGCGGTTAATATTATTTTTCGGGGAGTCTCGCGAATACAGCCATTTCATGCCCGCGCAAAGACACCCTCGTAGATTTTCGCACGGACATCGATCGGCTCTCCGTAGTCCCAGACTTGGGCTTGCGGTTTTCGCGGCCGACTATTCCTGGTCTCTTGCGATCCTCCCGAAAGGTCAAAATCCACATTAATCGTAAATACGTCCATACCGTTGTTCAGCCGACATTGTCATCGCGATTACCGAATAGCTTCCTTTTTGCCTAGACTCGAGGTGGATTGATATCAATTTCTGATTTCTATACGATACTACATAGGGGAAATAGTCCACTCGCGTTTCATCTCCTCGACGATCCGCTTTCGCGAGGACCTCAAAACAAATATTTCTTTTCGGAGCAAATACAACCTTTCGTGGATTTTCACGGGTGCATCGATCGACTCCCCGCAGTCCCAGTCCCAGTCCCAGTCCCAGTCCCAGTCCCAGACTCTGACAGTTCTCGGGCGCAGGTTGCGCTGGTTTCCCCTGGGACCCAGCTGGGACGCTCCAGCGATGAACGCGATCTTTTCAGATCTTAAAGGAATCGTATTACCATTATCCGAAGAGAACGTCACCGCATTCCTAATTTTGTGCTCGGACTTCTGGAAACACTTTCCTCCGACGTTTCTCGGGCAGGCCTCCCGCTTAAAAGCAACTTCTGGAAGGAACCGCTCCAACGACGGACCCGATCTTCCCGATTCCTAATGGAATCGCGTTACCGGTGTCCGCAAAACGGCCCCGTCCTCCGTAAATCGGGATCACGAGTGCCAGGATATCGAAAGCCCGAAGGCGTCGCTCCATCCGCCGATCGGCTCCGATTTCTAAAGAAAACTCACGAAAACGCGTACACGTAACGCGGACGATCCTTTTAAACGACGGCGGAATCGTCTTCCCATGATCCGGAGAACGGTGCCCCGTCACCTATGTGCCGGAGACTCCCGGAAGGTATCCCGCACGGCCCAAGCGACTGGCAGAAACCTCTGAAAAGAAATTGAATTTCTGCAAAAATTAGCCCCACGGGTCGTGCGACGGGTATCGACTCACCTCGCGCCTCGCGATCTCTCTCGGCCTCCGGACACGAGCGGTCGCGAGTCAGGAAAAGGGCGGCTGCCCTGGGGTCCGGCAGAACCGGACACGTCCATTCCGGAGGGCGGTGGTCCCTTTGAAAACTCCGCCAGGGCGTATTCCGCGCTCATTCCGCGTCCATTCCGCGCCCATTCCGCGCCCATTCCGCGCCCATTCCGCGCGGCGGCGGTAGACGTCGCGGCGCCACAAAGTGCCGCGGCATCGCGAGGTGTCGGGACGCGTACCCGGCGTCGTTGCCGGGTATCTCTCTCCCTTTTTCCTTTTTTTTTATCCCTTTTCTTTTTTCTCTCCGTCTCTCTCGCTCGCGCTCTCTCCTCTCCCGGAGCAATGGCAAAGATAATGAGACGCGAGGATTTGGGGTGGGAATATATAATAAGTAAAGTTGGGGGGGAGGGTGGGAGCGAGAAGATGGGGGTTGTATCGATCTGCCGGGGGTGAGGAAGGTGGTACACCCATCCCCGCNCCCCCGCCCCCGCCCCCGCCCCCGCGTCTCGCCCGGTCCGGCAGTATTTGGCCGCAATCGGACATTTTCCGACGTGGAATATTTCCGAGCGCGTGCCCCGAAATTCGGACCTCCGGGCGAGGCCGCGAGGTCCGCCGGTCTCCGATGCCCTGCATCCGTCGTTTTTCGATCACGTTAGGCGCCATTTTGAGGTTGCGCGGCGGTCGGGTTTTCGCGTCGTTGCGCGACGAATCCCGGGGAAACGATGGACGACGACTTCGTTTCGATGCTTCTAGGGGGATTTTTCGCCCTCGGAGTCGAATGCCATTGTAATCGGTTGACGTTGGACGCCACGTTGACGTCGTATATATGTAATCCCGATGTTTGACGAAATTATTGGTTCAAGGTTCTCGACCATACGCGGAACGTCCGACCTCGACTCGGGAAAGCGCGATGCTTGCGACTTTTCCCTGCGGGTCGTACGAGATTTTTCTCCGCGTTCCAAGTTGGACGCCATCTTGAAGTTCCGTGGTTACAAGTTCCTCGGGAACGCCCAGTCGGAGGTCGTATCTTTGCATCGAACCGCCGGTTTCCCGTGTTCGCAGATTCCGAGACGGCTAACGCCTTTTCCGACTTTACCGAGCGGAATCGCGATCGACCCGTTCCTCGGGCGTTGGCCGCCATTTTGGAGTCTCCGGTTCCAAACTTCCGGGCAGTTGTCCGTCCGAGGTTTGCGATCGTTCCAATTTGAAGACCCGAGATCGTTTTCGAAGGGTTTTGGACGGGACTTCGTAGCTTCGCCGTCGCCGCGATTGTTTAGCCGGGAATTCGGAGTCCGTTTGAGATTTTTTGCGATATTTCCCCGCGACGATACGCCCGGTATTTTCGAAGAACGTTAGACGCCATTTTGAGATTACACGGTTGTGGAAACAGCGTCCAGGGGGTTGCGCCCGCTATATCGAACTGCGAGGTCCCCCCTCCTCTCCGGGATGCGAAACGGTCGCGAATGGTGGATCCGTTTCGCGGATTCCTAGGGGTTCGTTCGCGTCGGGACTTGGCCGAGGTGTCCTCGATATGCCCCGGATCCCCCGGGGAAAATACGCTTTCGGGATCGCGAGTTTTCCGAATGACGCCGAACGCCATTTTGAAACCACGCGGCTGCGGGCCTCGCCACGTCGTCCAATCTATCGCCGACCGATCGCTCCGAGCCGCGGGAAACTGGCCAATTATGATTTGAAAAATTGAATCTCCGATTAGCCCTCCCATTGTGTTTATTTCGAACCCCTTGCGCTAAAATGACACCCCGTTTATCTTGAAAATGGAAACCAAGTGCCACGCGCGTCGACGATTGCTCGTCTCAAAAGTGGGAACGGAGGTTCGTTCCCGCGCAACCCCGAATCGATTCCATCGATTTCCAGCGCGAGCGGTTGGATGGATAGTCTATACGAATGATTACGCGTTCGTTGCCGTGCGGGCTACCGTTTGTGCCGAGAGTCATCTCGGATGGGGCCTTTCGGGAGAAATTGCAGGGCCGAAGGTACAAATTAACGCCGAAAATGAAAAAGATTAGAGGTGCGTATTTACGTTGTCCATTTAGATGAATCTATTCCGCGGGACCTCGGGAAGATATGCCCGAAGGTCCGCTTTCGCAGGTTTGGCGATACTAGGAATAAAATGCGAAATGCGCGGAATCGTCGATTACCCTCGTTAACGCGATTAACGAGAGCGATCGACCCCGACCGATCGTCGCGGCGATGCCCGAAGAAAGACGTGTAAACGGTAGAGTGGGTTTGTTTCTCGTGACAATTCCAGTGGCGAGCGCGGAGCAGCAGAGGTCAGAATCCCCTGCGAGCACGCAGAGCCAGAAACTGGAGAATCCAGACTCTACTAAGGAAATGACTAGTAAAGATGGGATCGGGCCCAAAGTGATGAGCAAAGGGGGCGGGAAGGGGGGCTGGTTGAAGGCCCCGCTATCGGAGGCCCAGGAGCCCCACGGTGAGTGATCGACCGATCGAGAGCCCATTTTGCGGACGAATCCGACCGTTGACTCGGGGGAAAGGAGAGAATTTAGAATCCACGACCTCGAGTCCGACGTTCGCGGACGCAATTCCTCGATTATGCGCGATTCGGGACGTTGCGGTTGACGTTACGGTTGGACCTCCCACGACGCACGAGAGAGCGAATCGTTATCCGGAAGAGCCGAGGGGAACGATTTCTCTGCACCCGACGGTGTTCGAGAGATGCGTAGAATCTATATTTTTTTTCTAATTGCGAAAGAAATTATCGATAAGGAAAGGAACGAGAATGTATTTATCCGGAAGCCAGAACGAACTGCCCGATTTGGCACTTGGACGTTCTGGCATTCGAGAGTATTCGCATTTCGGTGTTTACCGTTTAGGCCAAGCGTCGCGTCGCCGTTGGAATAGAAATTGGAATAGAAATTGGAATACGTACGCGGGTTAGGCCGTGCACTCGTGTTTTGCAAGGGATACGTGCGTTAACGCTGGCCACGGCTCCGTTCGTATATCTCGAACGATTCCATCGGCACATCGGAGGGTCCGGATTAGGCTAGCTCCCTTTACCCCGGAGCTAGTCTTCCATTATCTCCGGATCTGCGTATTACCCGGGAGGCCCAACCGCACTCCGCATGCTTTGCTCTTCGAGCGAACGTAGTCCCGAATACAGAATTTACTTTTTTTTTTTCTTTCCCCAAACGATGACAGTGAAATAGTTTTGGATCGGTCAGTTGTTACCTTCGATTCGCGGAGAGAAAAAAAATCATTTGATGCTTGTAATCGATCAAATGTGTGACGTCGTCGATTTTTATTTGTTTCGCTGATACGTTCGATTCGATTGAAAATAGAAGACCTCTGGGTGCGACGCGATACTGGGAAACACGGACCCTTCGTAGATTCCTCCGTAAATGGGACACATTTTGCGCTTGATCGTTTCGTTTAATTTCAACCAAAAGCCTATGATGATTAAAAGCTACCGATTCTGCGGCGGGATTTATGTAAAATTCTTTGAAATCTTGGTGAATGCCTTTAGTCTGGGTCCACTTCGCTGTAAGGCCAAAGAGACAGAATCTTGGATCACGCTGGGCTGTTTCCCTTGCAGTTAAGCGTTGCAGCCCGGTACCTGTTCCTTTCGTATTAAAAGGACGGTCCGTACATCCTCTAATTAGATTGTCTCCTCCTCTTTCTCCTCTTTCTCATGCATTTTCTCACGTATTTCGTTCATTTTCGCATTTTATTGCGCACAGTCCAGTCATACGTCCCATAATACTTTACAGCATTTCCTTCAATTTTCTGGCCAATGTTCTCTCACGCTGTCTGTCCGTCCATCCGTTTTCTTCTTACCTTCTATCGTAGGTAAATCCCGCCGCGACAGAATGATGAATCTTTAGTAATCTGAGGCTTTGTTAACGACGCGATTATCCCTGGTTGACCGAACTTAATTTCTACTTGGCTGCAAATGGAAGGTGCAAAGTTGCTTTCGATTACTTTTTGGTTCGCCCGTTCTTGCTAGATCATTTTCATTTAGTACCGTCAATTTTTATTGTTTTCGTCGCGTTTCTGCGTTTCGTTTGCAGATTATCTCTCTTGCGATCGCTACCCTCGATGATAAGGAAGGAGAGCAAAAATTTCTTTCCGAAATGGTTGGTCAACTTTTCGGAATGTCTTACCAAAATCATCGACAGCTACCCATTGTCCTTGGGAACCGAGAAGAATCGGATTTGACCAAGTCAAGGAAGACAATTGATCATTTTGACTTTCGGATTTTTTGCTCTTTGTCATTCGATATATTTTACATTTTGAGTTTCGTTCTCACGTTTAACTCTGGCATGTCGGTTGCGCGCTTGTCCTATCACGATATTCTTTCTTTTGAAATTCAAGGTCCGTGTTTAATATGTATCGACGTTTACCCGCAGGGATGGAGGAAGGAATAGTAGGTGCCGGAGGAGTCGCCGAATTGAGTACGAAGCAACGTCACCAAATGAAGCACAGAGAGCTCTTCCTCTCCCGACAAGTCGAAACCATGCCGGCTACTCACATAAGGGGAAAGTGCTGCGTGACGCTGCTCAACGAGACCGAATCCTTGTTGAGCTACCTTAACAAGGAAGACTCCTTTTTCTACTGCTTGGTGTTCGACCCCGCTCAACGTACATTGCTGGCTGACAAAGGTAACGAGCGTTCGTAACGTGCCATTATTTCATACGTTTGCGATTATTCGAGTAAAGCTCATCGTCCGCGTAAACGATTCCGTTACTCTAGGGGAAATCAGAGTCGGCAGCAGATATCAGGCCGACGGGATCGTCTCGTCGCCTTTGACCTCGGCGGAAAGGGAGTCCGATCCGCGCAGGTTGCAGGACCTCGAAACGCTGGTGTGGACCCCTCGTCATTCGCTGACGGATCGTCAGATCGATCAATTCCTCGTCGTCAGTCGGTCCGTGGGCACCTTTGCGAGAGCCCTCGATTGTTCGTCCTCCATTAAACAACCCTCGTTGCACATGTCCGCGGCAGCTGCATCAAGGGACATTACCCTTGTAAGTCGAGAGATCGCCAAGAACTGGATCTTTAAGCGAGCCACGAAACGTAAACGTATCTTCCTTTCGCAGTTCCATGCAATGGATACCTTACACCGACATAATTACGACGTGGCAAAGGCGATGTCGTCTTTGGTGCCAAGTACTGGCCCTGTATTGTGCAGAGACGAAATGGAGGAATGGAGCGCCTCCGAGGCGAATCTCTTCGAAGAGGCTCTTGACAAGTATGGAAAGGATTTTTCCGACATTCGTAAAGATTTTGTGAGTAAAAGTCGTTATGAATCATCCGCTAAGATCGCTACCTCGTTGGTCGGAGAGCTCCGTTTTACCGTTACCTCTTGATCCCCAGCTCCCCTGGAAAACGTTGAAGAACGTGATCGAGTATTACTACATGTGGAAGACGACGGATCGCTACGTGCAGCAGAAAAGGGTGAAGGCCGTGGAAGCCGAGAGCAAGCTGAAGCAAGTCTACATACCAAACTACAACAAGACTCCCGTATCCTCGACCGTGCCTTCGACTGCCACGATAATACCGCTCGGTAATACCAACAATAGCAACGGGAAGGCCGTCAACATCCTCAACGGCAGTAGCAACGGCAACATCACCGGCAACATCACCGGCAACATCACCGGCGACGGCGGCGGCGGCGGTGGCGGCGGTGGCGGCGGCGGCGGCGGCGGCGGCATGCTGGTCGTGGGAGTCGGCGGAAAACCCTGCGAGAGCTGCCAGGTCATGCAGAGTCCCCAGTGGTACGCCTGGGGGCCGTCTCACATGCAGTGCCGGCTCTGCCAGTCGTGCTGGATGTACTGGAAGAAGTACGGAGGGCTCAAGGTACCCGCATCCGCTTTCCGCTACCCGTTAGGCTACGAGTAGCGCCTTCTCCCGCGCACCGGACCGAGTCAAGGACGCCCCTTCGCTTTCTGCCCCATCCAGGTCCCCTCGCGCATCGACGACGTCGACCTGGACCGCAAGAGGGGCGGCGCCGGCTCGGACGAGGAAGGCAAAGGAGTCGGCGGAGCGCATCGGCCGCATCGCTGCAGCATCCCATCGTGCGGCAAGGAGTTCAAGCTGAAGGCGCACCTGAGTCGCCATTACGCCAGCGCCCACGGCGTCGACCTGCGGGGCAGCGGAGCCGGGGGCGGCGGCGGCGGAGGAGGTTCGCCGCGACCCGTCATGAAGACCCGCTCCGCCTTTTACCTGCGCACCTCTGCCCTGGCGCGGGCCGCTCGCCGCCTTTGCGCCGCCCAGCTGCGCACCCGCCACGCGGCGCGCGCTCCGCACCAACCGGTCAACGCGGCCCCCCTCAGGCACCTCTGCGCTTCGCCCCAGTTGACCTCGAAGAGCCCCGCGGAGCTGCGCATCCTGGCGCGCGCCGTCCGGCCCAGGCCCCGTCCCCGCGTCACGGACATCGCGACTCGTCTCGGCGATCATCCCGCTCCGAGGCAGCCCGGCGACTGGGACTGGTTGGCCCTCACCGCGCCCGCCCAGCGCAAGCAGCCCGACCGCGTGTCCTTCCCAAGGCCGCCCAAGGCCCCCGGTACGTGCGACGCCCGGTGCCCTGGGTGACTCTTCGTTTCCCAGGAATCTTGTAGGATGAGGGTCGGACCTGGCTCTTCCGAGCTGGCGTTTGGCTTTCTCGGAATTACTGGGGGTCTTCGGTTCGGAAGCGGTCCTCGTAGCCCAGTTTCGGATAACGGGAGATTTTGGGGAACCGGTGGGGCTGGGAGGTTATTAGCATCCGATACCCACGTTGTCGCGTGATTCGTCCCTTGCCTGGCGATTTTTTTTCGATGGATGGACGCATTTTTCTCGTTATTTCAAATGAGCGTAACTCGCCATCGCGAGGCAAGGGGTTCCCAACGATGGCGAACGAATCCTCTTGAGTTTATGCGATAGATCGTAGGTAGAATCGTTGATGAACGCGGCCGTTAGTTGGAGTTATTTAATGTCAACGTAATTTTGCAGACGGCAGCCTCCTGTACGAAAGAGTACCGAACAAGCCAGAGATCGACAGACTGCCCTTAACACCTCCTCAGCCGCAACCAGCTCTGCAAACGCAGCAGACGATCCTGAAGCGAACGAGGCCACCCTTTGATGAGATCAATGGCTCGGATGGTAAATTTTATATCGAACTCCCCGACGAGCTTTCCCATCCGATTCCTGCCCTTGTTCGTCCGATTAATCGTAAACACCGGAAACTTGTCGTATTGAATGTTGTCTCTGTTTATTGGCTTCTACTCGGATGTGGATTGGGACGAAGGTAATGAAAATATTCAACGGAACGATCGCGTGAACCGCATGCCTCGCCGAGAATCAATTTGACCATTTTATTCCGTTCGACGTCGTTACAAAACTTCTCGAGTTCGAATCGTTTTCCAAAGTCTCCTTTGGAGTAAACGACCGTTCGAGCAACGTTTCGGTGTCCGCAACTAATGGTTATCTTCCTTCGTCAGGTATCGCCCTGAACGCAGGGCTCCCTGGTGGACCGCCCGCAAAAAGAGCTCACTACTCGCAACAGCTGCACCCAAAGCACGCGTTGGAACATGCCGCACCTACGGTGCTTCCTCTTGCACCGCCTCTGAATGGAAGAGCGGCTCATCCTCATTCTCTTCCACACGGGCCACCGTTATCGAGGAGCAACGCGCGCAAGCAGGTCATTTCGTGGATGGATGCACCCGACGACGTTTACTTTCGAGCCTCCGATCAGACAAAGTTAGTACATGACCTCGAAGAACCGCCAGTTGCACGACTCCTGAGCATAAAGACGCGTTTCGCCCTCTTCGTTCCATCCTAAGAATCCGTCATTTGTCCTGTTATCAAAAAGGTACATTTGAAAGGAAAACGAAGTGACGCATCTTTATGTCAGAAATCGTGGGTACCGATCGAAGGACCTCCGCCGTTCTCGCACATTCTCACCAACGTATTCGCGTTCCATTTTAGAAGACTCAGAAAAACCTTGTCTTCGGTGGACTTACGAAGAGCGGCACGCAAGCCATGGCGCAGACTGCCCGCTCCCCTCCACCCTCCCCATCCTCAGAGATCGTCGCGAGGCGACAACATGGTCGTGATCCTCGACTGAACTTCCCACCGGGAACCGCTAGGCGAGCCAGCCGATGTGAATCGAGTCAACCGTGGAGGAATTAAGAATCTAAATGTAATCCAAACTGGTGGAATGCCCGGAGCGAGGCTTTGCTTGCGCGCGGCCCGGCGTTCCGTTCTCTGGCGACTCGAGGGTTTCTCGTGCGGAGACCGATCGCTACCGAAAGCTTCTTCGATGCCCTCTATGATGGCCAATCGACGCAAATATCCGAAGAGACATCACCGATCATCGTTAAAAAAAGGCCGCGCGTGTCCCACGCGAGCGATGCACCCCGCTTGGCGTGCCCTCCTGTGCACGTGTATGGACGACGGGAGCGCGTCTTCGGAATCAACGTTGGGGTCGAACTTAACGAATCGAGTCATTCACCGTGAATCATGATTTTCTATACGTATTAATTAATTATTGTTGTTATTAATAATAATTATTATTATTAACTGAATGTACATATTACACATACATACCGCACATTCATACACGCATAGCCCAGGCGACGGTGCCCATGAACCGTGGACACGTCTTTAAAGAGTTGGTAGAGATATTGGCCCGTGCGCGAGCAACGATTTGAAACGCGCGCCACACGCGCTGTCTCTCTCGCTGCGGATGACGGAGACCAAACCGAGGGCGAGAGGAAGGGAGCGCGCGCCTATAAGAGTGAGTGCGAGTGCAAGTGGGAGAGAGAGAGAGAGAAAGAGAACGAAAGAATGCTCATTGTGAATATTTTTATTAAATTTTCAAGTTTGATGACTTCCGTCGCAACAATTAATAAATAAACATAAGCATAAGTGGGAAATAGCTCTGTATTTCTCCTGCCTACGGTGTCCATTTTGCGTCGATCGTTAGGCAAATTGTGTTTGTACATACTATTTGTACCCACACGTCGCTCGACATGGCTCGGATATACAGCTCTCACCGTACCGATTTATAAGTCTTATTATTTTCTTTCACTCTTACGCCACGCCGCTCGGAAAATCCCTTCTGTTTTATTTAATAAATTATGCATTTCTTTCGATACCACCCGAGATATATTCATGTGTATGCACGTGTACAGGTACTTATGTCGAGTGTCGTTTCGGCGGTACGAAGTTCCATTGGTTTGGCCTGAAACAGCTTGAAGGCTCATGCTTTCTTTCAAATGTAGTCTTTTATTTATTTCATTTTTAACTTATCTCCCCGGTATTCAATAGCATATCCAAATTGTCCTTGAAATATAATAAAGCTATCTGATTTTTCTTAGTTGCAAAACTATGATGCATGGTGTTAATGGACCGAAATTTAAATCCTAAATCTGATGCGTGTGTTTCCAAAATGCTATCATTAACGATTTTTAATTAGATATAGACGTATTACGAATGTAATTGGAAAGTTTCTCATAAATTAATTCTTATTTAAAGTATAATTACATAATTACATAAATTAATTCTTATATAAACCTTGAACAAATTAGAACGAATCGGTCGTGAACAATGAATTCCTTTTGTCGTTTTCTTGTTTAGCTAGGTACACATCCGAACGCGAACCACTAATCTATATGCTAATTGGATAGCCGATACCTATTTGTTCCATACGGAGATGACTTCGACGAATTCAAGGCACCCCAGTGCCACTGCACCTGGGCAGCGATACTAAATAAGTAACGGGGACGCGTGTGCAAAAGTTGAGAACTGTCGATCCGTCGATCACGGCAATAATAAACGTCGAACCGTCAATTGGCGAAGGTAAACGTTTAAGGTATAAAGAACGGAAGAGTCATAATTTACGGGTAAAATTATACGTTGGGCATGTCGAAAGAAAGCTTTGACTAAAACAAAACGGTTCTTTTTTTTTCGAGGGTATTTTAATAAAAATGGTAATTATTTTTTTACAGTAAATTAATTTGAATTAATTTGACACCTGTACTATCGACAGTCGAATGACGCGTTGTTTTGATGCATGCGCAAGTACTACGATATTAGTTGATGTGCCCGTAACCAGAGGGCTGTGGTCCCTTCAAAACGTCCCGCCGTTTTGTAGGATATCAGGTATGTACCCAGCTTAAATCATATATATCTCGACTTCGCATTACAATGGAAGGAGTAAATTCTAATACCATGTGAGCCGTCGGCTAAACATATTACGTCCTATTTCTACGTAGAAAATAAATCGAGTTAGAAATTTAATATTAAACAGTGTTGAGTTGAAATAATTTTGAACGTAAGCGCCAAATTAAGTATTCCCTAAAAATGTTTACGTGTTTACATGCGCGCTAAAAGACGTTCATAACCTAGCGAATACATGTCATGTATCTGCAGCACCCGCCATATTGTAAACGTACAATTTTAAACAATTATAAACACAAGCAGTGAACTAATTTATTATTCTTTACGGAGATGTTTCTTCAAAAATATTCCCGTGCTTATATATGTTACGGTGAAACACCGAAATCTGGAGAATGTCGACTTTCACCGGTGAATGTCAACATTCACATAGTCGCTTAATGTATGTCCGAAATATTTGCTAAATACCCTTATTTCTGACTTACACCGGTAAATGTTGACATTCACCATGCACTAATGGTGAATGTTGAACATGTTGGAGATTTATATTTTCTTCTCCGTAATTCAGTCGCTATAAAACGTCACAAGGGTGACGTAACTTTTTCGCCTCTCTTTCTGAAAGGAATGACCAAGAATTTAAAATACACAGTACATTCTACATGAGAAAAGAAAATAATAGTTATAAAAAAATTACTTACTTATGTGATTCAAATCTTATTTATTGCAACAACTTAAACTATTATGACACTTTGAATTGCACAAGAGTCCCTTGCTTTTACAACTGCATTTATTTGTGGAACACTTCCTTTTGCATTGACAGCGTGTATAGCCTTGTCCCCCGCTTCTCGAATTAGCTGCAGCTGCTTCTCTCAGCGACATTTCTTGAAAAGAAATCTCATCTATGGAAAGTAACTTTTCTTTACAAATTACGAACTGATTACGTGTGTAAAGCTGCTTGAGGGTACCATTTTTATTTGCCAGTTTATAGAAGTCGGAGTCTTCTATTCCAACAACAACCGCTAACACATTTTGGCTATCTGTACGACCACGGTCGACATCAGGGACTTGTATTCGTACATTGTCACCAATTTGAGCAGGAGGAAATTGTTTTTGTGAGGTTCGTAACATCTTTGTTGCTGGCAATAGAAGATTTTCTTTCGCGGCCGCTCTTTTTATAGAAATCAACTCGTGTTTTTCAGACAGAATTTGATGTGAAGACGTAGGTTGTAGGTCCTCTTCAATATTTTTCTTTGGAATATGGTTTTCGGTATGACCACCGCTCAAATTTTTTTGATAAGCATTAACAGTTTCTTCAAGCTGTTCTTCGGTTTCAGAAGTATTGGCAATTTCTTCGAGTTGTTCTTCAGTTTCAATATTTGCGATTTGTTCGCCAGGCAAAAAAGTCGATGCTATGCCTCTTTTTGCTTTAACGCCAAACATGGCTTCATAAGGACTTTGGCGTATTCCTTCGTGGTATGTAGTGTTCTTGGCAAATTGAACAAAGGATAAACCATCTGACCATTTATTTGTATCGTTTTCATTCATCCATGCAGTTAGCATATTCTGTATATCCTGATTGGCCTTTTCAACCGAGCCTTGTGTTTGACTGTAACGAGGCTTTTCATGAACTATTTTAACATCTTTCCACATAGCGCATATTTCGGATATGACTCGATTACTAAATTCTCTACCATTATCTGATTGCAATATTGCTGGTGCACCAAATGTTAAAAATATTGAAAGAACGTGACGCGCTACTTCTTCAGCACTTTTAGTTTTCAAAGGTCGTAGCTGGACAAACTTAGTTAAATGATCTTGATACACCATTATGAACTTATATTCGCCATCTCTGTTTGACTGCAGATCTATCAGATCAACTTGACATCTTGAGTTTAATTCAGAACTAACCATTGGCTTCGCAACAATACCTTTCTTAGGTGCACTGTGTTTCATTTGACACTGTTTGCATAAATTTAAATACAACATTACAACTTCATATGTAATATTTTTGTATTTAACTTGCAACTCTTTAAGCATACGTGTTCTTCCTCCGTGGCCTATTCTGATGTGAGTTTCATATAGTATACTGTACAATTCTTCATTGGTAACATAATACTGTATGTTCGTTTTCCCTGGTTTTAATGGTACAATTAAGTTCTCTTTATCTTTAATTTTTAAAACATCAAAACGTTTTAATCGTCTATAATCCAAAGGTGTGTTGCATTTAATTTTAGCAGAAACCACTTCAGAAAGTATTTTAGAATACTTTTCTTGAGAAAAATAAAGACAATTGTCTTCTCGTTTACCCGCAATTAATGCATTTAACTTTTCAAGAAAAAGATCACGATTTACTGCAGTATCCATTTAGTATAAATTAGGGTATCGGAAAAAAAATTAAGAAAACGTTGCTTGCGTTATCAAAGCTCGCATAAGACTGACGAAGCTGATTGACTCCGAGCAGAACGAAGGATTTGGCGGGAGAGAGCCAGCGCTTGTTTTTTGACTTTTCTGTTTTGACCTCCACCAGAGCATACCTGTGATTGTCGACACACACTGGAGAGGGTCCGAATGTACAAGAATGTAATGAAATATTCGATCTTTCACCGACCTATTTGGTATCTGTTGACATTCACCGGTGAAAGTCGACATTCTCCAATTTCGGTCATTCACCTTAACATATATATGCTAAAAAACGTTTATAACCTCGTGGATGCCGTATATCGTATATACGTGTATGGAATCCTCCATATTCGAAACGTAACTTCCTGGTTTTCTACGATTTTCTACGGTAAACTACTTCATTTACGTAATGTATGTACGTCAAAAACATCGAAAAATTGGCAATCCTGCCAGTTTAATTACATTTTCTTCAAGCCCCGTAAACTTCCTCCCATCTTTTCTTCTTGCATTATTTCTACCGTCGGTATAAGTATATCTGAAATAAGTCTGTGCGCTTTCGCCCAAAAGTGCACGATTCTTATCTCAGGACCCGATGTATTTGTACAACGATTTTACTTAGTTTTACCTGATTCTCTACTCGGTTAGTTAGGCACCGCTGGGCACCGCTTACCGCTCCCACATTCCTTGAGCCGAAGGCTCGTTCAGGCTCGTTCCCATCCCGCGGTCTTTTAATCCGTCCGCTTCCTCACCTCGCTGGCCGAGTCCCAGCAAAACTCATTTTCGGTACAGTGGCGCGACCAAGCGGCGCGAATCGGAACTATTTTGGATACACGCATTTTAACCAAGCAATGGGCTTCTAGGAGACGTCGGAATTCATCGGCGTGGCTGTGCATGGCTGTGCGTGGTTGATGTTTGCGGGCGTCGGGGAACGTTTTATTTAAAAGCGATAATCGTTTTTCATTTATACATCATGGAAACTCAACAGCCTCTGCTTAGTCTTTTAAGTTTAAAGGTAGCACCACCTTCGGAGGTGCAACATTCGAGTTTAGAGGAAAACGTGGAAAGAGTCGTGGATGGAGAGGCGGTGAAATTGCCCGCAGCTCTCGAGCAGGCTTTAGCCTTCAAAAATGAGAGAGCTAAGGAAGTTGGAGCCGATCCGAACGAAGTTCTTGTCCCGGGAGTATCCCCCGATAACGAGAATGCTGGAGAGGAAACTGCCCCAACGGCGGAAGACGCTTTACCTAAAATGGGTAAATAGGTGCATTTGAGGGGTGATGGGATGGCATAAGATTAATTACTTATTTAAAAACACATCACGCATTAGTTGCATATGGTTACAAAAGTTTCAGTTTCTCTAGAAAATCCATTTGCACGTGATTCTTTGTTGAATAAGAAAATGATTCAAAGTTATGTTAATTATTATTAGTCAGTGCCTCTTGTTGGAGAATGTAATAGTATTGTAATACCGTTATTAATATTAATGTTGCAACACGTTATGTTTGTTATAGATTAGGACTATTTTGAAAGTTTAGGAATTTTCTTTTAATGACAATTTTGCAGTAAACGTGTTAACTTGACATCAATGAAATAGAAACTTCATTGCGGATAGTATTCAAAATGTGTTCGTCAAAACTTATTAGAATATGTTTTATTTGTCAGACATTGTTCCTGGGAAGACAGATGCTAAAACGAATAAAATAAAAAAAAAGAAGAAGAAGAGAAAGAAGAAACATAGCGAAGAAAAAAAGGATCAAGAAAAGAAGAATAACATGGATGAGGGTAAAACTCACGACATGCCCGAGGTTGAATACATACAAGAGATTCCAAGCGTTAACGATTTGGAGCCAATGTATCGCCAGTTTGCTAGAGTTTTTGAAGCATTTAAATTGACAGAAGTAGAACCTCGTTCTAACGATACGAGCGATAAAGGCGAGCCTATAGGACAATACCCGCCTACAGCTGCTGTTCCAACAACAGGTACTGCACCTAGTAAAATACCTCCATTGGATGATTTTGACGACGAGGCTGGTCAGCAACAACAACAGCAGGGAGTCGGTGAAAATGGTGCACCACGTCTGTCAAAGAGAAAGCTTAAGAGGTTAACTCGTCTGAGCGTGGCCGAACTGAAACAATTAGTCGGACGTCCTGATGTCGTCGAAATGCACGACGTTACGGCAAGAGATCCTAAACTTCTCGTTCAGTTAAAAGCACACCGTAACACGGTACCGGTGCCACGACACTGGTGTTTCAAAAGAAAGTATTTGCAAGGAAAGAGAGGTATCGAGAAGCCTCCTTTTGACTTACCAGATTTCATCAAGCGTACAGGAATCACAGAGATGAGAGCTAGTCTGCAGGAACGTGACGACACTCGAACCCTTAAAGCGAAAATGAGGGAGAGGGCGAGACCTAAGTTAGGAAAAATCGACATCGACTATCAGAAGCTACACGATGCCTTTTTCAAATGGCAAACTAAACCACGTATGACTATTCATGGAGACTTATATTACGAAGGTAAAGAATTTGAAACGCGATTGAAAGAGAAAAAACCGGGTGAATTGTCGGATGAATTGCGCACGGCATTGGGTATGCCAGTGGGTCCAAATTGCCACAAAGTACCTCCTCCCTGGTTAATCGCGATGCAACGCTATGGCCCTCCACCGAGTTACCCCAATTTAAAAATACCTGGATTGAATGCACCAATCCCCGAGGGTTGTGCTTTTGGCTACCATGCCGGAGGCTGGGGTAAACCTCCCGTCGACGAGACAGGGAGACCATTGTACGGGGATGTGTTCGGGGTAGCTCGTGCTCCCGGAGGTGATGCCGTCGACGAGGAGGTGGATAGAGGAATGTGGGGAGAACCAGAGTCCGAATCATCGGGAGAAGAGGACGAAGACGAAGACGGAGAAGAGGGTGGAGATGGCGAAGGCGACGGCAAGGATGGAGATGGCGATGCGAGTGGATTGGTAACTCCTGGAGCCGAGGGTTTGATCACTCCCAGTGGTATCGCGTCGATTCCCGCGGGTTTGGAAACTCCAGAAACAATAGAACTGAGAAAGAAGAAAATTGAAAGTGAAATGGAGGGTGGCGATACGCCTGCACTGTACACAGTCCTCCAGGAGCGTCGAACCGAAGGCTTGGGAGCGAGCATGATGGGCAGTACTCACGTGTACGACATGACCGGAGCTGCCGGCGGTCAAGCACCTCCTTCGGTGATAGCAGCTCGTCGTGGAATAAGTGGTTCGGCAACGGATAGTCGTGGAGAAAAAGATGGAGCCGTGGAGTTAGCCTTGGACCCAAGTGAATTAGACCTCGATTCCGAAGCAATGGCGTCGAGATACGAGGAGACTATGCGTTCTCGACAAGCACATCTCAGACGAGAAGACTTATCGGATATGCTGCAAGATCACGTGCAACGACAAAAGGTTTGTAAATTAATGTTATTACAAGTCGTTTTTAAGCTACTCGGTATTAATTATGGTTTCATAATTATTGCAGAGCAAGAGAAAACGGCAGCAAAATCAAGATACAAAATCATCTAAAAAGTACAAGGAGTTTAAGTTCTAAACTAAGTTCTACTTATTGGTGAATAATTAGACTGTCCCTAAAAGATGGCCGAATTTAATTCAAAGGAACTAATGCATTACGTAACTTAAGTGTATTAAGATTAAATTGTAAATTTGACATTTACGTTATGTAATGTTTAGGATAACAGGTAAAGAGCATACGTTGGAAGCATGGTTTTATGTATAAAACGTTTTGCCAAGGTCTGTTATTTTTCTTTCATTCTCTCGGTAAGTATTTTGTAAAGTAAAAGTACACATTATGTCAAGGAAAAGAAATAATGTATATCACGTATTTACAATTAAAACAAATATTTTGCTTTATGCAAATCATTTCCAATTAAAAGAAAATAAAGTCGAGTAAATTGATCATTTTTATGCTACATTTTTCTTTTCGTATTTACAAGTAGGTAAAAGAAAACAACAAATTTCGAGTCATATTTTTATTGACTTCACTCTGGCGATATTTCCAATGCATATGAATTAATTAGTGTGTTCTCTTCTGACGTATAATAACAGCTGTCGTGTAATACTGAGCGTTATAAGTGGTTTGGACAGATAGTAAAACACTAGTAGCAATAGAGGAAGAGTTATAGCAATAGTAAATCTACTAATAGCACTACCGATATCTAACCAACTTCCCTGAGACGTAACACCAAACATTAGAGGTAATGCCAAGCAATCTCCCAGGAGGAGAATAGCTAGGAATATTTCAGATGAATGGAAAGTTCGTCTGATGGCACAGCTGACCAGAATCAACGGTATACTAAACTTCAGTAAGATTAAAAATCCCATGGTAAATGGTGAAAAAATGGTAACAAAGTGACGAGTCCAAAGAGGATCAAAGGAACTGATGCTCGCCATGTTCCCTGTACCAAAGAAGCACAACAGTATGTACATCATCTAACTTAAATTTAAGGAATTAATAACACAAATATTTGTACAGGGAAGCATGTTTCTTCTGGGTCTATCACGGTATCTCTTTTTGCACAAATATAATCTCGTTAATATTTTTAATAAAATAAAATATTCAAGTCATATCAATAACACGTGTAAAGGATACAAAAAATGATGCTTTGGTGAGATCGCGGATGCGAAGTAAATGTTTTTTGCACATCCACTCTGTAGTCAATGTTGGAAAGGGCCAAGACAAGAGGTGCGCAGCAAGTACAAGGTAAAACAGAGGCTCGTAAGAAGCTGAGAGTAGAATGAGTGGGCAGAGAAGCTCGTAAACGATGCCCATAATTCGATTATCTATTTTGGACGGATATAACCAGATGCCCAATGGCGTGGTAAATAATATTATCCACGAGACCCAGGAACGTCCGTCTATGTAACCAGTAAGTACCAAGGTTGTTACACCTATACGTACTATTTCCACTGCTTTAAGAGGTGTATTTACAAATTTATTAAAAGCCAGGGAAATTGCTGCCACTGCTAAGCTTGTAAACCTAAAAATATAACATAATCAATAAAATAGAAGCGTAAAACTGGTAGATCTTGCAATAATAGTCATTTGCATTGAACTTACACTACATAAATGCGTGGATGTGGTTCGACAACTGGGAGGACAGGGAACGATGCTAACCAAATTCCTGTTAAAACTAGTACGGGATTCTTCTCTTTCAACAAAATTCTTTGTATGGCAGTAACAGCTAACATTCCAACTCCGAATACCCATCGGTGTGTTAGTCCTAGGAACATCATTCCCATCAAAAATACAATGCCCGTTAAACATGTCAATAGATGTGCTTCTTCTTCAAACGCTAATGTTAAATTTAGAGCACTACGACTAGCTAACCATAGAGAAAAAATGGCTATACTTCCATAGCCGGGCAGCCTCCAGTTGCTGTATCCTGAAACTTTTGCAACTAATTGATTATATTGCATAAGATATTAAAAACACTAATCAATATTATTACCTTTATACTTCAACAAAAGGACAAAGAGAGCAGAAACGCATCCTATGTTGGACAGAATTAAAGCGGCAGTTTTAGCATTTTTTCGCCGGATTCCTATGACTTCGAAAACGAGCAATGTTAACCAGCCAAGCCATATAAGAGCCAAGTAAGCGATTAACTGATCTCTTTGATATTTTCTATAAAAATATAAAGATTCTTTGGCTTGCAAAGTAGCTCTTTGACCTTCTTCGATACTTTCTACTAGTTTTCCTTTTTGAATCAGTCTTTCCATATCACTGATCATTCCGTACAAATTGGCCTCTCGATGATCATCCTGTGGAATACTGTTCCCGACGGTGCTAATGCGATTCGCCGTAACTTGTTGCATTAATTGTTTAACGTTGCTAAGGAGAACACGTGCACCGTACTCTTCGTTTCCAGAACTTAAATACTGTTTTGGTAGTATGCCCTGTAAAAACGTAGCTTTAAATATTTCTATTCTAATTTAACGTACTCCGATCAAACATGTTTTACCTAAATAATACTTGCTTCACTGTTTACTGGAATTGGTATTCCTAAAAGAGCTGATATAAGTGGGGCGATATCAGCCTGTTCTACATCTTGCCTAGAATTTAATTTATTTACACCTGCACCCCAAGCAATTATAGGTGTTTCCGTTTCATCTGTAGATCCACTTCCATGAGATCCCCAGTTTGTCATTCCATGATCTGATGTGAATATGTATGCGGTAGTTCCTTGATCAAAGAAACTCTCCGTCTCGTGCACAACCCGTTTAATTTCTTGATCTACGTACTGCATATTTTCGATGTATTCTCTGAAGCCAAATTGAATTGTCAAGTGTACTCCCCTTGTCTATAGTATTGGAAAACAAAGCATTATAAATGGTTACCGATGTTAATAGTTTTAATACCAACACATACTTCGAGTATGGTTTATTAGCATGACCTGTGGTGTCGCATCCAAGAAGGTGAAAGAAAATTATAATTTCATTATGATTTTTTACATTTTCTGCCTTTTCTCCAAGCCATTGGAAAAATTTATCGAAAACCCAAGAATCAAGACGAATGTTCGATCCCGACCGAGCTCCAAAATCTTGCCAATCTGGAGAGTAACTTTCTCCGTGCACTTTCAGTTTATTACCTAGCATAAATAACGTTAGGTTAAACCAAATACAGTAATTAATCATCAATTGTTTTACCATTTGCAAACATAGGAACAATGTCGGGGCTACCCCATGCCCAGGTTTGACGACTCCGATTGAATACCGAATCAAAGTCTATGGGATATTCTTTCCATCCTTTAAAAAGTGCACTGGGGTCTTCGTAAAGACCTGCTACAATAGCGACATTCCCTGGGCGTGATTCGGTAGGCATTCTGGTATGTGAAACACCCCAGGAACCCTGATTTTCCATCACCTTCCTAAAAATATAAAATGACATGAGTTTACTTTTCTATCTAGTATTGATAATTTAAATTTATTACCTTAAATAAGGAGGAGGATTTTCTTTAAATGTACGATAACGTAAGCCATCCGCCACAAAAAGAAACAATCTTTTAGCTGGACCAGGTTTTGGTACAGGTATCGGTGCTAACCCTTGTAATATCGGGGAATGAAAATTGGCATCTAACACGCCCCACAAGATTATTAAATGCATTAATAAACCCAGTCCAAGGAAAAAGCCATTCGTGGACCTGTTTCTACTCTCTGCGTTTATTACTTTTACCTGCATAATTTAATGTCACGAAACATGTATTCAATTGATTATTGAGATTTTTATTGGAATCAAGAAATAATGCAAATTTTATGATTATGAACTTGCAGTAAAAATAAATAATTCATCAAGGAATTACTCTGAACTTCATTGACAATGTCTAATCATTTTATCCTTATCAGATCTTATATTTATGATTAAACATGTGATCATAAGCATTTCAGTCAATTTCAATTGATTTCAATTATACAGCCATAGAGGTTATCAGAGCTTGTAGAAATGGAGGCAGTGTCAGAGATGAGTTGGGAGATTGCTCGCGTTCCGTGCTGCCCTCCACCGCAGAACCAATGAGCTGCAATCAGCCAACGATCCAATCGGATACATTTATTTAAGTAAGTATTTATTCGGGAAATATTGCGTACATGACGTTTAACGTCAGTATTTAACCACACACTAGTGTAGTCGTCACTTGTCATAACGTCAATGACGTTCGAATTTTTGTTTTACACATTACGAACCTGTTACGAATTATACAGTCAACCAGTCTTATAACCTGACACGACACATAATTCACCACTTAAAATTTTATTGCATGCGATTTTAGTTTTAATCTTCTATTTATTTTAAATCTTTTATTTCACACGTTTATGAGTTTTTTCATTAAACTTTATTTCCTTACCAATCATCTCTGCGAGCAATGTATTGAGGTTATATCAGAGATGCCTGGTTATATTTACCCCATCTGCCTAGACTGCAACGACTCTGGCGGCCAAAAGTTTCCCTAACGGCTACGAAAATCGGGTTACTCCCACCAAAGGAGTTTACAGAGCTGTATATAAGACAGTGACTACACATACTCCATTTTTACTTTATCGGATACCTTGTTGAACATTGAAAATCTTCCAAGAAAGAGTAGGAATGTGCAACAATTACTTGTGTGTTCTGAGTACATTATTCTTAAATCTATAGTAAATCTTGTGGGAATCAGTTTTTCAAGTACACGATCAAGAAGAAATAAATAAATTGTTTTGTAATTGGTATACTTTTGACATTCGTTACTTTAGTAAAATTAATACTGGCATATCTTATCGAAGAAATTCCATTCTGAATATATTCTGGGGGAAATTATAATTATTCTGTTTTACTGCGGTAGCGATCATTGTTCAAATTTAATATTTTCGTTAATAAATACATTAGTACAAAATGGTATTGGGACCTAGAGAGTCAGCAAAGTTGATAAGTAGACTTTCAAAAAATGTGTTTATAGAAGATGAAGGTGTAAAAGAGATAGCGTGTAAAGTAAGTCTCTTGCTTTGTTATTATTTAAAAATTGTATACAAAGTATGATAACATTTTCTATATGTTTAGGTACTGGAAGGACTGAAAAGTAAGGCAGTTTCGGTGGATAACTTTTCACAAAATGAATTACATCCTAAGCCAGATGATCCAAAAGCGATAGATTGGATATTCGTAGTGGATACGTTAAATTTCTGTTTTTGGAGTCCTAAGGGTGCTGCCAAGTGGAGCGTGAACGGTCACACTGGCTATTTTGCCCTCTGTGCTGCAATTAAAAGAGCTATAGATGTATGTCAGCTTAGTTCTTTTTACAAGAATACTAGCAGATGCAATATATAACTTTGTGTCCTATCGAAAAATTATTTTCCAAGTTTAGATGAAAATATTTCATTTGATTTCGGTCGGATGACGTACAAGTAACATACCACAAAATAATATATTTAGCATGTATTTATATTTTATTTTCTGCATTGTGTATTGACTTTTTTTTTTACTTCTTCGCATCTGCACGTGTTCTTATCCTTGGCAGAACCCGTAATGGGCAGATTAATTGGTAATGAGGAACATTTAGCCTCTTGGTTTCCTGAACTATCCAAATCTGTTTCTAGGTCTGGGAAACATTTTTCTACCACTAATTTGTTTTTCCGTGTAGTTCCTTTTAGTGATTTACCACTCCCTTTTCTTATTTCTTGCAATTCTGGTTGTCCATTATTCTGCAATAACATCGGTCATGTTAAATCTGTAAGATCATTTAAGTAATGCTATTTTGATTAACTTCATTGGTTTTCTGTTTTTGGGCTCTGCAACAAATGGCTCTTCTTTTTCTGGGTACAAAGCGATTCGAGTAGCACCGTACAAAAGTCTTCGTATCATTTAAAAGCTCTGTACAAAGAAATTTTCATCATATTAATTTTTAACCTATATAACTTTATGCTTGTGTAAACGAAATAAATTAACCTGTCAGGCGAGCCCGTTCTTTGTTAATTTTTCTGTTATAATTTTCTATAAATATTGTCCGTTGTTTTTGGGTCCAGTGCAACAAAAAATGTTCTCTATTTATTTGCTTCTTTTGCAACTCGTTCTTTTTTTGCCATCTGAAATTGAATCATTTTCACAGTCGCAGTACTGTATCAGAATTGTACATAAGAATTTTTTCCTTGTTTTACCTTTCTTCTATTGCTATACGCTTATTCTCTCTTTCCCTTGCTAAGCGTTCGTTACGATCTTTTTTGCGATTTTGTTCACTTTTGCTCCAATTGATAAGAGTTTTTATAATTTTCTGACGTTCAATGTGCGCAGCTAGAGCTCGTTTTTGTTGAATGCCTTCGGACCGCGCTTTAGATTTCTCATGTCGTTTTCCAATTTCTTCCATTTTTTTCAGGGCCAAAAACTTCAATCTTTCCTCATATTTCTTAATATTTTCATGCTGTTTATGAATTTGTCTTTCCTTTTCATGTTTTAATTGTTTCTGAAGTTTATCGAGCGTCTCTTTGTGCCTTTCTCTTGCTTTGAATCTGTCAAGGTTCAGATTTTGCGTCAGTCATTGGATTTATGTACTTTTTTTAGAGCGAATAGGAGATATTTTGAAAGAACGTGTTTAACAATTGTTTACATAAATGAAGCATATTAAATTGTTGTAAAATATTAAGTGATCGGCACCTTTCTGCTTCAGCCTGAGCTCGAGCCTCAGCCATAAGCAGAATTCGCTTCTCTCCGTGGAAGTCCATTCGTCTTTTGAGTTCCTTATTAATGCCGTCGTTGTGGAGTTTCTTTAAATATTTCCTGTACATGTTATAGTCTTTCAAGGAGCACTTGGCATCTAAGTCTTTCGTAATAAACCCTAGATCGACCATGTGCTGGATGATGTTAGGGCGAGAAAAATACGGTGCAAGATGTTCGTCGTGTAACGAAGCGTAGGAGAATTTCGCCTCGTAGCCGTAAGGATCGTTTAAATTAAATTCGGCATCCGGAAATCCCATCCAGAGCTTCTTCCCCACTTTTTGCCTCGTAAAGCTGTAAGCACCTTCTGGGCCTGGGATCATGGGTATTTTCGACTCCAAAGGCATTACTTTCCATTTCGGCAAACCAAAGCGTGGTACTGCACCTTTCGGCTGAGGAACGGACTTTATCACCTGGCTTAAAGCGCTATAATGCAGAGTTTAAGACGTACGATAATATTTATTCAAAAGTTTAATGGCGAATGAGCCATGACTTCGTAAGTTTTCCCTCTCGTCAAAGTCAAGGTTATTTATTTATTTATGATTAGCGAGGAATACTTACGATGGTTTTTTCAAATTAACTATTTCAAATGCCAGAGATTTATGTTTTTCAGTCATTTTGCCTGTCAATGGAGTTGCATTATCGTTGAAATTGCATAATTTAACCCTACTTTTTCAACCATCCAAGTAGTTTGAGTGTTATAATAAATGCAGTTCTTGTCTTTAATGTGTGAAATGACACATTTACGTCAATCGGTGCATCTAAGCGATATCGATATATCGAACAAGCATACGCCATGCATAGGTTTTATCGATGAAGTACAAGGAGACGCAACGCCAATGGTCGGTTCCGTAGAAAGTGACCCCAAAATCTGAGATTTTCGCCGATCTAACGATGCGAATTCTACTCGCGGGAATTGAGGGAACTCCAATTCTACTGCGATCAAAACATTTCTTCAAATGCTTTTAATTTTGCAATTAAGGCGAAGTGAATCGCGTTGAGAAAAATTTCATCGACGTCGGTAAAAATGATTCTTCTAAATACCTACGTTGCCGACGTTCGTATTTGTATCGACAGCCGTGTCGAATGATATTGGACATTGTATGTACTAAATGGCGTACTCCATACGTCGTTTCCAAACAATAATTCTAAAGAAATCGAGGTAAAACCCCAGAAATCTCCGGGATTCGTGGCTTTTGATGCTCCAATTGATTGCAGAGTGCCACCCTGCGCTACCCGTGACCTCACGTTACCGTTGTGTTAGCACGGAAGCGCATAAGACACTTTTTTGCCTTTACTCCGTTCAAATGCGAGTCTCTCGATTACAGGAGTGTTCTAAATTCTCGTACAATTGTCCTGGCACTTTCGTTTCTAATATCAGAGCAATTGATACTTGTATACAGATCGAAATATGACAGTTCGACCCCCTATGTTGCATTGTATCTCCTTATACTATTTTGTGGTTTTATAAAATGAAAAACGATAAACTGAGGAGGGCAAAGGACTCCTCTTCTAGCCTGTAAGCAGGGAATTATTAATGTATGTCAATTCATTGAAATGGTATTTCCTGGTTACAGGATGGAAAACCTATTTACGATTCGAACTTTTACAGTCGCATAACGAAAGATGAGTTAAAAACTATTTTACGAGGAGATGATGATGCATGCGAAATACCCCTCATCGAGGAAAGAGTTAAAAACTTGCAACAAGTTGGCAATGTTTTGAAAGAGAAGTACAAAGGTAGTTGCACGTAATATATAGTCTAAATACAAGAAGTTACTCGTGTCCCATGATAACACGACGTTATTTTTTGATATATTTGATTTTGTTTTTACGAGCGGTGTAATATCTTCGTCGTTCTGTAATCTTTGAAGAGATTCAGTCTTTGGTAACGTAATGCTAATCCATTAGGTACCTTTGTCGAATGTATAACGCAATGTCGAGGCTCGGCAGAGCAATTACTGAAGCTGGTAGTTAATAACTTTGAATCCTATCGCGATGAAGCCGATTACCAAGGATACAGAGGTAAACTGCATTTCTTGTTTCCATTATCGCGCTGAAGGATACTGTCTGGTATAAATATTTCGTTCAAGATATACAGTAATATTCGGATTTATCGGGATTTTATTTCTACCGTCTGTTATACAGAAAAGTGCATTAATTTTATTCACGTGAAGGAACATTGCAATGTATCTTGCTGAAAAAACGGACGGAAACGAAGAGAAGCGACTGATCTATTCGTTTCCGTTCGTTTCTGTATATCTGCCGGAAGGAATGAACGTTCATCGGGAGAATTCGATCGCATAGGTTTACGTGAACTCGGAGTACGTCCAATTCTGTCAGTTTCTGACTTTTAAACATTCTTTTCGTTTGTACGTTTCTTCAGCAGGGTAGTTGACTCCGATGCAGATTTCTTTTATCGATTATCTAATCGCTTCTAATACGATACAATACGATCGATTGATTTCATTAAAAGAATATTAGTATTTGTATACGTCCCCCTGACGAGTGTTAGAATCGTTAACAATCTTTTTTGTTCAATTTTGTGCCAATCAAGTATCATTCTACAAGAGAGCCCAAATATTGATCGGGGATGTATGGGCTTGCTTCAGAGGGGAAGGCATCGGTGCATTCCATGACATCGATAAAATAACAATGTTTGCCGACTACAGAATTCCTCAGGTGCTCGCACATTTTGGGGCTATGCGATACAGCAACACGCTTTTGAGTGCACTCCAATTGGGTACGACCATGTTTTTATATTTCAAATTTTACAATTATTTGTGAAATCGTATATAGCATATTGCACCATTGCGTTATGATATCTTATTTTTAGACACGGAATTAACCGAAGGATGTGCCGAAGAAGTAGAGATTCGAGGTTGCTCGATAGAAGTTATCGAACGAGTCGTAAATGAACTAAATGCTACGATTACGCAGTACCCCGCTTTAGGTTTGAAGAAATCCGATTTTAATTCCATTTTGATCGATCATTTTCTGTGGGATTACCGCAAGTATCATAGTAGCGAACTGGAAAGTATACCGTTTCATAAGGTCAGGACTATTTTTTATTAATCGTCCTCGTCGTTTGGTATATTGCTATTACAACTTTGTTCAAGAAGTACATTCAACGGGGTGAAATAGAAAAACCAATATTTTTCAAGAATATATTCTAATCTCCGGCTCTATTTTGTTTTCCCGAAACGTGGATGTACATTTTCCCGAATAAAGTGGTGCGTCTTATCGATAACGCCTTCTGCTTATTTACCAATTTAAATCGATATTAAGGTGATACGAAATTGGCCCCGCGAAGCATTAAAATATTTATAAATTCGTACAAAAAATGTCCTTTTCAAATTTATTTTAGACTAGAACGAAGAACAGATTTTTTATGCTTTACGCCTTTTGAAAGCTTAGAATTGAAAATGATGACTTTCACGCCTTAGATAGAACAATTTGGAACACCATAGCCATCGAATATTATGGATTCATGTGAGAAATATCGAAAAGAGTTTTATAAATGTGTGCAGTGAAATACTCGGATATCCCGTGAACAACACGTACGTACATACTCTCTAAGTGCCTTTAGAGCAAAAATTGAGTGCCACTAAATGTGACAGATGGCGCGGTTGATTGGTTGGATCATCGAGTCATGGATTAGAACAGAGATTAGAGGGATGTCTTGCGCTTTTCCGTGATGTCTTCATTTTCATTCTAGGGAAACGACATGAAGTATTTCATTTCGTATAATTGTCAATGCGGGGGTAACGGACGTCAACGTAAATGTAACGTTGCGCGCCAACTTATGTCACCGCTCAAGTATCCGAGATTACGTTACCGTCGAAAAGTGTACGGATGGATTTTATTTTATCGACGACGATTAAATTTCTCTGTACAAATTCAAGTGTTTGGTCAACTGCCAGATGATCATAAAGTACATATTATTATAAATTACTGTTATTCATAGAAACTTCAATTGGAAATCATGGAATACTCTGTCATACCTAAACATTCGTTGAGAAAAGTAGGTTTGTAAAACGTTAGCATTTTAGTCATTTTTAATGTGTCAGTATTTGTCTTTTTTGATACATCCATATTTCAACCCGCAGCTTTATTTCGTATAATTGCGAGTTCTTTTTTTCTTAAGAATGTTGAATAATAGTATTTATTCTACAGGAAGTCCTGGTCAATTGTTAAAGTACGAAGTGGGGAACACAAAAATACAATAAAATAAGAACGAGAATTAAACTGGAATTGCAATATTACAAACTATGTATCTTACTTAGACCGAAGAAGAATTGGTCACTTAGAATATCTTCTTTGGATAACGTCGCTTTTACGTCCTTTGGCACTAACATAAAGTTCCCTCTTTAATTAGCGAGTTGATAGAAGCAGAATATTTACTGCAATCGCGTGCTAGTTCAAATTATACGTAATATTATTCCAATAAATAATTTTCCGTTAGCGTACTCTTGCGGTATGCAAGAGCAGAAACCTTATAAACATGCGGTTAGCTTCTACAATATTTACAAGATAATTCCAGTTGCTTTCCGCAGCATATGCTTGTATAATGTTTCGTCGAGTACGAGTCGACCAAATGCGATGTACAAGCATGGTAAAATACGGAGCACGTCTTAAATATTAATTAATCACGCGGTGTGGGCTAATATGGCAAACGATCGAATCAAATCTCCACATTTCAATTTCTTATTAGCAAGAGCTTCGTTTCCAATTAAAAATAATACTTGTTACGGCCTCCGAAAACAATACTCTTACACAAAGTACTTTATAAGTTAACCACGTCAAACATTAACTCGGTCTTTATTTCTACATCATGGTTTTTTAATTTTTTAAATGTGAGCATTATTCTCAAATTAAAATCCCGGCATGCATTATGCATTAGATTCATTACTAAACATTATGCCCACAGACGAGATCACTTGTTTATTTGCGGTAAATATTGCGCGTATCTTTAGTCTACTTATACTTTTCTACTTATGAAAGACGCGCAATGAACAAATATGTATATTCCTTCACGAAAAAAAGGACCGCGCGAATGAACAGTTTTATTAAAAATTGCGAACGTCGATTAAGTTTCTTGCCGATGTCTACATAACGAGTAAAAGTGTACTTTACAGAACTGTACAAAAAGTTGCGTCACCAAGCCCGTAATGACAAGAATATAAATTCATTTGCAATAAATACATGGACCATACGTGGATCCATACGTTGGGATGAATTTCCCCAAGGTAATCGCTCTCCAGTTCGATAATAATTTGTTTATCACGTTTTCCGCACGTGTGCCGAAAGAAGACTTTAGCTTTGTTTATGCAATTGTTCCCAGAATTGTATGTTACTCTTGAGTTTGCCCGGTACAATGACGCTAATGTTGTCGGTCGTATTGCCCAATTCGGATTGCACCGGTTCCTGCTTGTTTTCGCCAAGTTTTAATTGATCGACAAAAACGTGACTGGCAGGAGGTGATGTTACTTTATGCGGTATTTGCTTTAACCCCTCTCGAAATTCCTTTGACAGAGATCTCGCCGTTAGGCTGTGCATTTGCCTCGGAGTCTCTATCAACGTTATCTCAGGGGTGGTTGACCTTTCCTTCTGAATGTTCCCCAGTGACCTGGAAATCTGCAATATCATTAATAGTCATTTAACGGATTCAAGAGAGGTTTTAACTTTTTCGTTATACGCGAACGTGGTCGCGTGTCGCGACAAAATATTCAGAAAAATCATTACGGTTTAATTTTGCAGCAAATTACTTCTTGGAATTATAGTTCCATGCTACTTAAGGGTCCAGGAAGGTCAGCCAGAAAGTCGTGAATGATTTTTGCGCCATTTACGTAACGGAACGAGCGACGTTGTCTTGCCCAATTTTGCCAACATGCGTTTTATTGCTTCTTACCGCGCAGGGGGATTATTACCGATTTGAACACATTTGGTACGCGTTCGTCCTCGGTGCGTGAATAGAATATTTTAAACATTTAACAAGAGTAGAGATAAACGTTCGAGTCTCTGGATCAAATGAAATTTCATCAAATTGCAGTTCTTAATACGACTGATGCATTGTTTAAATATTTTCAAATTGAATTCTTTCCCGTTATACCCGACCAATTTTAAATCATCCCTATTTATTTTTCATTTAGTATCGTCATATCATGAAAGATACCAAAATATATTGAATCGGAGAAAATGATGATTACGATATCTCCCTTCCTAGGGCACGATCCGTTCAAAACTGACCGGCTGACACATTTCGTGAATATCCAGTTTTTTTTCCAGGCCTAATCTTCGCGGATAAACGTGGTTCGTTTTGCCGAACAGTGGTTGGGATTTTCTCGCGATTTTCTCGCTTCTGACGTCACCGATTGAAAATGGCCGCCTCACCTTTCCTGGACCCTTAAAGTGATCGTCTTTCGACCGTCTTACCCTTGGGGCAGGTATTGGCCTTGCTTCGGGCGTTTTGTTGAAAGCTTCGGCTAGTCTTCTAACCGAAGGCATTGGCAAATTCTCTAATTCGGCTTTTGATTCCTTAAGAGGTTTTTTGCCGTCGCCGTCAACGGAAGATCCCTCCTCGTCCTTCGAACGCCCCAGCGAATCTTCGGGTTCAACATGAAAAAAAAGCAGTAAACGTGGTACACTTGTTTGCATCTACAGTTTGAGATATCGACGACTTCTAAACCGAGATCACGACTAAATTGGGACCACGCGAACGGTTTGCTCACCCGAATCATCCGGGTCATCTTCTTCGCTGAGCTTTCCCGATGTCCGACTGTAAAATTCGTTCATGGACACGTTGGGTACCGACTTGGCGGAAGACAGTCCCGAGCCTTTCTGGTAGTCAAGTTTGTCCATTATACCCTTCTCCTTCGAGTAATCGAAAGCCTCGTTGACATCGTGGTCCCCGGAAGCACCGCACCTGACCAAATCCTGGGAGCTCTTGGACCTCGACTTTTCAAAGTACGCCCGTCGCGTCAAGTTAGACTTGGTTTTTATCTTGAGGATTCTCGGCTTGTCATCGGCTTCAAAGTCGGATTCAATTTCATTGATCGAGCTGGCTCTGCGAAGCCCGCGCTCGTAGCCGAAAGACTTCAAGTCCAGCTTGTTGACGACTCTCTGCACTTTTTCGTCGGCGGCGGACCCTTTTTTCGCGCTGATCTCGTTTTCGAAGCCATAGGCCTTTAGATCGATGCGGTGGATCTTTCTCTGAAATTGATCGGAAGAACGTGGCCCTTTACCTTCCAACGCGGAGCTGTCGAAGCTGTCTCTATTGTTTAGCCTCGCATTTATCTCGTTTTTCTTGTTTTTCCTTTCGTGCTCCAAGATTTCTTCGACTTGTTCGTTCTTCCAGGATTTCTCCGAGGACATCGAGTCGACCCCCGTGTACTCGTTTTCGTCCTTCGAGTCAATGTTTTCGCAGGATCGAGCCGCGATCGTCTGCCTCTGAATGTCCTTCCGAAGCTGACCGAGATCGTTGTTTTGCTGCCACTTCGCAACTTGGGATTTGACATCGTTGGGCTTGACATCGATGGACCCGTTCAACTCGGAATCGAGGGGTTGACGTTGTTCCTGGAACAGAAGGAATACCGTTCTTGACAAACTTGTCAACGATACGCCGGATCGTTGCTCCGATTTCCCTTCTCTTTTTGCGTCGACAACGTTAATAGGCAAGAATGTTTTTGGTTAATAATGGTCTTATGGTCCTGCCTTTCCCGATGATTCGATGCAGCGGATCGTTTAGAACCAAACATCGAATTTCTGTTGCGTATGTATGCGTTGGATTAATCGGGATTAGTTTTGGATATTTCCATTAGCGGCTGCTCGATCTAGTTTATTAGTGGTCGCTCAGTTTTCCCCAATGAATGTTAAGATAACATTTTTTTTTTATTTAAGAGTTCAGTAAAAACGTTTGGCAAGTATACTTACCGAGTGGTACCTTGCGTACAAAGGTTTCACACGTGTGCAGAGTACATAGAGAGGAAATCACTTGAACTTTTATCAAAAAGGACGTAACAATTTATTCACTTAAAGATACCGCACCTTTACAACGTACTATGTACAAGTTTAATGGAATCGAATTTTTAGTGCGGAGTGGATATGAACTAAACCCGACGAAGAGCATAAAACCTAAAAATATATCGCTATATTAATGTCCAATTTGTTAAGCAAATAATTGTGGGGATGGCAGGTAAAGAATACGATCATCTCGGTATTCTTGTTCAGGTCCCCGGGTTTCATTATTATAATATATCCTTGTAATTTTATCTAAAGGAAACATCGAGCCCACTTTTAAACTATATGTTTTTCTATATAAGGAGTCGATATCGCGGAATCTAATTTATAATATAAATTTTGTTCTCTCAAACCGTACACGATGTCCCTCCGCGTTCCTCTTGATTCAATGGATTTGCCGTCTTGACAAAATACCTAATTTCTTATTGACGCGAAGATCGAATGATATAAGAATTGATGGTTCATCTCGAAAAAACAGGAGGAAAATTTGAAGTATGAAAAGACTTACTACAATTGTACATAATGAGCGTTTCCCCACTTGTGCCCCCTTTCCCCGTCAGCAAATTTCACCGTTTCTGAACTTCCTTTCCCGATATTTTCCGCCCTCCGACTTGACGCTTTTCGTTTTTCGGAGATCCAACAAAGTTCCGAAGCTCCTTTCAATGACTTCCGGCACTTTAGGCGCTCTTAACCTCAAAGTGCCATCGTTGTCAGCAAAAGACTTCCACGATGCGTCTTCGATATCGTCCCGAAAAGCTAAAATTTGTTTTTTCGCGGTCTCCAACGAGTGGGCCGTTTCCGATTCACCGTCGTTAGACATTTCGGAATGGGGTCGCCTCGAAGCAACCCGTAAAAAATTCAACATTATCCTTTCATCCCCGATGCAATCATCTCCCTCCGATCTGCCACTTCTGGAAGAAGGATATCGCCTGTGAATTTTCTTTCTTCGACGCGTTTCATGTTTTTGCAGATTCCTCCTTTTGCCCGAATCAAGACTCGCACTTGCATTCACAGGATTTTCCCTCAATTTCGTAGACTCCGCGTTATTCGATGACTCCGGATAAGCTGAATTCTCTGGCGCTATTCTAAGGTATTCTCCCCTCGGCCTTCCGTTCACTCTTATATTTCCTTTGATTCCCCCAAAGGTTTGAAACTTCAGTCCCCCGAAATCCGAGGCGTTCTCCCCGAAGTCGTAAAAGCTCTCAAAGCTCTCCTGGTCATCCGCGTCGTCTTCCGAGTCCACCGGGCTGATCCTGCGACGTTTTATCCCTCCGAACGTATGGAATTTGTGGTTTCCGAGGTCCAAGAACTTTTTACCATTTACGGTGTGCATTAGATTCTCTTTTTCCGAGGAAACGTCCATCCATGACAGTCTTTTGCAGTCCATTTCGTCGGGTTCCTTGAGAGTTTTGCCAACGTTTCGATCGTTGGATCCAATCGAGTACATTCCGGAATCGTAATCCACTTGGTTTGTCCACGGTATTCGAAGACTTTGGTCATTAAATAAAGGATTCACGACGAAATTTTCACAGGATTCTTGCAAGTCGAAGACCTTCGGACTGTCCCTTGCAAGCTCGAAAGACCAGACGTAACGGCTTCTAGATCGTTCCTCGTCACTTTGAATCGATTCGAAATTGCGGATGCTCTCTAAATCATCATCGATTGCCCTTTGCGAGACGTTCACCTCTTCATAACCAAGACTGTAGTTTCTTTCACCCAAGGAAGTTTCCTCGCAATCGTGCCTAGTAGATTCCAATTCTTCGGTTATTTCGGCTCCGTTGATTCTTCCTTGAGTTTCCATCATGCTCGATTTTCGTGATTTTCGTGATTTTCGTGATTTTCGTTGGCTTCTAAGATCGTCCCGATCGATGCCGAAGCCGAATTGAGATAACGTAAGGATCTCATTCTGCTTTGCGAGTTCACCGACTTCCAGATGAAGAAGCGGGTTGACGACGAAATGTGCACTCGTGTTGGCCCCGTGAAACGTGCGTCTACGAAGGCCGCCACGAAGAGAGGTTTCCTCGAATTTGTCAAGGCCGTAACTCACCTGCTGTTCCGGGTCGCTGCCTGACAAACTCGATTGTTGAGACAGCGAGCTCCCAGGTCTGGCGAAGCTCGCCATTGCCGACTTTTCGGACTTCTGGCCGGTCGTGGCGTTCGCATCGTTGATGTAGTAATCTCGTCCGAATCTGCATCACAGTTCACAAAAATCCAGTCAGTCCAAAATGCCTCTTCGGAGTCAGTTAATCTCGGAATAAATATCATTTTAGAAGAATGCGAGGCAATCTTTTTTAACAAAAGCAATGCCTTAATATGTGCATTTTCTAAATTGTCAAAATTGAAGGAAACATGATTTCGTTTTATTCGATATACCGCAAAGAGAATACCTTTTATAATCCTGTTGATTGCCACCGAGGACGATTTGAAGGGGAGCGGTGGAATTCTTCGGCGTGTCATTGTGGTTCCTGAGGATTTAGTTGTACGTTACCTTTCGATGAATTATTTTCCGATAGATGGGCAAAGAGAAAAGAGATAGATGGGATTTACCCGGAAACTTCGGAGGACTTAACGGCGTACCGTCGTTCCCAGAGCCTCTTTTGGATGTTTTCCTCGCTGTATGGGTTGTTTTCAATGGGAGGCGCGTTTTCCCATTTTTTGTGTTCCCTCTCGGCGATCGTGCCTGGGAATACGTGCGATTATATTTCGAGATGGATTTCACTTCCATGATTCTCTTGTAGGACGCGACGTAACATATGGAAAGGGTAAATTCAATTACCAGGCCGAGGTGGTGCCGCTAATTCGATGCCTACATCGACTTCCTTCTCTATGGACGACGAAGCCAACAGCGTGGCTTCTCGGCATTGTCTGCAAAGAGGGATTTTCAATTTAGGTAAAGTCATTCCGTCACGCAGCGAGAGCTCGGGAACCTCATTTTTAGATCGGTAATACGTATACTCTGTACTCGAGAAGGTGAGGTACAAAGTGACGGATCGTTAACAAATGATGAACGGGTGTTTCGGGTAAAGGGGGCGTTTCACAATTTTTATCGCTGACCTTAGAGATTCGATCGTTATTCCGTTCCTTCCTATTCCTTGTTCTCGATGTAATTTTAAATGGGCTTTCCTTAAATAGTTACGCTACGTCCTTACCCGGTATTATTTTCTCCCCGTGAACCGTCCTCCAAAGTTGGCCCTTCGTTGCAGTTGCTGACCTCGTTCGTATCTTCCACCTCCCGATCCGATGTTTTCGTTAAACTATCCATGCGTCTTTGAGTCGCGATATCGTAATGTTCCGTGTACTCGCTTTCTCGTTGAACACCTTCTTCGTCTAGTCCAACGGAAAGATCGTTTCAATTCGCGCAAAGTATTATTCGAATGTAGAATTGAATACCGTTAAAAGAAATAAATCTAATGTGAATTGCGTAAATAAATCTTACTTTGGAGATCGATCTTTTTGCTCTCGTGTGTCGATTCCGAGACGGTGGCTTCATCTTTGATATCGACCCCATCTATTGACGAACTACTTCCATTTTCCTCCGGCACGTGTTTAACGGCGTACTTAACAGGCCTTCCTTCCGTAGTTTCAACGTTGTTTCCTCCATTCTCTAGTGGCACATTTTCTTCTACACCCTCTGCAGAGTTTTCTTCTTTATTTTCGATACCGTTGGATGAACTTTCCCCCAGGAAATTTTCTTCCGAGTCCCCGGAAGGATTTTCTTTCGTATCCTCGACGGGGTCTTGTAAATTTCCACTGTCAATGGACGACAATTTTTCGTTCAAGGCTCGAAAATCGCAAGGTAAGTTACGTTCCGAAGTTTCTTCCGACAAAGAATTCCTCACAGGGGTGGACAAGGGCGTTTTCGGTACATCGATATCTTCCGCTCCTTCTCCAGGTGAAGGTTCGACGTCATCGGACGGTTTTATCTCCCTTTGCGACTCGTTTACGCCCTCCAACGATTCCTCCACGATCGTGGGAATGTCGGAATTGATCTTCACCTCTGTTCCGAACTGTTCCACCGTTTCCGAAATTTCGAGTTTAACTTCGGTTTTCGCGACGTTGCTCTCTCCTAAAGCGGTTGTTGCCGATTCCATGTCGAAACTTTGCGACGAAGTGACTGAAACTTTTGCCTCGTCTGCAGTGGACGGGCTTCTTCGGGACGATCGATTAATCCCGACCTCGCTGAGGCTTTCGTTCGTTCCTTGGTATACCTTGCAAGCGTTTTCTGACACATTTACATTTCCCTTTGCACGATTTCCTGTACCGATTTCCTCACCGACTTCGGGGTGCACCATCGCGGCAACATTGGCTTTGTCTCGGCCGTTTCGATTTCCAACATCGATTTTAATACCAATTTCGGTATCCGCTTCTTCCGTAAGGTCTTGATTTTTCCTTGCTTTTTGCGCAACGGTGCTGTCTACCTTCTTGGATTCCTTTTCCCCTGGATCCTTCGAAGCTCCATTGGACTTTCCTTTCCATTCGGAATTAATGTTCTCTCGATGCTTTCTCGGTGATGCTCGTCCATCGCGTTGTTTCAGACCGGAATCTCGATTTGGGGCATTTCTCACATTTTTAGAAGTACTACTTTTGCATCTTGCCCTCTTCGGGTGATCGGTCGGTGCTCTGGGAACAACGTTGTTAATTGCCTCTAGGAGTTCTTCTTCGATTTCTTCGTCGGATTGAGCCGAGATCTCGGAAAGGTCCGACGTATCTTCGGCGTCCTTGTCGCCAATCAGAGCCTTGAAATCGGCGCTCGGGTTGGGCACCAACATCGCCACAGACTCCGACTGAGTCTGAATCTTTCTTCTCTGGAAGAGCCAATTTTCCTCCCACGATTCCACTGGGGTAACAAGATCGACGTGAGCGGAAATCAGTTCGTCCTCGGATGAGTCCTGCGATGCTATAAAAATTCATCATTCTTTTATGACTTGTCTTCGACTGGAATCGAGGATTGGCGATAGGATGCAAAAGGTGGGACAATTTTTTCAATCTCAGTTCGATAGTCCAGCAAGTTATACATCTTAGAAAATGGTAAAAACGGGATCTGAGATTTTCTTCGCCGCGTGCATATAAAAATTTGATTAAAAAATTGAAACAACGAAATATCCCAGAAATCCTCCGTTAAAAATACGGAGAACTTGATCTTTGTCAATCTGTCCCTTGTCGATCTTGTTCATTTAATTTTAATTAATTTAATTTAGAAATTGCCCGGAAGTGGATTTTTCTTGAATTTCAATGAAAGAAAATGTTAAAATTTGCGTCGCCCTTTCTTATTTGTATAGAAATCTGTTTTTGATTTAGATTAAAAGTCGGACATATGCTTACGGTCTACGATGTCCATTCCCAATTCCGGAAACGGTACACGTCGAGCGTTCCGGAAGTCCAGCCCGTTACTTTCGCCGTTCTCTCGATCTTCTTCGGACGAGTACGTCGTCACTTCCTCGATTCGCTCCTCTATCTACAATTTCTCGATTAGCGATCCTATGTTCAAAGAAATCACTCGGATACAATTTCAATTCCGAAACGTGATCGTACCGTAAGTGACAGAGGTTCCTGACGATTTCGAACGCGTTTGATCGGTGGAACGCTGCAGTCACTGCTGTATTCGTCCTGGGACAATGGTTCCAAACTACTGCTGCCTTCTTCTACTCCTTCGTCGAGTCCTATCTCGACTTCACCTGAAATCGAAACAAGTTATTGCGAGTACTCCGAATAGCGCCTGCTTTCTCCGGAGTTCGGACAGTTTCGGACAAGGAGCTGTGATTCGATTTATTTTATTTAACAGATAAGCATAATCCCAGGGAAGTATCATAATTGCAGTTGAATCTACAATTTCATTTCTTTTTCACGCCCACCAGCAGGAGAGAAATCAAATTAAAACTAGAGGGCGAGGGTGGTTCCATTTTTTAATTTCGTTAATGAAACAATGGTATTTTACAGGGGAAGTTTATGCGTGTACAGTGGATATACGTATTGGGGAGGGGGGAATTGATCTACGTACTTTTTATTAATTTGGATTTTGGCGAAGATTTTCCGTGGAGAACGTTGCTATTGCCGTCGACATGTTCGTTTTGGTACTTCTCGATAACCTGTTTCGAAGTAATTTATTAGTATTTGGAGAAAAATCCGTATTCCAGATGTATAGGTACTATTTGCACCTTGTTCAATATGGCAGTAGCGAGAAGTCCCTCGTAGCTCTCTTCCGGAATATCCTGGCTCTCGGATATGCTTTCGGAAGTCGATTGTCCACCCAATCCTGGCAACTTTCGGGCTTCATCGACGGCACGTTCGACCAGTTCGCGCAGGGCGGTGTGTGCCATTGTCGGCGTGTCTCGGGCTGGTTTGTCTGAAGTGGAAAGTAAACGATCACGAACATTGTATATATTTTTTAGGTGTTCAAGCTCATCGTACTTATAGCGATTGGAGATAGTATTTTTTACGGCCTATCATTGGAACGTTAGATGTAACGGCGCGAAACGATTTCGACGTCGAGGAACCGTTGACGAGGAGGTATTTCGTTATCAGAAGAAACGAATAAAGGGCTCGCGTGTTTGTATATTTAAATATGTTTACATTTTCTTTGCACCCACTTTTATTGATGAAAATTTCACGTTATCCCAAGATGCTACGCAATGCGACGAATATTGTATTATTTTTCATACTCTGGGTATTGCTTAATATTTTAGGTAGCTTATAAAATATCTTAAAATGGACAAGTTTATTCCCTCAGAGATTCACTAGGAACGAACAGGATTTGGATAAACTTCTTTTAACGTTTGCCTGCCTTCCCGATGCAACGCGTTTCGAGATAACTCAAAGCCGGTATTTACATTTTTAAAGAAGTTTAGTTTGAGGAAATGTATGCATTCCCATCGGATTGCTATGCATTTCGACGTTAAGGCAGGACCTGCCAACTCGTTAAACCCGTTAACCGATTGGGCAAATACCTTAGAAAGTCCTAGTTTCTTGCAATTTGCGCAAGGTAATTTATTCATTTAATCCCGGAAGAAACTTTTATCGTAAACGTGCACGTATGATGTTAATAAATGTGCACACGATATATTATGTTTTTTTCTATCCTTAACCAAAATCTTTGTATGTAATACGCCATTGCTTATATTTTGCATACATAGGGTTTCATTTTTGCCCGCGATATCTGTGACAAGAAACGTACCCTCTGCCCTGTATCGAGTAAAACGGGGGTAATATCTTTATTTAGACAATATCTCTGATCGCGTCGGGATAGCTTTCTCGCAAAACGGAGAAACGAGAGGAGGAAGATACGCGTAATTTATCCGTGACGACCTTGCGGAATATTTCCTGCAAGGTGAAATTCACGAGTTGGCGACCTCGTGAACTCTTTCCTTCGAGACTCTCGACTTGGGAAAATTGGAACGGAATACGCGATGCACCGTGAATTTATGAGTATCATCCATGTCCTTCGGATATCGTACGGTCGTAGAAACATTTTTGTTTTACCACAAATACCACGGTACAAAATACGTAATCATTGAACATCTTTAACTCTTTCGCTTCCGTTAGCGCTTTAGGAGTGTTAAAATTTCGTTCGGTATTCGCCTATTATCACGTACTTAATTTTTTCTTATCGCGGCCACTGTTATATCTATTGCCAGCATTCTATCGTACATAAGGTGTTCCTTTTTCGACGGACAACAAGGCGGAAGCAAAGCGTGCTTCCGAAGTTTCTAATGTTTTACGTTATTACTTAACGAGCTTCGCGGCGGAAAAAAAGGAAGTTGATTTTGGAGCATAGAAATGACCGGTCAGGGTCAAATCGTGATTCGAAGGTGCCGGAGATGTTCCGGCCGATCGCGCTTTCTAACTCTCCGAGCTCGCAGGCAGAGATCAAGGTGAAGGCCGTTGAATGTCGAAGGCTTTCCCGAAGAGGCGACTCTCGCGACCGGTCGCGACTTACCGAACGGGCGCATTTCCCAGTCAGGAAAATGCTTTTCCCGCCGAGGTGGCTTTCTCGGGAATACGGCCAACCGGTTTAATCGCAACGAATCCGCAAAACAACCGATGGATTTCGTTATCTCGTATACGACTATCCTACGGGTTTACTTGGAAAGGCATCGTTTCTGGCGACGCTACGGTGTCCTGGAAACGCAGAGCTATGTCTTCTTCTACCTTCTGCGTACTTTCTTCCAGCAATTTCACCTTTTTAACTTTTAGACAAACTTTACGCTACTTTAAACGACTTTCTTAGTCCTCTGGTGCACGTGGAATTACGAATAAGTTATCTAATTTTTTGTATTTCTACGACCCCGACATAAGAAAGAGTAACCTCGTTATATAGTCGGATTATCTTTAATTTTTAGTTTTGGACCCGATAAAACGCAAGAAGGAAACATCGAGTCGATCTCCACCGTCTGCTTATTGATTTGCAGTTCTTTTTTGCCGCGGCCAGTCTTTAATCGCGATCAATTAGGCCATTAACGCGTTCACAGGGCCAGCAACCTTCCTGGTCCGTCGGAACCGGAATTCAAAAGGTACAATGTATTTAAAATTGACAGAGACACCTAGCTGAATCTAACGTTTTCCCGTTATCGCGAGTTAGAACGTATCACGAAACCGGGTACCTTGAATCGAGCCGGGGGCCCGGAATGTTAATTAAACCAAGCGAATAATTAACCGCATTCCTAAGGACGAAAGAAAGAGTTGGAAAGAGGCAACCAAGAAGTCTCGAAGTATCCGAGAAACATCGCCCCGTTCTTGCCCTCGGCTCCGAGAGAAACTTTTCTTCCACCAAGGAGCAGGAAGCCATCGTGGAAACGTAAGTACGTACCCGTGCACGCATTTCTTTACTTATCTACCCACGCATATGAGCAAATGTACGATCGTTATACAAAATCCCCGACAGAAATGGACGACAGCTACGATACCGGGGATTAACGTTCCAGGTTTCGGATCAACTAAGGTTAACGATGTTAACTCAAATTTTGAGGAAATTCGGGTGCATTTTTTACGATGCTCAATTGAATACCGATTATCGACTTTCTTTCCCGTATGCCCGGTTGAAGATATTCAAGGACTAAGAGGGGCCACGAATGACGATAGACTTCGAGACAGGACAATTGTCCCGATAATTGGCTATGCGTTGCGAAGTCGGGTGCAAATTCTGCAAATTGCCCGAGAAGCAAAACACGTGCCGAGTCGCACGGATTCGCTTAATTCTTGCCCAATCACGGGCGTGAGTGCCGCAAAACAATCGGAGACTCCGTCAATTGAGACGGGAATGACGGCAATTATCAAGGCGTCATGCCGGATCGACGGCGCGTAATCGCGGCGGAAAAAGTTTCACCCTCTCGTAGCCGCGGATGTGAAATCGCAGGAAATGAAAATGCTCAAACGTTTCCTCGGAGACTCGCTGAAAATGACACGAGACCCAAACATGGCGCAATTTCGTTTCCAGCTCCTAGTCGACGTTACCATTCGAAAACATCGAAAGGGACGAAAGGAAAATTACAATTCGACGACAGAGCTGCCGTTACAAGCTCGAATCTGGAATACGACTGAACAAATCGGAGTTGATCGATATTCCGATAGAGAAATTATTCGTTAATTTGGCTGTCCGGTCAATATACGCTGTTAAAAAGATTCATAAAATTAATAAAATTCGTGCACTTTTGGTACATAAGGTTGTGGTAAAATTATAAATTTGATGACTTAATATCCTTTTATTATAAAATTCTAAATAAATTTATAATTTTATAACATCGTGTTGTAATTTTGTGAAATTGCGGAGAAAAATTATAAATTTGATATTCGAAAGTCATTTAGTACGCATTGTTTGCAAATTTTTTAGATGAGTTTTTAATTTTACGCTCGCTTTACTGCAAGTTCCTCTCTAAGTTAGAATAATGTCCTAAATTTTAAACAAGGACTGCTAACAAACAAGTGGAGTCGTTCCAGGAATAACCTGTCTATACGATGTGCGTTAAAGATTCATTTCTTCCTAAAAAATGTTCCGGATATTTTCCAATAATTTCTATTTTAAATTGCAGCATGACGTAAAATATCTCGGGGAAGAATAATATAACCAAGGAGAAACGTCGATACCCAGCGTGCACGGTGTCGTTGGAAGTTACAACCTGTAATTGCGATAAACTTGCAATTCGCGGGGAATGGAACCGTTCGGGTCGCGATTTCCCAAGGGGCCTCGTTTTCCGCAGGAATCATTTTATCGGGACGAAGGGTCGTTGGCACGCGTCATTAATATTTTCCGAGATTTATGTTTGGACTCAAGTTGGGTATCTGTCGCGGGTGGTGGAACCGGGTCAGCGGATATCGCGGGCCGACCGGTAGCCTACTTATTTTTCATTTCCACCGGCATCGACGATACCATCTGCTCTCGGAAATATCGGCTGGACCAGTTTTGGTTAAGAGAGTACTCGGAGAATCGAAAAAGGACGAGCGAAAACTTTTTTCGAGAATAACGTATCCCGACGTCGGAAGCTCGCCCCGCGATTCCCTCGAGAGGAACTCGACCAAATTCTAAAGTGAAATAGTAGGGACTCATTTCTTTACGAACCATTCAATTTTCATAGCCGTTGTCGAGAAAGCTTTTAGGGACGAGCCTTTGAACGGTTACGTATACGACAGGCAAATGGGACGTTAATCTCGAAAATTCGCGCGATGCAAATGTTCAGAGAGACTCGTTTTCTGTGAGTTAAGATCGATCGCGTTAAGATGAACGTGGTAGTTGAGGGACATTAGAATTTTTCGGATGCGTTGCTCGGAGAAAGAACGTATACCGGCGAACGTCCAGAGTCGTCGCGTAAAGGAAGGCTCGATTTGCCGACGTTTTGCCGTCGATGACGTCCAAAAGACCGGCGATCTCGGAGTCATCCAATGAGAGACACACGGCGTAGTCCCGGCGAGAACGAGCAGCTTCGCGCAATTCCGTTCGTCGTGTACGGAACGGAATTCTCGACGCGGAAGGCTTCGAAGAGAGGAGGATAAGCGAGAAAAATCTATTCGTATCGCTAACGTCCTCTTAAAATTAATCGGATGGACAAGTTACTAACGACCCATACATCTTTGATACACAATTCCAAATGGCGCGGGTTCTCAAAAATGTTGCGGGGAAGTACTCTGGCTTGTCCGCCGGTATTAATTCTTCCGATAAGGCGAGGCAGAATCGAGACGTTTACCATCTTTCCTTGCGAAGAGCACGTAGACCAAGTAGAAGACCATCAGGCCACCGATGAGGGTCAGCATCTCTTCCACGAGTCGCAGCAACATTTAACGTCGCTTTTTACATATTACGGTTGCATTTCGATTTTCTCATTATCGGTCGCCAGCTTATCGCGTCTTCCTTGGACT